ATTCCCATGTCTATAACATTTATTTTATTTTATTTTATATTATTTTATTTTTCATCTCTTTGAGACAGGGTCTTGAAATGCAGTCCAGGCTGGCCTTGAGCTCACTTTGTGACCTGGGCTGGTCTCAAATTCACAGCCCTGCCTCAGCCCCCCAAGTGCTGGGATTACAGACATGTGCAACCATGCCTGGTTTTGTTTATAACCTTTAAAATAAAAATGTCTACCTTGTGCCACTAAATGTTAAAATGTTTAACTTTCCTTTTCATTTACATAGGGGCATACAGCTAAGAGTCTGCCTTAAATCTCAAAAGAAACTTTAGACTTAGACTTTTCAGCAATGCTAAAACTGTTAAAATTTTGATGACTCTTAAAGACAGACTAAATTTCCTTTACATAAAAGAATATACATGTCTTTGTGGGGCCAGCAGTAAAATGTTATGGCATGTGTCTAGATGTCCTCCCAAAGCCTCATGTAGTTATAGGTGGGGCTTTTTCAGAGGTGGTTGGATCTAGAGTGTGTAACCCTGAAATTGACTCATGGTGCAATGCTAGAATCAAGGGCACTAGGATTAAGGGCATGACTGCTACCCGCCCTAAGTAGCCTAGGTAAGATATAAGGGACAGAAAGAGCTGTGGTCTCCCTAGTTGCTTTTGCTACCTCTGTGCTCCATAAACTGTTGCTCCTCTGAGATGCCTGTCTGCCATCCAGCCTGACTTGGAGCCAGCCAATTATGGACTGAAACCTCTACAAACAATGAGCTAAATAAATTTTTCCCCTTTAACTTTGGGTGTCCAGTATTTTGTCTCAACAATGAGAAAAATGACTAAGACACGTTTCCAACCACAGTCATATTTGCAGGATTTGACTGGTGTGGAATTCCTGAAGATACTATTCAATCCAGTATAGGTTCCACATTGCAGTCTTTGAGTACTCTGTGAATTAAGCCTTGTTTTATTTCAACTCTAGTCCATCAATTTTAGGAATTATCCAAAACTGAGATAGTGATGTCTGCATCTTTAAACAATTTTCAACATACAGATTAGCTTTCAAATAAAGTTTTAGAATTCCTGTTAATACCAATCTAATTTCATAAATCTAGACATTTCATAGAAGAGGTGCTGGGGATTTAGCTCAGCGGCACAGTGCCTGCCTGGCAATCACAAGGTCGTGAGTTTGATTCCTGGTACCAGAAAAAAAAAACCAAAAAAAAAAAAAAAATCATAGAAGAAATGTTGAAATGTCTTGAGTAACATTGCCTTCATGTTTGTATTTGCACAGTAAGATTAAAAAGATATACAAAGAATAGTAACAGTTTTTCCTTTAAGCAATTCATATTAATTTTACTAGAGTAGGCTCTATTACACCTATTTTTTATGTAAGGAATCTGAAACAAATAGTGGAGGTAATTTGCTCTATAGAACCTGTATTAATTATCTGTTGCTATTTAACAAATTACCCCCAAATTTAGTGGCTTTATAAACACTCATGATTCAGTTTCCGTGAGGAATTCAGCTACTATTTATTGCCTCCTCTGGCTTACCTGGGGGTGAATCTGCTGTGATCACTCAGTAGTTGTAGAATAATTTAATTCTTTGAAGACTGTTAAGGCTGAGCACCTTAGTTCTCTGCTGGCCTTTGGACACAGCTCTCATTTTCTTTGATACTGGGCCTCTTTTTAGAGCATCTCATGTCAGCGTGGCTTTATTAGAACAAGCAAGGAGAGTGTGAAGAAAGCAAGGCAGAATTCACTATTTTATTCCTTAATCTTGGATGAGATACCCCATTAAATTGCTGTATCCTGTCCATTAGATGATTACTACGTCCAACCCATGCTCACTGTTATGGGCAATTACTGCCTGGCACTATAGACAAGGGTTGGGCTCAGGGACCATTGCACCATGTGTGCTGTGTTCTAAAGACATATTAGAGCTGCTTGTATCCCACCTCTCCTCCCAAAAAAAAAAAAAAAACAAAAACCCACAGAAGTGAAAAGACTCGGAATATATGATGTTGCTCTCAAGAGACAGTCTCATCTTAAATTTAGGATCCTAAATTTTGGGGAAAGGTGGTGGATTGTGGATGGTGTTGTTACAGGAAACAGACCAAACATGAAAAGAAAAAGCACCAAGGAGGTTTAGGAGGTTTAGGAGGCTTAGGAGGCACTGGTAGGCTTCGGACTAGGATCTCTCCCAAAGACTTAGAGCCCCACCTGCTGGGGTATGGGGCTTTTATGGTTCTCACCAGGGGTAGGTACAAAGGCAGATGTAGTGCATTGTGACTGGGTGGTGTGACATCACAGGTTGCCAAGGGGGTTTATACATCTCAAGTTCCATTACAAGGTCAGCGTCATTCTCAAGTAAGTTACATTGCAAGGCTATCATCAGTTACACAAAGACAATAAAGACAGGGGTTACACAAAGGAAGAAGTGTTCTCTTTTCAGGCTTTTCTGGACATGTCCATCTTGTTTTGGTGGACATTCTTGGCAAGCTTTATTGAAAATTTTAATTTCCCCTTTAGTGTATGTAACCCAGGTGATTTCATCTTAAAACCCTGACTACAGCCTCTTTTTGCTATGGATAGTCAGACCTGGAAAGGCAGCATTAAGCAGACTTGATTATAGCTGATGAGGAAGAACCTCTGTGCAGTGTGCAGGGACAGACAACACTTTTCTTGGGCAATGTCCTGCTAGAGATGTACTAGAATTTTCTTGGATGAGAGCTGACTTATGAAACTTGGCACTGAGAAACAATTTAATAGCAAATACATAAAGCACTTGTATTAGTCAGCTTTCTGTTACTGTAACAAATACCTGAGACAGTCAATTTATAAAGAGAAAAGGATTACGTTGGCTCATTTTAGAGGTTTCAGTCTGACTGGGCCTGTGGCGAGACAGCACTTCAGGCAGGAGCATGGAGCAGAGCAAAACCACTCACTTCAGGGTGAAAGAGGAAGAATGGCCACAGGTTCTACTGTCTCTTTAAGGGCACACACCCAGCAACTTGAAGACCTCCTACTATCACCACCTCATAGTTTCCACCATCTCTCAATAGCATCTCACAGGGAAAAAGCCCTTAATAAACATATGGGCCTTTGAAAGATATTTAAGATCCAAAATATAGTAGCACCTGGGGCTGGGGATTTAGCTCAGCGGCAAAAGCGCCTGCCTGGCAAGCGCAAGGTCGTGAGTTCGGTTCCCAGTACCAGAGAAAAACCAAAAAAAACAAAAAACAAAAAACAAAATATAGTAGCACCTAACATCTAGCTACAGAATTTCAAAATTGTTAATCATAGCTGCTCTAAATGGATGGTCTGTCTCTCTCTCGCTCTCTCTCTCACACACACACACTATATAATTACATACATTATATATAATTTAAAAAGCAAGCTTTGGTGCTCTACTCCTAATAAACCATCAGTGAAGTTGTCTTTGTAGCATTACAAGCTTTCTATAAGTTACTTATGGAATCATTTATAAGCAGTATTATTCATTGAATGGTTTCTGCCTGGATTGTAAGGAGCCAATGTCCAAACCAATAAATGCTGATAAATGATTACAAATTTGCTGGGCTTCAAATTCACTGTTTAATGAACTTGATGCCCTCAAACCTTTAAGGTTGAAGAGTTTCAAGTACTTTGACCAAAAGTTATGTTGTAGCTACCTGATGTACACATCACTTTATCCATGACAAGTTCACCTTCTCTTTGATTAGGGTTCCATTTGTCAGAGAGAAAAAGCTACGGAAAAGCAGCACTCTTTAACATAAAAGTGATGATTAATGACATACGTCTATAGTGCCCTCCTGGATCTTGTTCTGGTTTGGAAACCATAAAAAATGTTAATGGAAAATTCTGCAACTTATGTTCTGAAGAACAACTCTAAGAAGCACAAACATGATAAATTCAGCCTATGTTCTCGTCAAGAATTAAAATGTTCTCTGAGAAGTAACTTCTCTCTTTGGTGGCAGAAATAACTGCCTTTGTTTCAGATGGATTCCTTGGAGATCAGCCAGAGCACATCACAGTGTTCTCTGCTTTGTCACAGTTTAGCCTTCAGGAATGCTATGTTAAAGTTCACTCTTCACTGTTTCTCTGCCCCCAAAATAACTCTATATTCCTCAACTCACTCCAGTGACTATGCCATGCTTAATAGATTTGTGGTATGGGACACAAATCTCTAAGCCACAAGACCTGCAGCTCTGAGAATGGGAAGAAAATGGCAGCACTACAACATGGTAACTTAGATGGTGTGGACAAATGGACAGAAGGACACTGTCTCAAAGAGATACAGATAATCAAAGTTGACTATCTAACAAAGTATGACTCAGTCATTTAAAAACTCCCCATAAAGATGAGGTTCAAAGTATCTGCGTTAATCTCTTTTCCTAGAATGTTCCATGTTCTGAAATCTACACACACGCACACACATGCACATATGTATTCACACACATACATGTACACGGTATATAAATTACTAGGAAACCCAGCAAAGGATCTTAGCTTGATTACTCTTTAATGAGCAACTATTTTATTCAGAAAATTATAAAGAGAATTAAGATCTTATATACAGATGTACTAACCAGGAAGAGGCCATGTTTTAAGGAGGTGTTCTAGATAATTTTTATGGTCCTTTTCAGCTCCAAAGGCCCATGACATGGCATTTATGGGCAGAGCACAATCAATTATGCACCTGATTGTCTCAAAAGGAGGTCAAATCTTTGAGAGCTCAAAAGATTTTTAAAACAGTTATGCTTTCAAAAGCAAGAAATGGTGCCACAGCCCCACTGGAATTTCCTCAGGCAAAGCTGGGAGGTGCATCCTGAGATCTTCTGCAGCCAAGTCTTCTGTTACCTGGTGTTTTTAAGGTGACCCCAACTGTATTACTGCTTAATTTAGAAGTTCTTTTAGGAAAAAGTAGCACAAGGCACCAAATTTCAGTTCTAAGTCAGTGTTAAAATCATCTTCTCCCTCTTTTTTCTCTTCCTCTTCTTCTCTTCCAACTGGCTTGTAGCATCAGCGAAAAACATGACTTCACTTTTCATCTCACATTCTCTCTTGAGATAATCAAGACCTGCCATATTGAAGCCGATAACATCCTAGAGAGAAAACCAAGAAAACAAGCTTTCTCACCTTTCCGTTCAATTCAGCAGCATATGTGAGTCAGGGGACAGTAGCTTCAGGTGTTACTACTTGTTCTTCCCCTGCTAAACAATTTTCCTGTTTTTGTTTTCTAGCTCATCATACCAGATCGAACAAAAACTTTATCTCAAATACAGATTCACACCTGGCTGGTATTGCTGAAGACAAGACAACATACTATGCTACTTCTAAGTCACATATATGCTAGGATTTTGCCTCATTATGGTATCTCTATACAAAGACACTTACCCGGACTTGTCTGACTTTCAAGATAGTTGTTTCCTTTAATTTTTCTATCACTGGCACAAGCATTTGGTTGCTAGTGATCTGTCCGAAATGAATCCTAATAGAAAAACAATACAGAGTCATGTTGCAAAGAGCAGTTCTGGTCCTGTGTGTCCTTCCTAGCAGTAACAGATAGTTGTAATATCAAAACAATAGCAACAAAATACAGATGTATTTCTCCATATCATCGGAGTCGAGAAAAGCTTCTAGTAAAAATTAAAACCTTAAAAAGTTTCTTCCTTACTGATTAGTACAATTTGATGACAGTTTAAAAAATGTTATGCTAAACCTTATGCACGCTATACTCATCTCAAACCTAATTCTTTTCCCACCAATCTACCAGGTGATGATAAATTTTTGACAGTGGTATTTTGTGGCAAGCTTAGCGTCAGAATGAGCTTTTTAAGAAATGCTAACATTTCTAAATTTTTCCACAGGAAATAAGAAAGTCATTTCTGAGAGTCCCACTCTGACCTACAGTCTGAGCCTGCTATACTTACCCGTCAGGTAGTGCTTGCTCATCTACAACCACTTGGGCACGCTAGAAGTACTCAGTGGTTTCCACTGGTGACCCTGACTCAATAGCACACAAGCCAGACTGCCGAATATGAGTTTCTGCCTTCACAACTTGCCCAAAACTATAACTATGGCTACAGAAAAATGTAAATCATGCTACTCCCTTAGTACTATTCTGATAAGAACATAAAGGATGGAGAGTTAAGAATCAGGCCAATTCACTAAATACTTACTCTGCAAATTCACTAAATATTCCTACTTAGCCATTTATATCAGCTGACCAGTTTTTGTTTTCAGTAGGTACATTCAGTTTGTCCCTATTCCTCCACTACTATCCTGGACCACACCCTGAAACCTAAGATGAATTTGCATTGCTGAACAATGTCTTACCACTATGTATTACTGAGCAAAGTGGGTCATCACCACCCGTTTCAAATATTTCCAAAGAAATATGTATGGGAGGTGACACTGAAGCTGTAAGTTTCTGAAACTGAAACATCCTATTTTTAATCCCAAAGTGCTGCTGGCTTCAGGTAACACACCACTCAGCAGTTCTTGTGAGGAGACGTGGCATTCTCTGCAAAAGGGCATTACCTAAGGAGGAAGAAGAGGCATCTACATATAAGCTCAATGTCAGAGCCCAGCTGAATGAACTCATTGAAGAGTTTAAGAATGTCTGGGACGTAAGAGAAAGGCAGCACAAGCAGAGACTCCTCCAGTTCACTGAAAAAGAAAAAATAAACATTGAAAATGTCATAGTCCTTAACACGGTCGATTATCAAATCTTTTCTCTTACTACCTTTCTACTACTTTCACACTTGAATAGATCTTGCTCAGGGTTAAACTGAAGATTCATCTATACTCTAGAGAACTTTCCCTGCCACGTTTTTATTTTTTATATTTCATATTTTAATCTATTTGAAATGCTGTTTGGTCCACAGCATGTTGGGCAAATCTTTTCTTCTCCAGATAAACACTGCTCCTCAAACCTTTTGTTAAATATTTCACCTTTATATGATACTTTTTAAAGAAACCATATATTAAATTTATGTGCATGTGTGTGTGTTTTCAGGGCTTTTGAGTTCATGATGATGATTACTGATTCTGACACCATTCCTATACTACTTTAATTTTGCTAATTTCATAGTTTTTAATCTCGGATACTAGCTCCTTTTAGAATCAGGTCTACTATTATTTCATAAATTCTAATTGCTAATCTTAAAAATATTTCAATTAGGATCAGAAATCTATTAGTTTAAGAACATTATATCTTTAAAATACAGATTTTTTTCCATCTTGGAACGTATTGTACCTCTGAGTTGATTCTCGTTTACTTTTCGCTAGTGAAATTTCATCATTATCCTGAGGTAGCTTTATTTAAGTTATATGTAGATATTTTGATTCATTATAAAAGTAATCTTCATTAAGTCAGACATACATAAAACCCAGAGGTAAATTATAAATAACATTATTCCCAAAGTATATAACAAACAAAATTAAAAATTCTGAAAATTGTAAGTGACACTACTAAAAGGACAGAGAGAACAGTAACTAAAAAGAAAAATATACAAAGGGGCAAAAATATGAAATTTTAACTTTATTAACAATAAAAATTGAATAAAGTATAACACCACTTTTTGCTTATCAAGTAAACAGTTATAAGCATTTCGAAAATAATTTGGAAGTATAAAGCTTTAAAAAGCCCATGCATATTAATCAGTTATTAGGTTACTAGGACTCTATAAATTTATTTAACAATGATGACAAAGATTTATATACAAGGGTGTTCACTGAAGCATTATTGGTCATAGTAAAAAACGAGAAACAAATGTAACATCCAACAGTAATTACTTGTACAATGGAATATTTTGAAAAATTCAATAATGTGTTTTTGAAAACATTAATAATAAATGCAGAAGTTCGAGAAATATGTAAAAAAAGGAAAAAATTATATGATTCAAACTATATGTACATAGATAAGCCAGGAAAAATATACAGGAAAATAAATGTTAACATTTTTGGTACTTCAGATTTTTTTTTTAGAAATAGGAATTAAACACAGAGCTTTGCACTGAGCTACCTCCTCAGGGCTTTCTTTTTATTTTGAAACAGGGTCTTGCTAAATTGCCCAGGTTGGGCTTGAACTTGCAATCCTCCTGCCTCCACCTCTAGCATGCTAGAATTTTAAGCATGACCCCAAATGGCTGGTTTGATTTATGTATTATTTTATTGCCAACAACATAAACCCCTCACTCATTTTTAAAAGTATCTCCATACTTTAAAAGAATCCTAATTTCTTTCTTTTCTTTTTGCTCTTTTGAGATATTCTTAATACGTAGTTCAGGATGCCCTTGAACTCACTATGTAGCCTAGTCTGGCCTCGAACTCGCAGCAATCCTCCTGCCTCAGCGTCTGGAGTGCTGGGATTACAGGCGTGTGCTTACCACGCCTAGCTAGAAGTATCTTAGTTCTAACATTTCAAAAGAACATTATAATAAATTATTCTTTATTAAATTTTTGATAAATTTTTAAGAAACATAACCATCAATTGTAATTGCTCTTTATTTCATGTTCACATAGGCATTTAATATATGTGCCACATGATGAATTACGATCATGCGCTAAGACTCACCTTGATTTGATTCCTTTAAAAATCTCTAACACATAAGCTGAAGGCTATAAGAGAAGATTTAACAGCATTAGTGATACTCTTGGTTGGTTTCTGTTCACAGTGATTTCTATCACCTAAAAAGCAATGACCCCTCTCTCATTTGAAGAAACAGTGTTCTACCATGGCAAGACCTGCACGGGCTTATAGTTAGCCAGATCCAGGTTTACAAATGACCTGAGTCTTTAGCAACTAAGTTGGGCCATTTGCTTATCTATGAAATGAACCTAACATTGACTCATAAGATTACTGTGAGGAATGAGACATACAAGTAAAATACTAGGTAAATAGTTATTACTGGATAAGCATATTCTTCCTTTACCCTTCCCTCTTTTCTGTTTTTTGATTGACTATGTCAGTGTAAAAGCCCCACCACAGACATCAAAGGTTCTAGTTTAATTCCTAGTTCCCACCCCTGCCTTGGGGATGGATCTTCATGTTTACCATTTCTGGAATGTATGGCTGTAAACGCTCTGCCCTTCCTGGACTCCCAAAATGTATTTTTCTCCCGTAAACGCTTTACCCCTCCAGGATTCTCGGAATGTACTGTTCTTCCCTTAAAAAAATCCCCTCATTGTTACAGATGAGACATGTGTTTGCCAAACAGGATGCGGTTTTAGGGTTTAAAAACCGCTCTCATCCCTGGATCAGGACTGGCCTGATCCTTCCCTGCGTGCAGGCTCTCAGTCAGTCCCTGGCCAGGAATAAAGGCTCATCCTAAATTCCAATTGGCGGGCCGTGCGTCTTGTGTTTGTCGGTTGGTACCATTTGGTTTGTTTCTGGTTGTGAGTCCAGAACAATCAGCTCTTCCTCTAAAGATATATTTGAAAGTTCATTTAAAAGAACAGAATCTTCAGAGAGCTTTGGATAATGACCCTAACTAAGTAAGTACTAGAACGCTGAAGAATGTTGAGTCCAGTCAAACCAAAAGGCTGACTTAGGAAGTGACACCAAGGTGGTCCTTTTGAAATTAACACACATACTTAAATATGGCAAGGTTTCTCTTATATGAGAAAGCCAAAATATAAATAAACACCAAAGTAAAAGACAGATAACAGGAAGCAGGGAGATAAATCTTTCTCAAATGGGAAGGAAACTGAGAGGTGGGATGGGGGTAGGCTGGGAGGGGAAGAGGATGAAAACAGAATTAAAATGAGTTATGCACATGGACCAACACACAAGGAATGCAATCATCACGTACTGCGAATGTGGACTAATTAAAAAAAAAAAAACTTACAGAGACATCTAAACACTCAGAAATATTTTTAAAGACAATAATTTCCCAATGCATCCATCTCCAAATTGAAAGGCATCTCCACTTTCTTTCAGCTTTAAAAATCAAGGGAAAGCAGACATTCTACTCACTGAAATATTGCCATAAGCCATCAGGACGGGGTTGATGGGAAGAGGAACCTATGAAGAAATTATTATATGCCATTACAAGACAGTGATAGCACTTTTCAGAGAGGGTAACAACAATATTTTATAATTTTGAAAAGAGAAGGAAACCCTAAAAGCTAGAATAGTATAAAAGAATTATAAGGCCTTTTAGTTTTCTACAGTTTTAAGTTTGGGCAGTACATTTTTACATAAAAACCTGAAATGGTTACCCTGCCTCCCAACCAACAAGGGAATGTGAGCTCCTAACTCAACACATTAATTGTTTCCATCTACAATTCCTATTCTTCCCTTGTTATTAATACTATGATTTTTCCTCCTATTGTTCCTCTATTTATTTTGATACCTGAATTGGAAAAGATTCTACTGCATTCATCTTATATTGATCTGAGTTAATAAATTGTGAAATGATTTGCATCTCAGGAATCCCATTGGCATTTTCTAGCTCAAAGTTGAATGAACTATCATTACCTCTTTCCCTGCAGCCTTACAAATGGCTTTGTGTTCTTTCATTTTTGCAGTTTCTTCTCGGTAAAGCTCAATGGCCTCCATGATCCTCTCAGCCTACTCAGATGATGACAAAGGACAGAAATCATCACAACACATTCATCACCCCAGGACACACAAACCGGAAGGCCTGACCATAAATTTATGATGTGAACAGCTCAAATCAGTCTAATAAAGACATGCCAAAAAGTATTTATAAATGTCCTTGGTTTTATTTATTTATTTTTTAACTTGTAAGGAAAAGACTAAGGTGAGACCATTTCTGGATACCTCAAGTAGGGAAGTTTCCAAGAACATCTAAAAGGTGCTACTTTTAGAGGGAATCAGTGTTTCTTGCTAGAAATGATACACCGAGCAGGTAAAGGTTAAGGTCTCCATCTCTGGGGCTGGGGATTTAGTTCATGGCAAAAGCGCCTGCCTGGCAAGCGCAAGGTCGTGAGTTCAGTTCCCGGTACCAGAGAAAAACCAAAAAACCAAAAACAAAAAAAAAAACAAAAAAGATCTCCACCTCGAATTTCATCAATCTTCTGCCACAAAAGGCTATTTCACTGACATAGAAAGACTTGTACTATAAAGCTGGAGTCCTATTAAAAATTGAGATGCATGAGGCGGGATAGAAGAAATATTGCAGGCAGAAATCGGAAGGAAATTGTAACTAAAAATACTTGTAATAAGATTGCAGCTTGAGGCCCCAGCCAAAGCTCCCCAGTGGGATCCATATCAGCATTTCCTTTGGTTAAATTCAGGTTTCCTTCCTTCAAGACCCATCCCACCCAAAATTCCTCAGGGATACTTAAAGGCCATTAGTTGGCTTCACCCAGAAAGTAAAGAGTAGGGAGCGACCCTAAGATAAAGGAAAACAGAGAGAATCCAAAAAATGTTTAAATTACCTATTCAAAAAAAACTGGGCCCATCTCTGCAGAATGGGCTAGTTCCCTTCTTAGGGAGTAGGCTGCCTTTTTCCGGGGTTTTCACCCCTTCAAGAGAAGCATAAATGTTCCTTCTTCCAGGAAATAATGCACCTCATTTCTCTGAGCATCCACACCCCACTCTTGTGAACTGAAATTTCTGATTTATAAATCTTTCCCAAACCTCTTACTGACACATTTTGAAAATTCTCTTTCCATGACAAGGATCAGTAAACCTGTAGGCCCAATCTGTTTAGAGTTGGTCAGATTCCTTATCTGTGCTTCAGCAACCTCGTCAGACCCTGTCCTGCTGCAATATGCTCTACTTCAACTTACCGCTTTCACTGTTTCAATAGTTTTCTTTCCAGTAAAGTAATTGTCACCTTGAGTTTCCCCTGGAACCTGCCAGAAACAAAGATGCCTTTGAACAATACTATTGACAGGGGCTAAGGAAGCAACAAACAAGTCCTTTATCTATCCCAGGCATCATTTTATGAAAATAATAACAGTTATCAGCTATCATTGAGTACTTTATGTTATACACATTATCATAAGAACATCCTGTAAACGTTTAGAGTATGCAATTTCTCAAAAACTTTCTCATTTTAATTTTTGTTCTACAGTGAATTCTATAATTCTCTAAAGTCGTCTTTTTAAAAAAAATGTCAGAATAACAATTGCTCAGTATCAAATTTGATCAATCACTTGTGTCACAAAACCAAAAATATACAGTTGAATAAAAAACCCTCATAGATTTGTTCTTATAGCAGTTGATGATTCCTTTGGAATCTAATTCCAGTTCTAATTCCACTTAAAATTATAGTAAATTCCAAGTTCGCAAAAGATTTACTTACAGCTGGTTGGTCTTCTTTGGCCACACTCTCCTCGTATTCTGCTTCCCTTTGCTGCCATAAGATAGATTAGCAGTTAATTGGAGGTCAGAATCATGGTCCCCGTGCAACATGAAAGAAGGCAGGGAGAAGCCTTTTCTTTCAAAGCAATTCCCTAAGGATATCTGTGTCCCTGCCTGACCTCTGAAATGGGTGACACCGTTCTTGGAAATATTTCCTACAGGTTCTTGGACCGGTAGTGAATGAGTGAGCCACCGCTGCCCTAAACATGAAGCTTCAGCTAGGAGAGTCTGTCCTTTACCCACCCACATATTTAAAATGAAACGAGAAAATAAAATAAAATAAAATGAAGCCAGGCCTAAGTTCTTACCATCTCCCTTTCTTCCTCAAGAATGAGTGGCTCCCTTGTTCTCTCCCACAGTCTTAGAGATTTGTCATGAGATGAGGATACAACGTAGTCCCCGCTGGGGCTCACAGCCAAACACCATATTTCTTGGTGGTGCCCCTGGAGAAAGAAACGCCAAAAACCCCAAGTAAGAATAACAGATTCACAGGCCATTATCCACTTATATTAATGGGTGATATAAATGTTCCTAAAACCAATTCTTAAACACTGATTAAACAGAACAGGTGAGAGGTTACCTCCAGAGTTTGTATGTGTTCAAATTTGTCTGCATCCCACTGCTTAATCTTATGGTCTTTCCCAGCAGTGAAGAAGAGGTGAGACTTAGGGACAAACCGTAGGTACATCACGCTGAAAGTATTCAAAAGTCATCAAATTCCAAGTTAGTAAGGAGTCTCACAAACATAAACAGCTTTGACTATCTAGTTCTAGAGTGTCTGACTGTACGTTAGAACTTCCCATTGCTCACAAAGTGAGGGACACGGGTGCTCTAGGAAATGATACAAGTGACTCCAGGGGAGGCCTCCGGAGCCTACGCTACCTGTCATCATGTGCAAAGAGAGACTTATGGCAGTCTCCGAAGTCCAGGCCCCAGATTTTCACATTTCTATCAGCAGAGCCAGTCGCTATCAGGGCTCCATCCTATGAGAAAGAGAAGCAGATATTATCTAGTATTTGAATTGTATAAATTAGATAAATAAAAGCTAACCAGAATATTTAACCCATTTCTTATAAAAACATTAAAATAAAGCCAAAAACATCCATTTCCTTTCTCTACTAATTCTTCGCTTTTTCTTCCAGAGCCGATTAAAAAACTTAGTGACTGTACGAACTCTGTGTCTTCAGTGACCACCACAGTGCAGGGCTTCCCTTCCATGGAAGATTACCACTAACTCTGGTGAACAGGAAACACAACCTCTAACCTCCGCCACAACAGGAGGAAAGAGGAGACAATGAGACTGGGATGCGATGTACTGGGACGTTTACGACTGAGCTTGTGCCCTATATTCCTCACCACCATTCCCTCCTCTCTTTCCTGTGTCAGTGCCTACTTCAAACAGCTGTTAGTGCACCAATCAGACAGTGACAGGGTCAGTTGTTTTTCTCTTTTAAATACACATTTTTACTTCTAGTCATAATCAGATATTGGAAAAATGGTATTCTGACCAAGAGACTGTATAGATAATGCAAACTACCACAAATATTCAAATAAAAAGTGAATTTCACAGCAGAATATCCTACAGTACAGAAAGGGAAGCCTTTTTAAAGTCCCTCAATGTTCAGGTGATCTACTAAGTACAGAATTTTTTTTGTGTGTGTGGGTTTTTTTTTTTTTCTGGTACCAGGAATCGAACTCATGACCTCACGCTTGCCAGGCAGGAGCTGTGCCGCTGAGCTAAATCCCCAGCCCCAATTACAGAATTTTAGACAATACAATTTAGGAGCACCACAAGAGTGAGTTACAGGGATTAACTGAGAGATTTGTGAAATTATTCTGAAAAGATTCAATATACTAAAGATATAATTATAATACATAATTCACTCTACTACTTGAGAAAATCAGATAGACAACAGAATGAAGTGAAGATATCAAGCCAAGAATTGAGAAAAATGTCAGTTTTAGGTAACTTGTTTTTTTAAAAAATCTTTTTAAATGTAATACAAGTAGACACTAAAAAATATAAAAACACTTCTACAAATTTATAATAAAATAATAAGAGAATAACACTTGTTAATATACAGTGTATCATGATCTTATATGAAGGTCCAAAATGTTACTCAGAGTATAAGTCATAAACAAAAATGAAAAAAAGATTCTCCCTTATAAAGAAGAAAAAACAAATAGGACAAAACTTTCTTTTCAATGAAAAGAAGAAACTAGAATCACTGAAACAATTTAGTATTTATCTTAAAATATTTTTGAAACAACTTTAATTTGGGGAATTTGAACTTTTGAACGTTTCCCTATTTCCTATTTATCTATCTTGTCACTGAAACACTATTTCAGTTTTACTTACGTAAGAGATATCCATGCATATAACAGGCAGTTTGTGTCCATACAGTGAGAGAAAAAACTAAACACAAAAGAAAAAAAATACAGATAACTCATATTTATCTAGAACATATAGGTATAATTACATGTAGGTGAATAATATAAACGGAAATGTAATACTAAACACACTTCTAGACAGTGCTTTGTATTTCAGAGCCACTGAAGACTGGTCAAGATGGTCTGCGTCCGCTATGCAGACCTGACCTGCACTTGCAAAGAACACTGTGACACAGTGAAAGCAGGGAGCTTCCAGAGACTTGCTGCCTGATAACTGAGAAGACTATGGAACACTTGACTTACAAGGCATTCCCAGGCCCAATCTAGTCCTATGATAGGGATACTCTGGGCTTTGGACCTAGTAATTTGTATTTTTTAAAGGACTCAAAATGATCCTGAAGTCCAGACAAGTGGAAAAACTGCATAAGATACCTAGAATGGTAGGATATTCTGTTCACAAAATTTTCTGAAATATAACTTGCTTCACACAAAGTTTATGAATCACAGAACTCTTTAAAAACCCTTAGCTCCCCTAGTATATTGATGAGGATTTTATTTATACACAAGTTTGCTGGGCATAATAAGGGTACTTCTTTATAATCGCAACCTAAATTCTACTTTTTTTGTGGGTCTGTTTTTGAGACAGGGTTTTGCTGTGCAGTTGAGGTTGGCCTTGAAACCACTTTGTAGCCCAGCCTGGCCTCAAATTCCCGGGAATCCTCCTGCCTCAGCCTCCCAAGTACTGGGATTATAGGCATGCACCACCATGCCCAACCTTTCAACTCAAATTTTTTTCAGGTCAGTCAGAAAGAAAGAAAATATTTCCACAGTACCTTTAAGGTGTCAATGTAGAAAATTTTCACAGTACAGTCCAGCAAAGACACAGCCAACAGCTTTTGATCGGGAGAGTAATTTACACACAGAACATCTTCATCTAGTTGTAAGGTTCGAGTTTGCTTTACAGAAAGTCTAGCATCACAGAAAGTAACAAGCAAAAAATATATATATAAAAGAATACTCTACAAACCCACGGCAGAAAATTCCAAGCACAAGCACAACAGACATACAAATACTTATCAAAAGGTCATTCAATGACTCCTCGTTTTTACTCAAAAAAATGGACCCCCCCTAAAAAAAAACCCCAAAGAACAAAAACTCCTCACCTCTTCTGGGTACTGTTTTCATCTTTTACCAACTCAAAGTCCCAGAACTTGACAGATTTATCTGCACCACCTGTTACAAAGCCACGCTGAAAATTAAATAACATTTTGATTAGAGACCACTTCAATAGAGAAACCTTGCTAAGAAAACATGTCAGAAGAATCTAAAAGACCATTTTTATTTGATGCATAGGTCAGAATTAAGAGAAATGTGATTCTTCCTAATCTCTTCCACTTTTTTAGGGCACTGCTCTCACAAACCTCAGTAGACAATTCCCAGTAACACAGAGATGATAACAAATTCTGTCCAGTGTGGCCAATGTATCTAAAAGTGTACCTTGATTTAGCGCAATTGTCTTATGTGTTTTTTATCTTTTTTGGCCTGTTGGTCTGGTTGTTAAGCTGTTTTTACAGTAATTAACTTGATAAAGACATAAGAAAGAAGAAAAACATTTTAAAAAGAAAACAGACATGGAACAGAAGTGGGGTAGAAGTAAGATGCGTCAAATACATGGTACCTACCAAGTCTCCACAGTGAATGTAATCACTATACACTGTAAACATGTATTGGTAAAGAAAAATTTTTTTAAAAGTTCTAGTTATATTTTATGAAGAAAAATCCTTAATGAATATTGTGGGATATCTTTGTTTGTTTCATGTAAGGCAACAGTCAAAAGAATTTGCTACAAAGACAATTAGTTTAAGATATAGATAATAGAGAAATATGTGCATATATATAGAATAAGTTAAATAAATTTGTTTAAAGTATTCATCTAAGAAGAATATAAATTTATTGCTGTGATATCCCTGTTTAAAACATATTTGCAATGTTTTTCCAAGATCAAGAAAATCAGTCCCACTACATCAGAGGAGCAGCATAAAGTACATAAAACAGAATCAGAACACTGGATCTCGTCTCCTCTGGTATCTCACTGATTTTAAAACAAGAAGCAACTATCTCCTGATCCTTGGTTTTGTTACAGTGAAACACTACAAAGTTTATAGAAAATATAGAACATTTCTGATACAAGGTGTTACTACTAATTTAAATTCATAGTTGTTTGTTTTGATTCCAAACGACATGAAAGTCTAGATTTACTTTTCTAAAAATAGTATGTACTTTCAATGGATCAAAGGTTTGCCACCACTGAGAATATTGTAATGAATGGGCTAAAGCTCCTATGATATCATCCAAAAATGTATCAGAATCTTTAGAATGACCAGCACCATCACTAGAATATTTAGTTCTCTGTGATGAGTCTCACAAAGGGGAGTACATTTTTATTGACTTCTAAGGACCGATACAGTTCTTGAAACACGATTTTAAGCTCACAGATGCTTGGACTAAAAGTGGAAAAGAAAAGTCCACTCAATGCAGTGTATTGTGTTCCTCAAGAGAACACTGCCTCTTAAAAATATCACAAACCACTGGTTAAAAAAAATCATGAAGATAACAATTTGACGCCATGTTGCAGATCATCGAAAGCGGCTCAACCTGAATTCATTTCATCATGACAGCACAGATACCACAGGCAAATGAAATGGGATCAAATATAAAGTTTGAAGATTAGATACATTACAAAAAACTTTCTTAAAGAAGCCCCAAGAAAAATCATTCTTAGGCAGCATTTAATATAAGGATTGAGGCACATGGCCACAGTACTTAAAGAAGTACAAACAGCATCAAAAGCAGCTCTAAAACTGGTGGAGTCACCTGATCTGGCGAGAGAGACATGGACCACAGAGCTCCATCATGGGCTTCTATTGTCTCCAGCAGATTCCCTGAAGCCAAGTCATACAGCTGTAATTTCCCCGTCTAGGAAGACACAATAGGTACACAACTCTAATGAGCACAACTATAATTCTCATGATTCATGCCTGACAATTTAGAGAAGATTTCATAATGAAGTATCAACGACACAATCCATTGCTTACGGAGATGGCTCCCGTCCTCTGAATAAATACTGTTAAATCCTCCACTGCCATGCTGAGTTCACCATGGCTGAGCTGCCGTGCTGCACAACTATGCCACCTACAGCCCTGTCACTTTCACTGGGTCCACAACTTTGAAAGGGAAGCATCACAGCCACAGGCAAATCAAAATAAACATAATAACAAATCCACAATCCAAAATCCCTCCAATCCTGTCACTGGATACTCTCCACAGTGATTGCTTAACAAGTTCTTTTTCATCTAGTTTTAATTTCCTCTTTCATAACACTTTGACAATGAAATGATCTACCTATAATGCTAAGAAGAACAATGAACTAAAACAAACAATCATTCATACTGTCATCCACAATCTGATTCCTGGTTAGAGATCTGTAAACGCCATGACCATGGCATTGGCATGTAAAACACATGCAGTGCCAAAGCCTAGCTATGTGATGAGCGTCTGCACAATGTGGTGGAAAAAATGTGAGCCAAACGTGAGTTCTGGCCTACTTAAATTATGATTTGGATATTGTACGTCCCACAAAAGGCTCAGCAGCTGACAGACTTTGGAAAGGGATAGGATTTGAGGGCTATGTCATCATCAGTGGATTCATTCATTGATGAGATCAATTTGATGGTATTACTGAGAAGTGACAGAAACAAGAGGTGGGGATGAGATCTGGTCTGCAGGCTCTTCTCTGGCTCTCTTTCTCTGTTTCCTGGCTAACATGGAAGGTAGATGACCATCTTTTCTCTGCTGTGCACTTCCTATATAATGTTTCTCCTTTGCCAAGCCTTAAAAGCAATGGAGCCAGCTGACCATGGACTGAAACCTCTGAAACTATAAGCCAAAACAAATGTGTTTTTCTTTTAAGTTAATTTTCTCAGATATTTGGTCAGTGACAAAAAGCCTATTAGCACAGGTAGTTTAGAACTCTGTGGCCTTTGGTAAACACACTCTTGAATCTGTTTTGTTCTTATGTAAAATGGAATTTATATCATCAGTGTCTCTGCGGAGGTTATAAGGAGAAAAGATGTATATCAACTGTCGGCTGCAGGGGTCAAGCCAGGGACTACATGTTGGTCATGTGGGCAGTCCTCACAGCAATTCCCAAAATGCTTTCCCTACAGAAAAGGGGGTATTTATGAGAATAAATAAAAAATGAGAAAAAATTCTAACTCAAATGTTAATGCTGGGTCCTTGACACTAATCTTAAAATCTTTCTAACACTTTCTACACTTTTTATTGGGCAAGAAACATCTGCTGTGATGCATAGGCTTTCTTATAAGATTCATGCAAATGGACTGAAACCTCTGAAACCCTTTCAGAGGTTTCAGCCCAGGTTTATGGAAATAATGATGACAAATCCTTGAGAAGCACTTTTCAAAACATACTACAGATGACTCCAATTTATCCTCAATGTTACTTGCTACCAGCTCTACTTTAGATCAGTTATTTGATGTGGGCCAATATCTGTGCTGAGTCCTTTGCGTGTTTCATCCCTGTGAAGTGTGTTATTAATATCACACTATCCAAGAAAACCAGGACTAGTAGAGTTAAAGTAATTTGCTCAAAGGTCACAGCTATTAAATGGCAGAGCTAGGATTCTAATGTATCTGTGTAAATGCCATCATCTTGTCACACAGATGAACATTGTCAATGAAACTGTGAGACCCGCTCCAAATTACTCATTTTATAAAAACAGAATTTGAATTTAAATCTCATGTCGGCTCATGCCCAAACTGATTGGCAGGTAGTGATTAGGACTTGGCCAGTTTGGTTTTATTTGAATGTTTCTATCTGTCAAACATGACACCAGATATTTGATATATTTTAATTGTTTTCTTAATTAATATATTAATATATTTTATCAACTAAATAAATTTATTAATATATTTGATTAATATATTTTATTGATAATGAATATATTAATTAGTATATTTTATTATCAAATAAAACATTATTATATACATGTTCATAAAACCATGCATGAAAAAATGATCATAAAAATAATGGCAGTTATATCATGGTCAAGAATTATTCTTCATAATTTGACACTGGTTTAAAACAAATTAAGAAAGTAAGCTTAAAAAAATAAAAAAGAGCCATGAACTACCATCTTCCTACATATATTTCAACTATGCTGAGGAAGAAGCCAGATTTCTCACACTTTAAGATACTAGCAGAAATGCCTCAGAAATCCAAGAAAGACATCTCAGTTTACCTTTGTTCCTATGATCACCTGCCTGTCACCAGGCACAAAGAATGAACAAAGTGCATATTCACAACTCATTGTCCGAATACACTGCAGTGTAGACCTATGAGAAAAAAAATAAAGCACTCGTATGTTAAGGAGACCTGCTTCTGCATCATAAAGGTTAGTGTATACATGTTCAGTCACACAGAGGGATCAACACGAGAAAAGTCTTCACATTTCTTAACTCAGACACAATTACATGCAAGGAAAATAGTATTATAGAGCACCAAATCTTATTGTTTTTACAGGTACCTCCTGATACTAAGGAACAGAAAACACACAAAAGCAAAAGTATCTGCTGGGCTTTTTAGGCTCTGATCCACCATTACCAAGAAAGGTGAGCCTGAAGGTTTAAAACTGAATAAATATATCATTACATTTTTCTATATGTAAACTTCACTTTATAGAACCACGGCCATTTATCCATTCAACAATTATGGCTATGTGCTGCACAATGATGCTCTGGTCAATGATGGGCCAAACTTACGGCAGTTGTACATTATACTGGGGTTGAAAATTTCCTATCACTTGTGATACTGTAAGGGTTGTACCGCTCTGGTGTAGTGCACTACTCACATGTTTGTGGTGATGCTGGTGTACACACACCTATTGCTTTGCCAGTTAAAGTACAAAGCACACAAGTATGTAAGGTACATAACACCTGATAATAATTAACAACTACGTTATTGATTTGTATGTTTATAATACTATACTTTTGACTAGAGGATACTCTAGTTATAAAAAAGTTTTACTCTAAAACAGAATGCCATGTTACCCTGGCTGCATCCCATATACCTCATGCTACCACTTACCTTGACTGCATTAGAGGTCATGACAAGTGACTGACCTATATACTACATAGGTTTAGGTAAGTACACTCAACTATGTTCGTATAATGGGAAGATCACCTAACAATGAATTTCTCAGCATGTTTCCCTTCTGTTGAGTGATGGCATGCCTGCATATATCAAATGCTTCACTACATTCAACATTTACTAAATGCCTACAACATGGCAGGTACTAATACAAGTGCTAGAAATACAAAAGTGGGTAAAAGAGTAGAGGTCCTTAACTTCACAAAGTTTAACATTCTTTGGTAGTGATAAATATGTAAACATTTGATACACGAGATGCTAGTAGGTGCTATGGAGAAAGGGCATGTTGGACAAAGAATGAAAGGGCAAGGAATAGGGACAACAGGATGGTTATTTCATAAAAAGGCAGGAAAAGCCTATGGACACCTAGGGAAAGATGGTTTCAGACAGAAAAAAACACGAGGCAGCACATTTTGTTGTGATCAAGGGATAACAAGAAGGCCAGTGCAGCTCTAGTCGATCTGAAGAGTAGAGTAGTAAGAGACAAGGTCTGTCAAGGACTTTGCTCTGCAAAATGAGATGGAACTATTGGAAGTTAGCTAACTCCCACTGCAAAAAGATTATACCAGCTGCTGTGCTGACAAGCAAGGAAAAGGGAGAACCGTCAGGGGCCACAGCCAGCCTGCAGGTGAGAGGAGGGTGTTGTGAACTCAGGTGGTGGCAGCAGAGGTAGTGAGCTGTGGTTGGATTCAGAATTAGAGCTAGTTGGATTTGCTAATAAATTGAATGGACATGGGATACGAGAAAGCATTAAGAATGGCTACAAGGCCTTGGGCTAGAACACTGAGAGGAAGTTAACTGTTGATGTCTAACAGACATCAGAGTGGTGACATAAAGTATTTGGATATGAGAATGTGATATTCAGAGGAGAGCCTAATGCGAGGTATAAATCTATGTGTCGTGAAACAGAGACTGTTACACGACTACAGACCACAGAAAGTGAGTTTAGGTAGAGGAAAGGTTGAAAGAGTGTCCTGAAGCACTTCTAAGGACTGAGAAAAAATATCATGCAAAGGAAAGGGACATAATACAAGTTTTTAAAAAGTGTTTCAGAGAGGAGAAAGATCCTACATACAATTTCCTTTCTCCTACATTATGTATTTCCTTTCTCCTACATACATCCAAGGAGACAGCATCAAATGAATCTTGTCAATTGCTGGATTTAGAAACATGATCCCTGATGGGATGACAGCTATTTTGGTGAAGGGGGCGGAGGTGGTTAAAAGCCTCAAAGAGGAAAGAGGAAAACAGAATGGAGAAAAGGAATCAGAGAATGGGGTAGTAACTGGAAAATGATGAAGGGATGAATGAGGGTTATTTATTTTCATACGGGAGAAATATCAGAGCATATGTTCAGGCTGAGAAGAATGATCCATAAGAGAAGAAATTAATGTAGGAGAAAGGAAAATTGCTAGAAAAAAGAGAAAGGACCTCAAATGTAAGTTGTGATCAGCCTTGTTTAGGAAGACCAACAAGCAATAGAGAAAGACAATGACATGGACAGAAACACAACCACACTGTTTGTATATTGATAGTATTATGAATGTTCTTCTAGATGCTTCCATTTTTCAGGGACCCAGGAAACAAGGTTATTAGCTTAAAGGTGGTAGAAGTATCTGACACTTGAGAAATGTATAAAACAGTCACCAATAGAAAAAAAAAGAATGATGGAAAATTATAAACAGCACTAAGAATATACATAATTTTAAAGAGTAGGCAATATGGTCCTGGTCTCTCGAGCCAAGGTCAACTACAAAGTTTCAGAGATGGAAAAAAGCTTGTTTTTTTTTTTGTATCAAATTCAAAAAGATGTATTTTTGTACTGAGACCCATAGGCCAATGGCCAAAATACACTTAACATATATTTTTAGAGAATTGTATGTAGGATCTTAAGAAGCTAATTATCAACCACCTAGAGAACCAAAAAAACAATTCCAAGGAAAGGAAATTTCACTGGATAAAGCTATGGGGAACATCATTTCACAAACCTGTTCCATATCTTAATGGAATCAGCTGCTGCTGAAAGAACAGCAATATTGTCTGAGCTGAACGACAAGGTCCTCACATCACTGCGATGACCCCCAATGGTGATTCTGCCGGTCCTGACAGGCTGGGGAGCAGGCAACGATGCACTGAGTGAATATAATTCCACCAGGTTGTTTTGGAGCAGGAAGACAGCCTTTAACTCTCCTTGAGGCGAATGGATCAAGTCAAAGGATCTGCATGGGAAAATAATCATAAGCATTCTAGCACGGGCTACATCCTCTAATGCTTTCTACGAGAAAGACTCTGTGACGCTCTCAATCTATGTGATATATGAACATGTAACAGAACTTAACAAGACTGCTCTGAGTATTGAGCAGTAGTCAAGTACAGACTTTTAAGTCAAACTACTTGGGCTCATTTCTGACATATATCCTGTTTCTGTGTATACATTTATTAAAGCGACCTTAAATGTTTTCTGAACATGGGATATACAATTTTTTTTTAAATTGGCAGCAGAAAAGGACCATAACAAATAGGTAAAAGGCTATAATAATCCAAATATAGAATAAGTCAGTGTGGCCATGGTGAAGGTCACAGGGACAGTGTGACGTGGATATCTCGTGATTAGTATCTCCAAATTCATAATTCATATAGACACCTAGTAATTATATGAAGAACCCATAATACTTTGTAACTTACTATTCTTTTTTGAGCCAAGGTCTTGCTATATAGTTCACACTGGCCTCAAACTTGTAGTGATCCTCTTGCCTCAGCCTCATGAGGGCTGGGATTATAGGTGTACACCACCACACCCACCTATAATTTACTATTCTTATAAAAACTTCAGATACTACAGTTTTACTTACTTGATTTTGGCAGATGTTTTGATATTAGCTACTCGCTGGATTTCATCTTTCAGAGTCATTTCAATATTAATTTCGAGGTCCTCCTCCTCTCCTTTGCAAGAGTTTAATCTAGGGAAAAATGGGGGAAAAAAGAGTATCAACCTATCACTTGTATAGAAAGCAGCTTTGCTCTTCCAATCCAAAATATGGCCCCATGATAAAAAAGCTATGTGGTTCTTGGAAAGTTACTTCACCACAAAGGATAACCATTAAAATTAATTATTGTAAAATATTATTCCACTTAATAGAAACCCTCAGTAAATGGATTCTGAATGCAACAGCCTGTAATACTTCTGGGAAGAAGCCTTTGTAATTCAAATTATTTCACTGAAATGTTTCTAGTAAATTTTTCAAACTCTAGGACTTTGTAAATAATCCTGCACTTAACAATCCATCCATGGCAAATAAATCAAGACAGGTCTCAAACGATCTGCTAAGTCAGATGTCATTATATCTTTTTGAGACTTGATAAATTTCAACCACTAAAGAATGGATTGCCAGGTGCGGTGGTGCACACCTGCAGTCCTAGCTATTCAAAAAGCTGAAAGAGGAAGACGGCAAGTTCGAGGCCAGCCTAGGCAACACAATGAGACCGCATGTCAAAATTTTAAAAATAAATAAGTAAATTTCAAAGCTAGAGATGTAGCTCAATGGTAAAGTTCTTGTGTAGCATACAAAAGGACCTGGCTATGGTTACAATGATCTCTTTCAAGGTTATACTGCTCTAAGCTTCAATAACATAAATGTTCAGTCTTTCTTCTCAGTCTTAAAGGTTAACATTATGCAACCCTGCTTTCTTCCTTATAGGCTGCTGCCATTAAAGGCAGGATGTTAGACTTTGAGAGTTAAGTAGCTTGAAACTATTCTTAAAAACCTGCACATCTTTCTAGTTCTTTGTAGGCCTAAGTCTAAGATGCAGAAATGTTTTAGTTACAAAAATGTACCAAAAACCAAAAATTCAAACATGAACTCAGACCCACAAATTTTTTTCTCATTTTTAACAATCACTGGTAATAGGGTAAACATTTTCTTAACAAAGCCAACAGTTTTTCTCAGTAATATATGGCCTACCCAGGATACTTCATTAATAGGTAGAAAGAAAACATACCTTGCTTTTTTCCTAGCTTTCTTCATTTTCTTATCCATTTTCTTTTGAACTTCCTCTTTGGAAAGAATACAAAACACTTCTAGCACAGAATCAGTTCCCTAGAAACGCAAAAGGCTGATAAAGTCCAAAAGAGGCAGTGTGTAATTTTGCTGATGTGCTGTAAGATCTAAACAGTAACATCTGCTTTGCTTCCCTCAGTCACGTTATTATCTGAAACACCTCAATCTAAGTTTGTTGCCTCAGCTGGAAAGAAAGGTACCACTTCCTACTCACAGCATTGTTCTGAAGAGTAAACAAGAGGTATACACTTTTATATTGCTTGGAAAAACCAGCATTTAAGAATAATAAAAGTAACTAGATTTGCTGTTAGGCTAACATGAACTAGAGATTTTAGACCCACATAGTATCATATATAATGAACTACTAATATGATAAAAGAAAATCTGTCTCTATACTGAATGTAAAAAAAAAAACAGGAATACTATACTTGAAAGGAACAGCCTAATCCCTCTTACTTTCTCCAAAGCCTGGTACTCACGTGGCAAGCAAGAATCCTGCCTGTCTTGTCAACTGCAAGGTTTACAACTCTGTCCCTTCCTTCCCGAATTATGGAGCCCGCTTTCTTGCATGAAAGGATGCGCTACGCAAAAGCAACAGAAGATAAAGTTTAAATGTTAGTTATGCTGCATCTCTGAAAGCATGTGATTCTAATAAATGAAGTTGACAAAAATATTCCGTAAATGATGACAAGAATTACACATTTAAAAAATCTGCAGTTCTCAGTACTCAATTCAGCTGAAGTAACAAAAGTGAATTACATCCTCAGGAGTCTCGTCCACCTCAGGAGCACCATCCTCTGCACCAAGTGTGTCCTGGACTCTGGGAGAAGACTCTCTGATTTTTTTGTGCTCTGGTTCTTCCAGGTCTTCAATCTGTTTTATAAAAGTTGGAAAATAAAAGATGAAATAATGTATTTCAGGATATGATTCTTAACACTAATGATTTAGAATAATTTTCTACGACAATTAATAGCTTGATTAGTGATCTTTTTGATCCAAGCCTCTTCAACAGAAGGACAAGTACTAAAACTTAGTAATATATAGCAAGTACTCATTAGACTACTCCAATAACTTTCTATAGTATAAAAACTGCAGTTTAGTAAACAATAGTATAAAACTAATGATCCATTCCTTATAAATTTCAAAACTTCCTCTATTCCTAGATGAAGGTTTACCGTACTCTAGAGGGAAAGATTCAAATTGGCGTTATAAATCACAAAGGCACTGCAAGACAGCTTACATTTTCTCCTTATGCAAAGAAAATATGAACCCTAGCCTGCATGTATAGCCCATCAAAATGGCTATATGGAGATAACACTATAAACCTAATTCAGGCTAACCCAAATTCTTTGAGTATCTGAGAAATAGTTATAAATCTTCTCAAGATATACATATTTATAAAAACATAAATTCTACATAGAATTTTGTGAGAGGAAAGGTTCCCAAATACTTTGAAATCCATCCATGGATAGTTAGAGATTCAGGAATAATAGGGCAAGAATGCTACGAACTAAATGTTAACAGCACCAGAAGCTGTAGGCCTAATGATACTCTAGTTAGGGGCTTAAATAAATAAGGACAATGAATATATAATGAAGAAAAAGCTTTGTTTAGAAGTTTCAGGTTACCAATGTGATAGAATTTCTTCTAGTACTATGTAATAATTACATCTAATTCTAAGTTCAATGAAAAAAAAAAAAAAACCTGCTAACATGTAACACTGCCCCAGATCCAAAAAATTACCTCTTGCAGATAGTCTATGTCCCAGGCCCTCAGCTCACTGTCTGAAGCCCCAGTGATGAGTCGCTTTTCTTCTGACACCAGAACCAGCCCCCACACCTAAAGAGTAGGAAAAGATGACACAATTTTGAGATTTCAGATTGCATAATGTGACACTAGAAAAGCCCAACTATACAATAAGAAAATCTCTCTGAAATTTCAAAGTCTAAGAAAAGGCACATAAAACCAAACCTTTCAAAAATATACTAAGAGAAATATCACCTTTACAGAGACTAGACAATGGCTTGTAATGGACTCGCAGCTTGGAGATACTAGGAGTTACTCAGTCACCTCTTACTGCCAAATTTAGATAATGGCTGTTTAGCATAAATTCTAACTACACTCCACTCAAAAAAATATTCGAGGTCTCATACTGTTTTGCTTTCAGTAGTGTCTAGCCAAAACAAAAAAAAAGTGCCCCAATAACATCAATTGCATACTCTTCAGTTCTAATATTTACACAGTAAAAACAATATTGTTGCAAATAAGCACTGAAGGATTTAATATGCTTTTCTTCTTTATTCATTCCAGACAGTATATTTTTGAAAGCCTGATATAAACAAAGTACTGAGGAGGATGCAAAGATGTGTAAACTATTCCATGAACTTGACTGAAGAGATCTACGTTCAGGCAACCATAATAGGTATACTTCAGCATTTATGTGTCACGGTTACAACTACTACACACAGTGTTATTAAAGCCCTCTACAACTTAAAAATTAGGAAACTCATAGTCTAAAACCTGCCCAGGGCCAATTTTCATTAAATGCTCTAATAGCTAGTGCGGCTTTCACCAAACAAATCACACTGTTTCTCAAGACAGCATACAATGATGACTACAAGTAGTGAAAACAAAGCTTTAAAAAGGCCAGAAAAGAAAAGCATCTTTGCCTTGGCATTCTCTCCCCCGGGCCCACGACCCTACACATACCTCAGCTCGGTGGCCAATCATTGTTTTGAAACAGTGCTGGGTATCAAGGTCCCACCACTTCACCATCGTATCTTTCCCACTAAAAGGAGAAACAGAGAGAGAGAAAAACTTACCATTTAAGAGTCATTACTAAGAGGGAAATAATTCATTTGTTGCATTAAAAAGATGACGTACTGTACAGCAATAATGTCTCCAGCTACTACTGCACCCGACCTTCCTTCTGAAAGCAAAGCATCCTAACTCTTGAGTATTCTTATGTAGAAAATTAGCTGTTCCACCCACAAGCACAAAAACGCCTTGAATTCCGAGTACTAAGGAACACAGAGCTTGACATACTGTGCCTTCCACCCATCATTTCCACCGTATTGTCCCACATGGAACCATCTTAGCCTTCTGGTCTCCTTACCCACCATGTCCAGTTCGCCTTCATGTCCTAACAATGTCTGCTTTGAAAAGTCTCTAAATTTTGACTCCTTCTAATCCATGTGAGTATACATACTTGAACTTAAGTCTTACTATCTAAACTATCTTAACAGCTTCTCATCTGGTCTGTTTGTTCATTACTGGCCTTTCATCCTACTAAATACATCATTATCAGATAATCTTAACTTTTAAAATTTACACCAGCTCACTGGTGTGAACTGGTGTAGAATCAAAATCAGATTCTTTGCCATTATTCTCAAAATCTATTAATCAGTTAACTTCCTAATGCAATTCTTCCCTACCAATTGGCTCTACTCTTCTTGTTTAGATGCCTCTTCACTATTCCTTGACTAGTATAAATCCAATATTCAGATTTTATGACCAAAGTGGAAAAAACTCTCCATCAGAAAATTTGAGTTACAGACTTCATCCATTAACCCCACCTTACAGTGTTACTTCTTATTCTTTACCTTCTCTATATTATATACATTTCCTATTACAACTACAGAATCATTCTCTCACAGCAACCATGTTACGTGAACAACACACAAAAATGTACCTGCATCCTATCCTGTAGGAACAAATCTATCATGGGGATAGCATTTAGGTTTTGCATTGTAACTTTTTATGAATCATTACCATGATTCTTCTAATTATTGTCTGACAAACCTTGGGATCTCAGCCTTTCCTAGATGACCATTCCTTGTGGATAATAATTATTACATTAGGCAAGCCATATGAATTTGTTGATATTTGACTATTTTGATGTATAAAAATGGTAACTGCAAATGATTAAGTTTTTGAGAGTTATAGTTATTAAGAACGCCTACCGAGTACATTTCTCCTCAAAAGGCAGGCGAAATCAAACACTTGATATTCAGACCTGCCCTTCCTCCATCTTCTGCCTTCCTGAATTTGTAGGGACATAACAGGTAGACACATAATAAAAGGTATATTAAAGGTTAAAGAACATGGAAAAAATACCAGAAGAAATAATGACAAAGAGAGAAAAGGGAATTTCAAAAAGGTCACCTAATTCTGGATAGTTTTATGATGCTATGTAGAAGGAGAGCTGTTATGGCTTGTGTCTAGATGCTCCCCCACCAGCCTCATGCAGTCATAGATGGGGCTTTTCAGAGGAGGCTGGTTCTGGGGTGTGCGATGCTGGGAGTAAGTGCATGATGCTGGAATCAAGGGTGTGTGATGACTAAATTAGTCCACTGACTGGCTTGGCATAGTTCTGGGTGTGGATAATGGGAAGCCCCACCCGGAGGTGGGTGGCACTGCCCAGAGGGCAGGTAATCTGAAAGGGGTGAAAGGGAAAGACAGGCTGCAGCTGCTTGCTGCTTCTACCTCCAATGAACTGTTTCTCCTCTGAGATGTGCCTCTGCCATGCCACCCTGCCTGGAGGCAGCTGTCTGAGTTCAGGAACACCCACAAACTGTGAGCTAAATAAACCTTTCCTCCTTTAACTCTGATTGTCAGGTATTTTGTCTCAGCAACAAGAAAAGTAATGAAGACAGGGATGAGAGAGGGGTTCAGGGAGCAAAAGAAGAAGTCAACACATAAGCATTAGCATAGTGTGGAGAAAGGAGTAAAGAATGAAACAAATTCTTTCTTTCAAGTCCTTTCCTATGAATTCGCCTTAAAAAGAACACAGGAAATTCCACCTTTTTTTTACCTAGTAACTAGCAGATTCTTTTTTCGAAGAAACAATGCTTGTGTAATGGCATCCTTGTGCCCCTTTAAACGGTAGAGGCCGCTTTCATTGATCACATCCCATACAATAACATCTGTATCCTAAAGGAATACAATAATACAGAAGATAAGTTTCTTTATCATGAAAGACCTAACTTGTCAAAAACTGAGATTTAGTCATTATATCGGCAAAACACAGTCCTTGTGTAAAATTTAGAAAGCATATAAAGAGTAGAAGCATTGTCCTTAATCCTCCCATTATCAGTAGTCAGCAGATACTTTGTTTCACATTGTTCCAGTCTAAGATTGTTATTTTCCTATTAGAAAACAGAGATCATGCTACTTATATCAGCTCATAACCCCTCTTCTTAAATTTAATAAATTTTCACGTCATTCCAGAGTATCTTCAGTTTTCAGTGCTCACATAATTATAATAAAGATATATCACAGTTTGTTTTTTAAATTTTAGATATTTAGCTTCCAATTTTTTACTACTATAAATATGTACGAAGAAACACTCATACATAATTCTTTGTATATGTATCTGGGTTAAAATACTAAATAGGAAATTTTTAGGTTAACGGTATTTTTAAAGTTTTTGATTTATACAGTGTTTTCTACGTTGCATCAGTCTATCACCAAAAATAGCATGACTGGCCAGTTCTGCCACCTGCTCAACTTTTGGTACCAACTCTAGCGAGTTATTTGAAGTCCTTTTCTACCTTGATAACAGATAATACATATTTTCCTGGTTATTTAAATTTTTACTTTTGCATATGTAAGTCTCTAACCTGAGACTCATTTTGGCATATGGAATTAGACAAAACTTTAATTCAAAATTGTACCTTACACAGCCAGTTTTCTAAGTACTATTTTATAAGTAATCCACCATTTTCTTAATTATCAGAAATGCCACCTTCAAAGTATAGTAATTAGCTATATAAAACTGTATGCATTTCCCAGACTTCCATTTGGTTGTAATAATCCACTATGTTGCACTGGTACTAACTATATCACTATAATTACTGTCAAACTATGGCTTTACAGTGCATTTTAATATCCAATATCCTCCTGCTATTATTCTTCTTTCCCCAAATTTGGTGTTTCCAATTCATCTGTTTTCCACAGATGCTTTAAAATCATTTGGCTAAGTTCTAAACAACAAAAACCTTGGGATATTTAAAGTGCTTTAGCTATACAAATTAAAAAACACTACCACTTTTCAGTAGTTTGCCTTCCCATTCAAAAACACGAATTCTATCTCATAAAAGTATTTCATTACCTTCTTCAGTAGTCTCATGATATTTTCTGTTACTTAACATTTTTTTGGAAATGGAATCTTTCACACTTTTTTTTCTGGCTCATAATTTTTGAGATACAAGAAGTCATTGATAAAAGCTACCGTATTTCTTATTTTGTCTTTGTTTTCTCTGTTTCATTTTACAGTTTTGGACAGCACTTCCACAGTGATGTCCTATAATAGTTAACATGCGCAGCTTTGTCCTATTCCTAAATTTCACAGGCTTTCATCAGAAAATAGGATAGGAAACAAAATAAACCTCTCAATTCAGATCCACCCACCTTGTTATTTTTTACCATTAACATACTGTTTTGAACACTGAGGACCTCTAGTTTCACCCAAAAATTTAGTGAACAATCTGCTTCATCCTAAGCCTTAAGACTCCTTTAACGTATCAAAGCCTGGGCACCTATCTCAAAGTCTCACCTTGGAGCCAGAAGCCAGTCTTCCTCCCAGCTGATCATACTTCAAGGTAGTGATAGCTGCTTTGTGGCCATTGAAGGTCACATTTCCTTCCCCACTCAGCAGACTAAAGATTCGGATTGACCCATCTTCATAACCAACAGCTAAGTGCAGTCCATCTGGAGAGGGGCACAAGTAAGTGACTTCTTGTTTAAGGCCCTGAAGGATAAGGATCTGAAATCAAAAGAATCAAAAAGTGGGGAAGTTAAGCTTATAACCAAGAGAAAAGTATGGGAATAATCAGGAATGGTAAACTCAAGAACATCAATAATTCCAAATCCATCTTATTTATGAATAAGGCTATGACTCTACAATCCATTTTGAGTTCTTTAATATAGGAATCATTATCTGTACAAGGCAATAAAATATTCAAGAAAAGATAAAATTATTTTCCTTGAAGCTCTACAATGGCATATTACATGCAAAACTTACCCAAGCAACAAAATAAATTACTAACACTTTACCTTATACTTATATCAAAAGATTTTCAAGAAAGGGTTATAAATTCATCCTTATTTAACTAGGCCCCACTTTATCAGAAACCAATTTGCACAGAATGGAGTACTACAATGGTTTTATCACCAAGCCACTTTGGGTGGAAACAGTATAAAATATCAGACAGTCACTTAGTTAATGGACAAGATTAAAATCCCCATTTGGCAGAGGTGATAGGCTTAAGGAATTCAGAGTCACACAACGTCAAAACGTAGCTTAATAACTCTTATACCTCATCTGTATTAGTAAGAAAAAGAGTCCACCAACATAGCAGAGTAATTACCTTTTTAAAATGCCTAATATTTTACATCTGGCTGTGAAAGCCAGTAACAAAGAAATTGAAAATGAACAGAACTGGTAGGTTAAGTAAACTGATGTCAAAAATAAAGTTATGGGTTTTCAGAATTTGGTGGAAATAAAACAGAAATGGTGCTTGGCTATCTAGAGCCGAAGAAAAGCCTTCTAAGGATCCATCCACACAAAATCAATGCATGACAAACTGGAGCTCATTCATTTCTGTATCTCCATCTTCAAACATCCATAAATCGATATCAGCCTTGTCGATATTTTACTTACCTTCTCTCCTTTCCGTAAGTCCCAGATGAAAACGTGTTCACAGGCTGGTGCTGCCACATAACGTCCTTTCTCACCACGAAGTGTCACAAAGACAATATTACCTTTTTGGCTGCCAATTAGGCCAAAGACTGCGCTAGCGACATAGCGTAGGTACTGCTTGGTGAGCCCCATGTTACAGGTGAGGCAATCTGTGCATATAAAAAAAGAAAACTTAGTTCTTTGGATACACCGGTCTGCTAGGTTAGCGAACACCAACTGTTGGCCATGTAATTACAAGTAAAGAGCTTCTTAACCCTTACTTACTCTGAATAAATCACTGACCAAATATCTGAATATCTTCATTTTTTTAAAATTCACTATTTAAAGTCATTTGTCAAGTTTCATGTCATTTGATATTTGTCAAGTTTCAAATTGGTCACACTGCTATAACCCCCTTGTGAATATCTGTCATAAAAGCCTCAATGCAGTGAAACAATTAATTGCTGACTGAATCACCATCAGTTTTTACACTGAGTGGTAGTATGGGACTGAACATATCAATAAATGTTCATGGTAAATCTACTAATTAGACGAGCAATACTGTAGACATTGGAGATGTGGTATTGAGTAGGACAAAACCCGTAACTTTATGGCACTCTCCTTTCTAGCATAGTGATTTTCAAACTCTAGTCACCTGGAGGGTTTATGAAAACACTGCTGGAAACCAACTCAGTTCATCCCCTCACTTTTATTTTTGATTCAGGAGAGCCAGGATGGGAACTAAGATTTTTCATTTCTAGTACGTCCCCAAATGCTGCTGCTACTGTGGTTCCTGGACCATAGGATGAAAATTATTGTTACATGAAGGTATGTTCTTTATTTCAAAATCAGAGTAACCAGTCACCAACCCCTGAGAAACTAAAATGATAAGAGATACTCAGCATCCTAATTTTGAAAGATGTCATAGTTCCTGCATTACATCAAATGCAGGTTGTGGATACAAGGCACAAGAGGTGAAGGAAACAGGAAATCAATTCTGTCTATTCTCATATGGAAGAGTGAAAAGTATCACTCAAAACACTCACACAATTTAAGAAACACAAGAATGCCAAAATTATAGTCTTCTTGGGCAATATTTCTCTTTACTGGTATTTTTTCATTTGGTTTAACTTGATAAGGTCTCTCTGATTATAATCAACTTTAAAATATGCAATCCCAACACACTGATAATATTCGCTGCTAATAATCACCGATGGGCCTCAGTGTTTTTCTCACAGGAATCAACATAAAGTCAGTTAAAATTCAAGGGAAGTTAACATTCATATGGTCATAATGCTCTGAGCCCAGGACATCAAATTAATTCTTCCGCAATGTTCTTCTTCCAGCCTCGTAACAGTGATTGCTTTTCACATTAGTCTTTGGACATCTACCACTTCCTTCTACAGTATTTTCCGCAGAGAATTCACATATCATGCCTAGGCCCAGGGACTCCAATATCTCTATTTCCAGCCCTAGGGATCTGCATAAATGCCAATTACACAGTTCCAGATACTCCCTATCCCTTTGAATACCTTATAGCATCATTTAACCTGTTTATAGCCAAATGAACCTTAACTCCTAACCTCCTCTCACATTTTCTGGTGCTAAGACACAGAATCTCCTCAGCTATCCAGGCTCTCATTAATCTCGTTAATAAAAATTACCGCATCCAAGATTGTGGAGTACTTAAGATACAGTAACTGATACATTAAATGTATATAAGTAATGAACATCTTCAGTTGCTTATGTAAAATTAATTAAATGAGTTAATGTTTGCAAAACACTCACAACAGTGTTCAGCACATTGTACACATAAAAAATACTCCACAATAAGAAGGCTATTTTTCTTATCTTCACAGACCAGGATCCTAGATGATCCAAAGTCTTTCAGCTAGTCAACGCCAAAGCGACATTGGAGTCCAGCCAGTGTAACTCCAAAGTTTCTGCTTTTAACCACTATGTTAAATTACTTCTTTGTTTTCTTATGTCTGTCAACTCTGACTGTTTTCACTACTTTCAGATCCCGTTCTTATCACTGGGTTACTGCGTTAGTTTTCCCTGGCACCTCCACCTCCACGTTTCTTCATTAATCTTTTTCAAATCCACTGTCCTTACCCCAAGCCCTTAATAAAAGGGCCAAATTGTCGGTCAGTTTCCAGTAAGTCATCCAGTCATCCTATCTATCCCTCTTTATTTCTCAAATAACTTCTCTGTCTGCCTGATCACCTTCCTTGTCCCGTCACCTTGACTTTGTGTACCATCCTCTGGGCTGCAATAACATGTACAAAATAATATCCACCCATCTGTTTTAACAAGTGTCGCTGTCTGACCCGCCTCTTTACCAGCAAGCCCAATTCTCGCAGCGTTTTTCAGTCTCAACACTGACACTACTTCCCTTACAATCTGGCACTGGTCACTTCTGTATCACAGGCGCAGATCTCTCCTTTTGGAGAGCGTTCACGACCTAATCTTTCAGACTCCACCATCACCGCTTCTATAAGCAAGGTCCCTCCAAACACGTCATTTCCATGATGCACCGATGGCCCGGACCGCGGTAACAGACCTGTCACACATCCCTAAAGCAAGTCTTCAGTCAGGAGAACGCGAGGGGGGTTCTGCACACCGAACATACTCCCGAGCGTCCTCGGGCGACCCCGTCTACGCGAGCAACCAGCCCGGGAAGAAGCTGAAATGCCTCCACCGACTGCTTGTGGGGACGTCCGCTGTCACCTGGGTTCCCACGACCCTAGAAATAGACCGCAAATATCCCCTGCCTTAATGCTGCTGACGCCACGAGGGCTCCGGCCACGATCCGCCAAGCCCACGAGGCGTGTGAGCGCAGCAAACACGCGTGCCAGGAGCTGTCGGCCTGCAGGACTCACCTCAGCCTCCACGAGGTTCCCGCCGCCTGGCCCCGCCCCTGGGACCCGCTCCTTCCGGGTCCGTTCCAAGAGCCTCTTCCGCCCGACGTTCCCTTTGCCTTCGAGGAGGAAGTGACGAAAGAGCCAAGCTGTGATTGGACAGAGGGTGCCTGGAGCGGAAGCCCGTGGTTGGCAGCTCAGAGATTTTGCAGCTGGTCACGCCAGCCTCCCGAGACTGAGTGCTCTTAACCTCTGCGCTCCTGGGGAGCGTTGTCTGGATTTGTCTCCCGGCCGCCTTCTACCCGCCGTACTGCCGCCTGGATGGGACCGCCGGAGTGCTGTGAGAGGCGGGACGCAGGCCTGGAGGGAGGGCGGGGCGGAGCGGCCGGGGGTGCCGCGGCGGCCCCCAGGACCGGCCTGGGAGCGGCGGGCGCTGCAGGGCTAGCCCGTCCGGGTCCGGAGGAGCGAGCCCGCCGCCTCTGTCGCGGCTGTTAGTTGGGTTTCCCCCCGACGGGCTGGGGCGCAGTCCACGAGAGCGAGGGTGAGCTGGCCCGGGCGCGGCTGCGCTGCCCTAGCCGAGGCGTGCGCGTGCTGGGATGCCCTGGCGGCGGGGCGGCCGGAGCCCCGGCCCGCTCGAACTCCGGCGTGGAGCCTGCTGCCGCCGTCCGTGTGGCGGGGCATTTCCCGCACCCAGAGCAGCTGGGGTACGAGTGGGTAGGTGCTGAGCCCAGGATGCTGAGTTGTCTGAGTCCTGCAGTCCCTGGGGTGACACTGCTTTGGCTTTGCGTTTCCGCTCTCAGGCGAATAGAGAGGGAAGTGACCCGGCTGACTCCTTGTTTGCTGACTGAATCTTAGGTGGTTCTGTTGCGAGGTGAGAAGTCTTGCAGTTCGCCCCTCTTTTATGCGTGGGCTGCACAGAAGTTTTAAAAGTGTTTTAATATCTATAGCTGTGCGGTATTAAAGCTGGCATATAGCTGTATACAAGAAGTGAGCTCCAGCCACCTCACTGAACAAGACATTTGCAGCCAGCTTAGAAACTGCCTACATTAGCTGGCTTCATGTTTTTAAGATCTGTTCAGCAACTCTTACTTATTCAAGAAAATTGTGGTAGTAGATAATACTTAAGGTGAAACTGGATACTTGTATCAGCATAGGTGCTTTGAAACAAGATTACTGTGACTTGGATGAATGAAAAGGCAACAAAATAGCAACAGATTTATTTCAAGAGGTCTAGTAGGGAGAGCAGCTTTTGGAAGGTTATGTGTGGTCATTTCTTACAGCGCTGTGCATCGTCTTATAGAGAAAATATGGCTCTGCTGGGCGTGGTGGCGCACGCCTGTAATCCCAGCACTAGGGAGGCTGAGGCAGGAGGATCGTTGCGAGTTGGAGGCCAGCCGGGCTACAAAGTGAGCTCAAGGCCATCCTGAACTGCGTAGCGAGACACTGTCTCAAAAAGACAAAAAGAAAGAAAATATAGCTCTGAAAAATTTTTGCGTAGTCCAGATTCACACAACTCCTTGGATTATCTCATTCAGAGAAAGCTTTTTTTAAACTGTAAACTATAACTGGCCTCAGTGATAAATAATTTTATTTTATTAACGTGAAGGATTCTTTCCTGTCTCTTTCAAATTCAGTGGAAGTATTGCCTCCTTTTGCACACTCATTTCAAACTTCCTGATCGATTAATGTATTTAATTTTGGGATTTCCTTTACTTGCCATCTGCCTTGCTGTTTTTTGAAACAAAATCTTGGACACATGTTCATTTTTATGTCATGATTTTACCTTTTTGTAAAAAGTTAGCACCATTAAAAATAATGGGAAGTAACAGCGACAGATGGAAAAATGCGTGTAATAAGGATTGGTAACAGAATAACTGTGACTGAATACTAAAATAATGCATCTTATAAAATGTATTATGCACTGTTTCAAGGACCTAACCTTACTTGGTTTAAAATGATCAACATATTAATACTTAGAATTGAAACACAGTTTAGTTGGTTTAAATATAAACTGCTAATCACAATTGGCACATATGCTTTGGGTGTTCTTGAATCATGATGTTATAGTTGGCCTGGGTTCATCTTAGAAATGTTTTTGTTGTTTTGTAGTTAAAGTCAGATTTTTTTTGAAAAACATTTTATTTTTATTAGTGCATTTTTGCAGTACATAATGATTACATTCCTCCTGGGGAGTTGGTACATGTTCCTAACACATGTTAATTTTTTTTTAGATCCACTTCTTCCCTCCCTCCACCATCCCTTCTTCTCTTGGAAGTTGACATATTTGAGCACTTTAGTTGGTTTCTTCATCTGAGCAGCTTTTAAAAAACCACTTTTCATTTGCATAGAATGAATCTTCAGAATTACAGATTTGGTGTTGGGATGGAAGTGGTGTGTACTAATATTCTAATATACCCTGAACTGTTAAATATTGAGAGACAAAGAACGGTTAAACTGCAGCTTATGCAGAAAAAAAGTGAAAGACTGTAGAACTTGTAATTATTAGAGGTCAGACATACGGACCTGCTGTCTTTATACTTATATCCAGGCCTGTCCAATCAATGTAATAATTTTGAAGAGCAGGTAGACAAGTTACTACTTGTAATTTTTCACTTTTAAATGATGCTACTTTCTCTTTATTCTGCTGCACAATCTTGAATAATAAAATCTGATCTTCTAGGCAGTCCAGCCACTCACATAGAGCTTTATTTAGAGGTCTTCTTAAACTAAAAGTGACAGGATTTTTGGGGAAAAAAGATGGAAGCAGCAGTGTGGTAAAAACTACTAAGTTTATCATTTGAATTGTAAAAAATATATGGTAAATTCCCTTCTCTTTAGGTCCTTTCTTTTCTACTGAGGAACAAAAGCATATGGGTAAAGAAATAGATCTGACCCATTCTAGAATCTTCTGTTTGTCTAGTGTTGACTTTTTGACCACAAGGCATTAATACTTTTCAGGAGCCTGTTTGACAAGGCTTAGGACTGGTCAGTTGATTCTCAGTAGACAAACTTGTTCCCCTTTATGTTATCCAGATTTTTGGCTATGGCTATAAATTACTATAGTTGTTTCCTTCCCTCACTTGAGCCCTCTTCAGTCTTTCTCTCATTGGATCTTAATCTTAAGTCTAGGACCCCTCTCAGATTGTTTGGTAAGTCTGTGCTGGTATGAAGGCTTGCACACATATTTTTGGAAGCAGAAGAGTCTGATGTAATTCACAAAGGCCTATGCCCTCGAGAATGTAAAGAGCCTTTGTTTAAGATCAGTTCTTCCTATCCAGTTTGGGTTTGCTCCTCCTTTTTAAAAAATTTAACTTTAATAGATTTTATGTTTAAAAATTTCATTATTCGTATGTGTTTGCAGGTACAATAGTCACGTTCGTTTTGGGGAATTGGTTTATGTATATGGCATATCTTGTTAGATCATTTTCCATCCCTTCCTATCTCCTCCCTACCCTGTAGTCTCTCCCTAATCCCTTTCCCCATTTCCAAAAATCTGCCTTCTTTTGCAATAGCCAAGGTGTGTATTTGCGTTGTAGGCGGTAATCTCTTTCTGGTGAAAAAAATCAATTTCTGTTTAGAGACTGAGCTGCAAAAGAGTTCGACCTTTGTTAAATGCTAAGACACTTTCAATAAAATGCCGTAAGGCCAGGCGAGGTGGGCGAGGTGGGCGAGGTGGGCGAGGTGGGCGAGGTGGGCGAGGTGGTGCACGCCTGTAATCCCAGCACTTGGGAGGCTCAGGCAGGAGGATTGCTGTGGGTTCAAGGCCAGCCTGGGCTACAAAGTGAGTTTAAGGTCAGCCTGAACTGCATAGTGAGACCCTGTCTCAAAAAGACCAAAAAAAAAAAAAAAAAAATTAAAAAAAAAGTACCATAAATTTTGCTGTACAGTCAGAGCTGTGAGCATGACACATTACTCATTTAACACTCATTATCATGTCACAGTGGGTCCTGGTGCTTTGAAAAGTAGGGAAGATCTAACAAGCTGTATGACAAAGGTATGATTGGAGATATAAAAGCTATGAGGATGTACCTCAGAGAATGATCAATTGTAAATATGACTAAAATTTGACGAACTCTTGATTTGATGTTTTTTAGAAGTTTTTATTGACCTTGAAAGAGTACACTTAGGATTATTTGAGAGCTGAAGCAAAACTGCTGTTGATTGAGTAAACGGAAGAGGAAGCAGAGCTATAAACAGATTATTGTTAAAGTTAAGTAGTGAAAGAGAGGGATTTGATATTCTGATGAAGAAATGGGGTAGGAAAAGTTTTTGTGACAGGGTGAATCCTTCAGCTGGCTTAAACATGGAGAATATAGTCTGGACTCACTTGGAAGTTGCAAAGAGTGAATGAAGATAGATTTTTAACTGGAAGAACGTTAATTGAACTATACTCTTTCTCTTCTCAGAAGAGCATGGGACTGGCGCAGGTTTTCATACCAGCTTGTTCTTGATTTTGATCACAGGGTCCTAGTTATGGATGTTTACTAATTATGTTCCCTCATATGTTTCCTTAGGCTGCTTATTGAACCTCTGAATCTTGATGTCTTCAGTGTGAAATAAGAGTGCTAATCCCTACTCTTACGAGTTTTTATAAGGATTAGAGATCCTGTTTGTAAAATATAATAGATACCTGGGATCACTGCACTTCACAGTGGCCTTGTGGGACTCTTCTAGTGTCTTTTTCCACCTCCAGGTTCTCAGATTTACTTTTATCTTTGTGTGAAAATCTCTTCTGCTTTTGATATTGACTCACTTTCTGGAAGAGACAGTCTCTGCTTTTCCAATCTAAATTAGCTCACCTTTTTTTTTTTTTAGCACATTTATCAATACTTTATGCATTTATTTCTGTGATTATACGTTTGTGAGACTTTCATCGCTTCACCTCTTCCACTAGAGTGACTAAACGGAAACCAAGCACTAATAATGCTGAATGAATGAATGCCTGGGACGTAGTAAGGAAATAAGTGTTCATTTCACATTTTCTGTAAGTCAGGAATTCACAAGTGCCTTAATTGTGTGGCTGTGATGTAGGGTGTCTCGTGAAGTTGTACTTAAAACGTCAGCTGGGTCTAAAGTCACTTTAAAGCCAACTGAGGCTGGAGAAACATCATCCGCTGTGATTCATTCGCGTGTGTGGCCGATGATGCTGGTTGTTGTCTGGAACTTTCAGTTTCTTGCCAGGTGGACCTTTCCATGGGCTGCATGAATGTCCTCACATCATGGGAGCTAGCTTCTTTGGAGCAGTTTAAGAGACAGTAAGGGAGAAGTCACAAAATCTTTTATGACACATCTTTGGAAGAGTCGTATACTCTTATTTCTGCAGTATCCAATTGGTTAACTAGGCTAACCGTATTCACTGTCAAAGGCAGCTGCACACAGCCTGAATACCAGGAGTTGGGTGTCACTGAAGGATGTCCTAGAGACTGTCTACCCCAGAAACTTTATGGAATCACAGAATCTACCAGGAATAATTGAAACAACTGCTGAATGTTGTGAACGGAGGGCCTGGCTGATGTAGGGAAACATACGTTGGTTTTGGCAGCAATCGGGTTTGCTGATTACATGATATTTTTTCATTCACTGGGCAAGAACAGAATCAGAGAAAACATGTTGGGTTTAGCTAGGGATTAACAAGTTTCATTACAAAGGAAGTCATGACTTTGAAGTACATATCTTAACTCAGCAATTTGTGTTTCATTTGTTTGGTGCCCATTAAAGTCCTGGCAGTAAACATTTTGATCTCCGTCATAAATGAGATAAAACTTCATCTCAAGACTTGTGCAGGAGAATTTTACATTGCCTCTGAAAAAGTGCTAACAGGTAGCTTTCAGTGTCCCTTGCTTTGTGCCTAATGCTCTGCTATGCAGTTTGTCACAGATTATCATATTTGATATTTGATAATCAAATTTCAAATCTCACAGTAGCGCTAGGAGTTAATCAAACCTATTTTAGAAATAAACTGGCTTAGAGTCAGGGATAACACAACTGTTGAGTAACTCAGTTCTTCTGATGTCAGAACCCAGGCGCTTACATTGTACCATACTCCTCCTGCCTCGTTATATAATTGAATATGGAAATCTTCACCTTAATATAGTAAAGAATCTGGATTCAGTGATTTTACCTAACACAGAATCAAGTAGGAACTACTAAAAATTTCGGGGTTTTTTTTCTACCTGTTTAACTTTTTGGTGCTTTTCAAAAGTTCTGTAAGTGGATTTTATTTAGAATCAGAAAGATAAGTTATTTTAAACAAGGAATTTTGTTCTGAAAGTTAGCATTCAACGTCTCAAATTTAAAACTGTGTATGTGTTGTTGGGATTTTTAAAATATATTATGGTAAAGAACTTTTCACATGAGTTACTGACATCAAAGAAAGCCACTTATTTTTGAGATTACGAATTTCTGCAAAGTCTCATCCCACTGAGTTTGAGCCACTTACCTGTGATGAGGATAGTCTTCATTTTTCCTCTGTTCAGTTGGTCTGAATAATTGGAGTAGATTAGCAAAACTTGTAATTACGTCCAGTTTCAAGAGCAGATTGGGTGAACTAAACATCAACTAAATACTTCTTTGAAGGCTTGCATTTAACTTGAGCTGATGCTTCTCAAGCACTCCCACTTAGTATATTTCTGCACTTGGCCGTAGGCTGGCATGCTTTCGTGGTTTTCCTTCCATTCTAATCAGTCCTTCTGTATCTCAATTTCTGACTTATTTTTCTTGCAAGCTCTAAATTTTGCTGAGGATTCATTCCTTGGAGCTTTTTTCCCAATTTGAATTTACTCTCTAGGTGACCTTGTACAATTTCTGTAGCTTTGAATATTATCTACATGCCAAGACTTCCAGGTTTGTATCTATAATTCAGCCTCTTCTCTAGCTCTAGCCTCATATGGTTAGTTTTATGTTTGACATAAATACTGGGCCACATAAATGATTGTCTCAAACTTAACACGTCCAAAAAGATGTAAAGGGCAAAAGTCTCTTACCACTCTACCCTACAATCTACTGTGGTCTCCCTCTTCTCTGTAAGTAGCACTACCGCCTGCATAATTGCACCAGTAAGTAGGAAGCATCTTTGATTCTGCTCTTTTCCCTCACCGTCTACATTTACTTAGCAAGTGTTGTTGACTGTGCCTTGAAATTACATTCTAAACCTAACACTTCTCATCACTACTGTCTCAGCTAGATTGTTACAGTTTTTTCTGCTGATCTACTTCTGCTCTTTCCCCTTATTATATTGTAGCTGGTATATTTTTGAATGTTACTTATATTTAGTTATTGTCTTGATCAAGATCCTCTAGTAGCTTCCGCTTATATTTACAGTAAGATCTAAATTCCTTACCATAGCTTATAAACTGTATCATCAGACATGTCCCTCTCCTGCCAACCTCACCACCTGCTGCTCATTACCTAGCGTATTTCATTCTAGCCAAATTGACCTCTGGGCTCTTCCTGGAATACTGCACGCTCCTTCCTGCCCTTTTGGTTTTTGCACTTGCTGTTTATTCAGCCCAAAACACTCGGAAGAGCTTCACGTGTCTTGTTTTCTCACTTTCCCTCTCTGTTTAGGTTTCACCTTTTCTCTTGTATTGTTTATTGCCTCTAGTCATTCTGGTAGATGTCTCCTCGATTTTTTATCATCTCTTCTCCATTGAAATAGGTCCCTGAGGGCAGGGACTTTCTCTTATTCACTAGGATAGCCCTCGTGGCTGGAACAGTACTTAATATGTAATAGATGCTCATAAGGATTTATTGAATGAATGGATCTATTTTACAGAAACTGTGTGTGACTTATTGGCAAACTGAATAATCATTTTGTCTGCTGAAATTTCCCATAACCTCGTTCCAGTACTTGGCACTCTATGTCTTCTTGTCTCCCCCCTTCTGATTATATTTCTGTACCACCTGCCACATCACTGTGTTATAACCGTATCCTATAAATTGCCAGATTCTGTTCATTCTTCCTTTCTACATTGCCTCTTAAATCCATGCATCCTCTACCTTACTTGCTACTTAGTTGAAACATTTAGTATTACCCCTTGGTTATAGTCACCAGCCCACTTCTCATAGTTTTCACTGTCTTACTCAGTACATTCTTCACATTACATTATCAAACTGAACTCTTTAAATTATACATGTTGTTTACCTCTGTATTTCTTGCAGCACCTAATACTTTTTTTTTAAATAGTGGGCACTCAGTGAATGTTGAAGAAGTAGTCCTATTTTGGGGAAGTACAGCTCGTGGGCCATGTGATTATTTTAATGGTTGTGGTTCTTTGAAAAGAATTTTTGCTTAAATAATCCCCATTTATTCCTGTTTCAGAAAATCTGTAGGAGTTCTTTGTTATTCATTATTGTTAACGGACTATTTGAATGACTTTAATCATGTAGTATAACATTGAAAAATTTCACAGTAGAATTGTTTGGTTGTTGTTGTTTAGTAGAACTGAGGTAATGTCTTTGCTTCTCCATTAAAATGATTCTTTCTTTTCTTTTAAGCTAAACTCTCAAGGGATTATTGAATTGGTGAGGAATTTGGGAAGAGACAAGCTGAAATTCTCATTCCATGGATCCCTTGGGTGCACCTTCCCAGTTTGTAGATGTGGATACTCTACTAAGCTGGGGTGATTCATGTGAAGATGAATTAAATTCTGATACTACAGCTGACACATTTCAGGAAAATACTGTTAGATCACCGTTTCTTTATAATAAAGTTATCAATGGAAAAGTGGTTCTTTGGTAAGTTTTGATAATATATCATCATCCAATAACATTTTCTCATAATTTCCTCTAAACTCTTTTTTTGTAAACACTAGCATTGTTTAAATATTGCTTTGCATATACACATACAGATTTCTGAAGACACAGTTGATGTATAATAGGCTATACATATTTAAAGTGTACACTTTGTTAAGTTCTAGCCTATGTCTACATCTATAAAGCTATCACAAGTAGGATAGTGAATATATCCATTCCCTTCAAAAGTTTTTTGCAGCCTTTGTAGTGTTTCCCTCAGATCCTTCCCTGTTTGTCTACGTCTCCAAACTACCAATGACTTTTCTGTCACTATATATCAGTTTGTATTTTTACTCTACTCCCTAGCTTTGTGAATTTTCCTACTTTGGGCATTTCATGTAAATGGAATCCATACAATAACATATATGAAGTTTTTGTGACTTAGCATAATGGTTTGAATACAGTATGAATCAGTACCTCATTCCTTTTTTATGGAATGTATAATTCTGTTATTTGGATATACCATGTTTATCAGTTCATTAGTTAATGGAAATTGGTGTTCTTTCCATTCTTTGCCTTTATGACTAATCCTGTTTCTAAATTCTTTAAAGCAACTACTTTCAACTTTGTGAGCATTCTGTTACAACAGAAGAAATAGGTAATAAGCAAATGTGAGACATAATTGTTTTATGAGTTTCATGGGAATAACAGTGACATTAACACTGTATCAAATAGGCCAGATTAAGTATGTGAGTCTGGAATTTCTTCTTCCCCAACTTTCTCTTTGCTTACTCAGGAAAGGTGATGTGGCGTTATTGAACTGTACAGCCATTGTGAATACCAGCAATGAAAACCTCACGGATAAGAACCCTGTGTCAGAAAGTATCTTTATGCTTGCAGGGCCTGATTTGAAAGAGGACCTACAGAAGCTAAAACGTAAGTCATTTTTTAGGTATGTTATTCCCTAGGAATCATTTATTTTTATGTTCCTGTACCTCAGAGAAGCAAGTTTTGTTTTTAAGTGAAGCAGTTATGTAAATGTAGCTTTTTTTCTTTTGTTAGAACTCAAGAAAACAGTTTTTGAAAGTCCCATAAGGTGTTAAAAGCTGAGCCTTGAGGTTTTACTGCCAGTAATACTCCTTTGTCATGTTTTTGAACTTTAAAATGACAGTCATTGTAGCCATTATATCATTGCTAGCATTTTCCTGACTTTGTTTTCTTGCACTTAAAAAAACAGTTATCCTCAATTGGAAAATTTTCATCATGCTTTGATCTTGACAGAGAATTTCTTTATACATACCTACTGGACACAGTGGTACATATTTTTTTTTTTTATTTTAAAGAGAGTAGTTAAAAAAGGAACAATAGCAAAATACCAGTATCACACACAGTAACAAAACAAAGCAAGAACATTAAAAATGATACAGGATTTCAAAATAAAATGATAGGAATTAGCAGTGCTTGTTATATTACATATTATTATCTTCAACCAAGGAGCTCAGATAACCAGATATAAGACTGGAAGATTGTTCAAACCATTACAGAGAATAAAAAATATTATTAAATAAAACATTAGAGATGATACAGAATTTCACTAGACAAGATGGTAGGAATTTACCAATGGTTGTTCCATTGCATATTGTTATCTTCAAATCAGTTGCTCAGATTTCCAGATATAAGCATGCAAAACTGGTTGGAATATAAAAAATTTTAAGCGTTCACTGTTCCTTTCAGTAAATCACCAGAGCAATATAGTTATCCCAGCTATCCTTCTGTATACATATATATTTATATTTTGCCTTCCTACTTTCTTTTTTTTTCTTCTTTTCCTCATCCTAGTTGTTCCTTCCTTTGAGCAATTTCTTTCCCTTCATATGTTTTGGATTTTATATACAATTTGAGATTCTTACACTAGCAAGACAATATGATGTTCACACATGTGGATCCAATTTATTTTACTTATGAGTATGGTCTCTAGTTGCATTCATTTACCTATAAAAGCCTCGAGTTTATCTTTTTGTTTTATAGCTGAGTAATACTCCATTGTATAAAAATACCACATCATTTTTTATCCTTTCCTCAGATGATGAGCATTTGGGTTATTTCCAAGATTTAGCTATGACAAATTGTACTGCTATAAACATGGGTGCACATATATCACTGTGGTATGACGTCTTTAATTCTTCTGGGAAAATACCCAGAAGGAGAATAGCGGGGTTAAATGGAACCTCCAATCCCAGTTTTGTGAGGAATCTTCAAATTGATTTCCCCAGTGGTTTCACCAGTCTACATTCCACCAGCAGTGGAGTAGGGTTCCTTTCTCCCCACAGCCTCTCCAGCATTTGTTACGGGTTGATTTCTTTCTTTTTTTTTTTTTTTTAAATTTTAAAGAGTAAAAGGATAACATAATAATAGGAGGGGCTTACCAAATTACAGACAAAGTGGTAGGAAATTATCAGTGGTTATTGTTTTACATATTGTTATCTGCAAGATAGTTTCTCAGGATTGGTTGATTTCTTAATGATAGCCATTCTTTCTGGGTTGAGATGGAATCTCAGTGCTGATTTAATTTGCATTTCTCGAATGGCTAATGATGTTGAACATTTTTTCATGTATTTATTTGCCATTAGTATTTCTTCACATGAGAAGTGTGTATTCATCTCAGCTGCCCATTTTTGGATTAGGTCTTTGAATTTTGGGGGTCTGATTTTTTCAATTCTTTGAATATGCTACATGGAAATCCTTTGTCTGAGGGACAGTTGGCTAAAACTTTTTCCTAATGTGTGGATTTACTTTTTACTTTATTGGTAATTTCTTTTGATGTGCAAAAACTTTTGAATAAGAAAAGATCCTAATTGTTGATTCTTTAAAGTATTCCTGTGCAGTTGTTTTTTGTTCATGAACTCTCTGCCTACCCCTAGGTCTTCAAGATTTTTACTTACTTTCTCGCCAATAGATTTAATATTTCTGTTTTAATATTTAGATCTTTGATCCATTTTTAATTTAATTTAGTGCATGGTGGAAGACATGGGTCTAGTTTTAGTCTTCGGTATGTGGAAAGCCAGTTTTTCTAGCACCATTTATTAAAGAGGCTATCTTTCTTCCAGTGAATATGCTTGGCTCCTTTGTCAAAGATAAGGTGGTTGAGTGTGTTTGTAGTTCTGTCTACAGCTTCTATTCTGTTCCATTGATCTTCAGGTCTGTTTTTTTGCCAGTGCATGCTGATTTTATCACAATAGCTTTGTAGTATAATTTAAAGTCAGGAATTGTGATGCCTCCTGCCTTCCCTTTGTTTCCCAGGAGTGCTTTTACTGTTCTAGGCCTCTTCGCTTTCCAGATGAATTTTAGGAATGTTTTCTCTAGATCTGTGAGGTATACAAATGTTTGGTGATTTCTCTAGATCTTTGAGGTATACAGATACTTAAAATAATATTTTAATTGGGATTGCATTGAATCTGTACAACAATTTTGGTAGTATGGCCATTTTCACAATGTTAGTTCTCCCTTTGTATGAGCAAGGAATATTTTTCCATTTTCTGAAATCCTCTTCAATCTCTTTTTTCAGAGTACTATAATTTTCACTGTATAGATCTTTTATTTCTTGTGTTAGATTGATTCCTCAGTATTTCATTATTTTTTAGATGCTATTATGAAAGGTATGGTTTCCCTAATTTTTCTCTGTGTGTTTTTTGTTTTTGTACAGAAATGCTGTTGATTTTTGAGTGTTGACTTTGTATTGAGCTATGCTACTGAATTTGGTAATTATGTCTGAAGGCTTTTGGTGGAGTTTTTGGGGTCTTCTATGTAGAGTATCATGTCATCTGCAAATAATGATAATTTCACTTTTTCCTTTCTATCCATATTCCTTTTATTCCTCTCTTGTCTATTTGCTGTCTAATATTTCCAGAACTATATTGAATAGGAGTGGTGACAGTGGTCATCCTGGTCTTGTTCATGATTTTAAAGTGAAAGCTTTCAGTTTCTGACCATTTAGTATGATGCTGGTTTGTCATAGATGGCTTTGATCAGATTGAGATAAAAACCATCTATTCCTATTTTATTGGAGTTTTTATCATCAGTGAGTGCTGGATTTCATTGAAAGCTTTTTCTACATCAATTGAGATGATCATCTGATTCTTATCTTTGACTCTGTTGATATGGTGTATTACATTAATTGATTTGTGTATATTGAGCTAGCCCTGCATTCCTGGGATGAATCCCACTTGGGTCATGGTGTATAATCTTCTTGATGATTTGTTGCATTCTGTTTGCTAGTATTTTATTGAGAATTTTTGCATCTATATTCATTAGGGAGATTGGCCTGTAATTCTCTTTTTCGGTTGGGTCTTTCTCTGGGTTTGGTATCAGAATAATACTTGCCACCAGGAATGAGTTGGGGAGAATTCCTTCCTTTTCAATTTCATTAAAGAGTTTGAGAAGAATTGGTGTTAAATTTTCTCTAAATTTCTTGGAGAATTCAGGTGCGAATCCATCAAGACCTGAGCTTTTCTTCACTGGCAAGTTTTTTATTACATTTTCAATTTCACTTGCTGATACTGAGTTATTCAGGATTTTTATATCTTCATTCACCTTTGGTAATTCATATGTATCTAGAAATTTGTCCATTTCCTCTGTTTTCCATCCTATGAGAGTAAAGATTTTCAAAGGAGGTACTGATGATCTTCTGAATTCCTACAGGATCCATAGTGATTTTACCCCTTTCATTCCTTATTGCATGTATTTCAGTTTTTTCTTTCCTTTTTTTGATAAGGTTGGCTAGGGGTTTATCTATTTTATTTATTCTTTTAAAGAACCAACTCTTCAATTCCTTAATTCTTTGTGTTGTTTTTTTTAAGTCTCCACTGTGTTAATTTCTGCCCTGAGCTTTATACTTTCATGTCTTCATTGGGCTTTGGGTTTGACTCGCTCTTTTCCTAACAGCTGAGGTGCAGCATAAGATTGTTTATTTGTGCTTGTTCTGTTTTCCTGAGGTGGGAATTCACCACTATAATTTCCCTCTGAGGACTGCTTTCATTGTGTCCCACAGGTTCCTGTAAGTGGTATTTACATATTTGTTTGATTGTAAATAGTGTTTAATTTCTTCTTTGATTTCATCTGTGACCCATTGGTTGTTCAGAAGGGTGTTATTTAATTTCCATGTGTTTATGGAGTTTTTCTGATTTATTTTGTCATTAATTTCCAATTTCATTGCACTATAGTGTGATCATATGCATGGGATAATTTCAGTTCCTTTGCATTTCCTTAAGCATGTTCTATGTGCTAGCATATGGTCTATTTTAGAGAACGTCCCATATGCAGCTGAGAAGAATGTATATTCTGATATTGTTTGGTGGAATACTCTATAAAGGCCTAGTAGGTCCATTTGTTCACAAGTTCGGTTAAGTTCCATTATTTCTTTGCTTATTTTTTGTCTAGTTGATCTATCTCTTTGTGTCAGTGGGGTGTTAAAGTCCCCTGTTATGCTTGTGTTACTGCTTATTCCATTTTTCTTGTGTATTAAAATTTATCTTATATACTTGGGTGCTCCCATATTTGGTGCATAGATGTTTATGATTGTTATCTCTTCCTCTTGAAGTTTTCCCATCACAAGTATGTAGTGACCTCCTTTATCTCTTTTGGTTGTTCTGGGTTTGAAGTTCACATTGTCTACCAACTGAATAGCTACACTTGCTTTTTTCTTGGTTCTTGTCAAGTAGAGTATCATTTTCCATCCTTTAATTTTCAGTCTATGAATTTCCTTTTGAGTTAAATGTGTTTCTTGTATACCGTGTATTGTTTGATTTTGTTTCTTGATCTACTCTGCCAGTCTGCTTCTTTTGATTGGTGAATTGAGACCGTTTACATTGATGGTTATAACTGATATGTATTGGCTTATTTTTGTCATGTTATTTTCTTGCTGTTGGTTCCTCTTTTTAACATTGCTTGCTCTGTTTGATGGTTCCTTTCTATTATTGTTCTTGAAGTGGTGGTCTTATCTCTTTCTAGAATGATCTTTACTTCACTTTTTAGTGTTAGTTTGGTGCTCATGAATTTCTTCAGTTGCTCTTTATCATGGAAATGTTTTATTTCTCCATTAATTTTGAAGGATAGTTTTGCAGGGTATATCAATCTGGGTTGGAAGTTATTTTCTTTCAGTACCTGAAATGCTTCACGCTCTTCTTGACTTGATGGTTTGTGTTGAGAAATCTGCCATGATTCTGATGGGCTTTCCTTTATAAGTGATCTGTTTCTTTTGTCTAACAACTTTTAATATTCTGATCTTTCGTTGAATTTCTGGGATCTTGATCATTATGTCTGGGTGTAGATTTATTTTGGTTATGGCTAATTGGAGTTCTGTATGCTTCACTTATCTGTATGTCTGATTCTTTTTCCATGCTTGGGAAATTTTCTGCTATTATTTCTGCAAATAGTCTTTTTATGTCATTTGTGTTGACACCTGCTGTTTTGTTGACACCTATTAATCTTACATTGTTTTTCTTTGCTTTGTTTTGCAGTTGTTCAATTGTTATTTCCTAGTTCCTTGTTATTTTTAAGAGATCCTTTCATGTTTGTTAGTGGCAATGCTGTCTTCAAGGTCTGAAAGTCTATCTTCGGCTTCATTCAAGCAGTTTTTGCCAGCATTCAAATGAATTGTTCATTTCCTGGATATCTGTTTGAATCTATTTCATGCATGTAGGTCTTTTCTATATTGTTCATTCAGGGTTTCCATGAGTTTTCTCTGCTCCTCTATTTTCTTATCAGTGTCTTCTTTGGATATGCTGAGCAATTCCTTTGTTACTGTTGTCATTTCATTTTTTTACCTCAGAGATTATTTCTGATCTGATGTCTTCTATGACCTGATGGAGTTGTTTCTTTACTTCAGTTGGTTTTTCAGAAATTTCAGGTTCATGACTTCCACAGGCTCTTCTGTGTTGGTGTCTCCTGGACTTGTTCTGGGTTGAGTAGAAGTCTGAGATTGCATTTTGCTTCTTCATTTTGTCATTTTTGAAGATTCAGACATTCTCTGGAGTTCAGCCTCACTCCAGGATGATGTGGGAGCGGCAGGGCTAGGATCCAAAGGTCCCTAGTATTCAGTGTGGCTCCTGTGCTGGTGTGTGGGGACTACCTGCAATTGCAGATGCTCCCGAAGCTTTTTTGCATTCACTTGGTTCCTAAGCTGGTGGCAGAGGTGTGAAGGAGGAGTCCCTGAGGCTGCTGACGTTGTCTGGGGTTCAGCTCATCTCCTGCAGGGGTGCAGGTGATGATGGTAGTGGCCACACCGGTGCCAGAAGGTGTGCGGGGCTCTGCTTCCCTCACAGACTGGTTGGGGAGTTGTGGGGGTGACTCATTGGGGTTCCTGAAGATGTCCAGGGTTCAGCCCAGCTCCTGCAGGGCTACTGGTATATTTCTGAAATGCAAATTGACTTACTGTTAAAATCAAGGTGCACTGTAAGACTATATATATTCTTAATTAGTTTTACTTACTGCTTTTCTTTATCAAGTCATCCTTCTGAGAATATTGCTGTGGAAATGGGGATAAGAAGAGTTCTTTTGGTTCAGAATGTTACTTGCCCTTTTCTGCTTTAATTTTTTTTTTAATTATCAACCTACTGTCCTTCTGTTATAGTTATTTGAGCCCAAATGGAATACTGTGAAATTGAGTCTTCCCATTTTTATAAAAAGCTTTATATTCAAGGGATGAATAATGTTTATGTTCAGCATGAAAAATGTGAACTTCAGGCTGGGCATGGTAGTGCATACCTCTATGAGGCTGAGGCAGGAGGATTGTGAATTTGAGTCTAGCCTGAGCACCTTAGTGCCTTAGCAAGACCCTGTCCCAAAAATAAAATCAAAAAGGACTTGGGATATAGCTTAGTGCTTAAAAGCTGTGAGTTCAATCTCAGTATAAAACATTGCTTTCCAGATCTCTGCCATTTAACACTGATAACTGCTTTATAATGTAATAAAGATACTAGAATTTGAGCAAAAATACATACAGTGTTGGCTTTTTGAAAAAAATGTCTGCAAAAGAATTGTATTATTCGATCAAGAAACCAAATTTTTGTTGTGAGAGGAGAATAAACTCCTTCCCTGATTCCTTGGTGGGAGAGAAATCATCCCCTTCTTATAGTGGCTGGGGAAAAAGTTGTGAGTTTGACTGATTTTGTACAAACTTTTTAACCCTAGCCTCCTTTTATTTTTAGTCTCATGTTACAACATAGCTATACGAGTACTGAGAACTTCCATTTTTTGAGCCTTTGTAGTATAATGGTAGTAATAATAGCTAATACGTGCATGTACTTTACCTGCATTGACTCATTTAATCCCATGAAGTAAGTATTACTATCTTCCCTTTAAGTAGGAAATCAAAACATGATAAGACCAAGCACCTGCCCCAGATCATAGAACAGGAACATGGAGAACTGAGGATTTGAATTGAACTGGTCTGTCTTGAATCTGACATTGCCTTTCAGTATAGATCACCTTGCTTCATACTGGATACCTGTTTGTGCAGGCAGTCGAGTTTCTCTACTCTGTTAAGTCAGTTATTCCTCATCCTCTGACTTTGTACCTTCAAAAACTGGTGATTGTTGTCTGCTTCATGTCTCTCCCATTTTCTTTGTGCTATACTTACTGCATTACTTCACTCTCATTTTGAGAACAGAAGGAACAGAGATAAATTCTTGTGTTCAACTGATATTTTTAATTGAAACTTGTCAAAGTTGTTAATAATTTTTTCTGTCTTATGCTGTGATTTGACGTTTTCCCTAGTACCTGCAGGCTTAATGTATATTTCTCTTGTTCCCAGGTTGCCGAACAGGTGAAGCAAAATTAACAAAAGGATTTAATCTAGCTGCTCGGTTCATCATTCACACAGTGGGGCCAAAGTACAAGAGCCGCTATCGCACAGCTGCTGAGAGTTCCCTGTACAGCTGCTACAGAAATGTGCTTCAGTTAGCAAAGTATGGTGTCCTCATTTCCTGGACTAGCATTTAAACTTTAAACTACATTAAACCTAGCATTAAACCTTGGACTACACTGTTAAAGGCCAAGGATTTAAAAATGAAACCTAGCTGTGGAAGTCAATTTTGAGGGACTTACATGATTTAGGTGGGCCCTGAAATTAGAATTAATTATATTTTCAAACCTAACAGTATAAATGGGGCAATTTAGGTGACTTGAGAATTTAATCTAGTCACATTTCTGTCAATCTTTACTTCAAATATATATCCCCTAATGAGCATAATGTTATCTGTTCATACAGGTATTAAATAGTTCAGGGGCTTATCTATTAATAGTAAGCATGTGGAGGAAGTAGGGAAGGAGAAGTTGGTTGTCACCTGAAAGTTAGTTATATATTAGTCTGTATATATTATAATTGTTTGCAGTATAATTTGTTTCTTCTTTTGATTTCAGAGAGCATTCAATGTCTTCTGTTGGATTCTGTGTCATCAATTCTGCAAAACGAAGTTATCCCTTAGAGGATGCAACACACATAGCGCTTCGTAAGTTACATTGGAGATGTGGTGCATAAATTGAATCTTGAAATTTTAAAAGCAATTATTTTTATCACAAAATAGTCACAGCCAAAGAGAATTCATTTACTAAATGATCATGACATGGTACAAGGAACTGTCTATTGACAGATTCTCAGGTTAAGATTTTTATCCTTTTGAATTTATTAAATGTGAAAAAGCACCTTACTGGAAAGTATGGCCAGTGCACTGGGTAATTGAATCAGAAATGAAAATAATCTGCAACCATACAGTAAACAGATTACATAATATCATTTGTGTATATCACTTTACAGTGTAAACAGCTTTCATTGTACTATTTGAATATTAAACCATGTGTTTAGTTTTAAAAAAGACTGAACCCAATCAATATGAATGAAAGTGCCCTGTATGTGATATAAAAGCACAGTGTTGGGTGATAGCATGTAGGACAATGATAGAATGTTTGCTTAGGATACACATAGGCCTGGGCTCAATTCCCAGCATCAAAAAAGAGAAGAAAAATTTCAGTGTTTTAGGTCCATGATGAGAGTCCATGATCTCACTGCATTATATGCAGATTCAAAACACATCTTGAGTTTTGTGTACAGTTCAGGTATCGTAGCTCATGAGACAACCTAAATGGCAAACAGCTTGAAGATCAATGGTGCTATCTGAATGAAGAGCAGGAGATGCCTGTCTTCAAAGAACTGACGAGGTCTCAAAGTGGATTTACTCGTTGCACTTTTAGAGCATCAGTTCCCAGAGAAGGGTACCATCATAAACTACATTGAGCTGTGGACTTTTTGTCCAGAAGAGTGTTTATAGATACAGATTTTGCATACTATTTTAGGAAGTTTACAGGCCCTTATAAGGATTGTAGATAAGAATTCTAGCTGTAGAGGGCAAACTCTAAAATCCAATTAATTGTGAGGAAGGAGATTTTGGTGTTATTTGAAGTAGAAGTGGCTATAACAGAATAGCATTTTTGGGAATTTGTTGTCGCTAGAAACATTTACATAGAGGTTCTATGACTACCTGTTCCGGATACACAGAAAACAGCCCTTATTTGGGAAGTAAACTATACTAAATGATCTTTAAATTTCCTTTCCATCACTGGAGTTTTAAGATGAGCCGGAAGTCTTCTATCAATCCACTAGAAATTAAAGAGATATTAGAATGTATAAAATTATTTATAGTCTTAAAGGTCTTATTTAGCCAGACATGGTGGTGCATACATGCAATTCCAGCACTCAGGGTGTCTGAAGCAATAAGATCACAAGTTTGAACATAGCCCAGGCAATTTAGCAACTTAATCAGACCCTGTCTCAAAATAAAAAATAGAAAAAGGGCTGGTGATATAGCTCAATGCAAGGCCTTCGGGTCTATCCCTAGTACTACAAAAAAGAGGCATATTTTAATAACTAAAATCCTTCACTGGTCAAAGATGTTATGGTAAATCTGTATGTTTCATAGTTACACTTTATATACATTGTACTAGACTAACCTTGAAGGGCAGGAATCTCATCTTTTTGTATTTTCAGTGCTTATACATCTTTGTATATACAATATATATTTCTTGAGAAATACATCAGAATGCTTGATATATGGTATTCACTCAAGCAACATGTATTTTAAAAAGGAGTAAATGAATTCCATTAATTTTCTCATCTCTATATTTTAGATAATGTTGCATCCAGTATCATTTTTATTGTTTCTTTTTTATTCTCTTTAAAAGGAAAGAAAAGAGCAAATGAATTCCATTTAATTTTCTCAACTCTGTATTTTAGATATTGTGGTGTGTCATTGTACAAATAAAAGAAACTCAGATATTTATCATGTTCTTAAAGCTATACAGACACATACGTCCAGGCCTTCTAACTTCCAAGGCTAGTAACCTATTTAATAATAGGTTAATTTATTAGATAGATATCTATTTAGATAATTTACTAGATAGATATCAATTAGATATCTATTCACTAACTAATTTATTATGTTTGAGTTAGAACTTCTTCAGGGGGACACTACTGTGTTACAACCTGAGTGTCTTGTAAATGATCCCTTAGATATGTAAAATTCCTGCCATGGTACCATTCCTTTGGCCAGCTTACCATCCTGTAAATTGACTTAACCCTTGCCTTGTCAGGATTAGAATGTAAAGAGATAATATTTTGTAGGAAAGGCTCTAAATAAGGAGTCAAGAAGACTAGTTTTTAGTTCCAGTTCTACCAGTCCAGCTCTAGCTCTCTGGTCCCAAACAAATCATTTGGGGACTTTGATGAAACAGTTTGTAGGAACGTAATTGTCAAAAAAAGAAATGTATAGCTTGTTAAGTGGGCAAGTTAGCTAATACTGTATAAGTTCCATTTCACTTGTTACACCTTTAATCTATAGTAAAACTATAGCATCCTATTTTTAAATATAAAGACAAGAAAAAAAGAAAGACAGTGATGTCTCTTTAAGGTGGAGGTAGGGGGCAAGTACCTTCTGCTGCTCTGCTAGATCATAAACTCAACATCATTACAGAATTAGAGGGACAAAGTGTAAGGAAAGGAAGACATTTAATTTGTAAAGAGGAAAAGAAAGAAGGGGGAAGGAGAAGACAGATAGCTACCCTGATAAGAATCAGGTTAGCAGGGCTCCAGAAAGATGGAGGACCTGTGGGTTTTTGTTCTGGGTTACTTTTATAGGGGGTCAGAGACCCTTCCCCCTACCTGGAACTTGCTATAATTTGATTGGCTTTTCTGGGCATTCCTGCCTAGTGTCACTTCTTTTGGTGGTCTTGACAGGGCCTTATCTCTGGAGTGGACAGCTGGGGGCAAGAGGGTACCTTATTTATGGTTAGCTTAGAGTTAGTGAGGGGATGTGTAGATATCTATTGCAGTAATGTAATGACCCTAGAGTAGATAATATAGGGACCCAATGTATGTATACATGTATGTGTATATATGTATATGTGTGTGTGTGTGTGTATATGCACACATTTACATATATATACACTGAATAAGAGTTTTTCTCAATTAGTCAGCCATGTCTCCCTACCCCCGTTCCTCTGCATTCTGTTGGAGGTGGAGAGGGACAGCTGTCCTGGCTTGTTAGCTTTGTGCCCTTGGCTCGCTCTTGCTGTCTGTGCTCTGCCTGTCAGCTCCCCCTCTCTGCTAAGTCGCTAATGCCTCCTGTGCTATCTTGTGTTCTTTTTTATCGGGTTTTTCTCTTTTTCTTCCCTCTCTTTGCAACTGTTCTGAGGGAAATTTTCTCTGGTAAAGTTTTAACTCCTTCTACTCAAGGTTAGCTCGAAAACTGACGAGGCTCTTAGTTTATTTTTGCCTGTCTACAGACCCCTTCTCCTACAGTGATACCCTTTACTTGAATACTTTTAAACATTTAGAAAACAAATGTCTTGTACACTTTTGTGTACAAATCTAATATTATGAATTCAAGTTTTTCATATCAAAAGCTTTCTTTTTATGCTGTTAATGAAATCTACTGTATTTCATTTGAAACCTGAGTAACAGTATCAAGACTTTTTATCTTGTTTTTCTTAGTTACGTGTTATTCAGTTCTTCTCTGTAAAAAGCCTAAAGAAAAATCCACATGGAAATAAATTTAGTAAATCATCCATTCAACAGAAATTTGAGTAACTGTGTGGTTTGTCTCTGTGCTTTATACAAGGGATTGTGATTTTAAGAAAAAAGATGAAGGTTTCGTTCTTACTAGTTTTCATGCTGGAGATTTTAACATCCCATATGTCGTTCTTACCAGTTAAAGGGTATTCACTAAATTTTAAGCACATGACATTCTGACTGATTGTAAAGACTCCTGCAGATATAAAACTTTGAAGGAATCATGTGAACTGACACTTAGCACTAAACATGAGAATGGTGGTGCGTTTCTCCTTTTGTGCAGAATTACTTTTTAAAATGAGCTCTATTGAAGGAATTTAATTTGGTTATTATTTGGCATCATACTTTGTCTTCTAAAGGAAATACCACAGTCATATGCTGAGAAACGGTTATATGTGAATATTAAGACTTGGTGTAAATGTGAATAGGCTATGAAAAAGTCCTGTCTTAAAAGTTCATTCTTTAAGAAAAAAAAATCACAGTAGAATAAAGGGAAAAGTGAAAAGTGAGTATGTCACCTAAAAGAGAGAGAAATATGAATTCCTTCCACAAATGAGTCTGCTCTAGTACCAAGGAAATCAATGTATAACCAGAGGTGTGAATTGTTCAGTTTTAGTTCAGTTTGAATGAGTGTATGTCATATCCCAACGTTGTGCTAGGCCTTAATTAATGTAATATTAATGTAAAATGTATTTGGCTTTCATATAGAAGAATGTTCAAAAAACACATGCTATTCAAGTTAATGTGGGCTTACTTCCCAGTAATCCCAGAGAGGAGTTGAAAAATCATATATCAAATTTCAACTGTCAGAAGTTGAGGATCAACGTGTGTAGGAGACAGGGAAGGGTACTCTTTCCAGCAAAGGAGACGGCTTTTGACTGGGTCTGGAAGCTGAGTAGAGAATTGCAGATGGAAGGTGTTACAGTCAGAGGTGAACAGTGCACACAAAGGTAGTTCAGTGTAAAAGTAAAAGTAAGTGGCATGTTTTAGTACAGGAAAGAAGCGGATTTGCCTAGACCTGAAGATGTGTGGGAGGAATGACTGGAAATAGGTCTGTGATGGAGAGTGGGGGGCAGTGGTTAGTTGGGGTCAGACTCTGGAGTATCCTTTAGCAACTTTAAATCTTAACCTTTAAGCAGCAGAGAACTATCACAAATGTTTAATAAGGAAGGTAATGTAAGAACATAAGTAAGGCAACAGGAAATATGTAGAGTTGGAAAGGGAAGACAAAAAGAAGATCTAAGAGCTTATTATGAAAAGTCTGTGTATGTTGAAAACTTGAATGAGCTGAGAGAAAAAATAGATGTTAGAAATGTTAGCAGTAAGTTACAACATCTCAGGAACCGTTTGAAGGAAGAGGTAAGGTGGTACCAAAGCAAATTTAGGATTTTAGCTTATGTGCCTGGTCAGGTTGTTGATATGTAACCAAGATAAAGAAATGTAGGAGAGAAGCTAAAGGGCAGGATTTGGACCTACTGGAGTCAGGTTTGGTTTGAGATCTCTAGGTTGTCTGTGATGATATATCCAGTAGGGAGTAGGTAATTTTGATGCTTTTCTTAGAAAATAGAACATAAAAATTTAGGACCTGTCAGCATTTGTGCAAATTAGTGAGCTAATGAGAACATATTTATCAAGAACATAAAAAAACATTGCTAACAAACCATGTAGGATATTTTTAAAAGATGGGGACATGGACATTATAAAGGACTGAGAAATTTCAGTGATTTAAGAACTGAGAAAGAACCTTGTTATTAGGAATTTGATAGGGGCTGGGGATTTAGCTCAGTGGCAAAAAGCGCCTGCCTGGCAAGCGCAAGGTCGTGAGTTCGGTTCCTGGTACCGGAGAAAAACCAAAAAAAAAAAGGAATTTGATAGAAAGAAATTAGGATAACATAGAAATTTAAAAAACTAATTCATGTGTGGTTTTGTGAAGCGGTGAGGGGGTGAATGGAATGTCTAACACTGTGACTAAATGAATAGAAAGACCTTTGGATTTTCCACTTGTGCTAGATCATTCTGGTAAAAGCAAGAGGCCCAGGGAATGAGCAGAATATATTGGATAAGGAGAAATTGTCTATCATCAGGATCTTCTGTGGCCAGGCTCTGTTACAGACCCTGGAAATAGAGCAGTAAATAAAGTTTATATTGTTCTGCAGCTCTCATTCTAGTGGATGAAGATTGAGGGCAGAGAAGTTATACAGGAAGCAAGGGACTCCATAAAATGTCCGTGACAATTGCTTTGGAGCAAAGTAAATCAGAGTTTTTTTAAAGCATAGTCTGGGCAGGCTTCTCTGATAAGGGATACCTGCACACATAGACTTAAATGAAATGAGATGTGATCCCTTACAAAATTCTTTATGCACAAGTAATTTCTTCTTCAGTAATCATTCTGTTTTCTTCTTTAGGTACTGTAAGGAGATTCCTAGAGATTCATGGGGAAACCATTGAAAAAGTAGTATTTGCTGTCTCTGAGCTTGAAGAGGTATTTTGTTAATTATTTTGCATTATTTAAATCTTACTTTTATTATTTTCGTCTTGTCATTATCTATTTAGTGACTTTCCAGCAGACAATTCCTAATTATCTGTGCACTTATTTAGCAGTGGCACTTATAATCATTCATTGAAAAAATTACGTTGGAAACTATAAACAAGTCAGAAAAGAGCATTTTGTTCACGTTTTGCTGCCGGACTATTGTCATTGTTCAGTAAAGTCTTACACACAGGAGCTGCTCTGCTTTGCTGCCTGTGTCAGTTCTCAGGGATCACCTTGTAAGCTGAGCACTTGGTGTCTGGACAGCTAAGGTGGAAAACTACTGCCCAGCTGGGGAAGCTCTGGTGGCTCCCTGACCTAGAAACAGGTGACAGCGGGTCGAGAGCTAGCACTGAGAAGTAGGTTTACATGTTTTATTGTACGTGGTTAACTTTAGTTTGTTTCAGCTTAATTCAGAGTCATTTTACAAAATCAGATTTTAACCTTACTAAGCTTTCTTAACCTAAGACTGTTCTAATTCAGCTTCTATTATTTCTCAGTACTATATCCTTAAGAAGTCATATAGGGGATGAAAAACAGAAATAGAATTGGTTGGTTTGCACACACAAGATATATCCCCAAGTAAGCTTTTTACTATCTTTAGAAATTAGCTAGCCCTGGAAGGGGCAGTCTGTACCAGCAAACTTTTTAAGATGTGAAAGGACCATAAAATATAGAAAATAAGGGGTAAAAAAGGTTAATATACCTTTCTTCAAAGAAGATATACAAGTAAATGACCAGCCGGCAATGAAAAGGTGCTCTGAGACATTACCCACTATGGAAATGCAAGCGCTCAGCACAGCGATATACCACTTCGTACTCCCTGGAATGGCTGTAGTTACTAGGACAGATGATAGCAAGTGCTGGCAAAGATCTGTAGAAACTGGAGACCTCAAACATAGTGGGAATGTAAAGATGGTACAGCTGCTTTGCAAAACAGTCTGGTATTTCCTGAGAAAGTTAAGCCTGCAGTTCCCATCTAATGTAGTAGAGCCACTCTAACATATATATAGAAGAGAAAAGCTTGTGTCCACACCAAAACTTGTACAGAAATATTTATAGCAACATGATTCATTATATCCAAAGAGTGGGAACAACTCAAATGTTGAATTAATAAACAAAATTAGTTTATACATATAATATTACTCAGCTATAAAAGGGGGGAACGAGGTATTAATACACCTACAACAAGGTGAGCCTTGAAGACAGCAGACAGAAAAGCCCACATATTTTATTCCATTTTTGGGTAATGTCCAAAATAGGTAAATCCATGGAGACAGACAATTTAGTAATTATCAGGGGTCAGAGGAAGGAAAAGAGTAGGAAATGACTGCCAGTGGGTAATGAAAATGTTCTGAAATTTGATGGTCATGATTATATAACTTTGTGAATATATTAACTACTTAATTATATATCTTCAAAGAGTCAATTTTATGTCATGTGAATTATACTTCAGATTTTTTTTAAAAAGATTATAAAACTAGTATCTCCAGTCTTTTTATGTGCCTACTTGGAAAATGATGTAATCCTGTATGCAACACAGAAAACTGAAGGATAATGATTTCATTGTCCTGAATGATCCTATTGTTCTTTTGTTTTTTCGCTATTTTAATTTAGTCTTTTTTATTATAGTTTGGAATAATACTGATTAATGATAAAATAATTTCTAGGATGATGAAAAAGTAACGTGTCTCATGATTCGGGAAAAATAAGAAAACCAAATGCATTGTCAGCTGTAGATTTATAAGGACGGTGCAGTGGACCGACTTGTGTGGAAATTATAAGAAAGAATGAAAAGATAAGAAAGCTCATGAAATAGTCCTTTACAATAGAATGTTTAAAAAAAAAAAACCACTTGAATGTGGGTTAAGAAACCCTAAAAATGCACTGAGCTTAAGGAAATAGCATCTAAGCTGGGTTTCAAAGACAGACATCTCTAGTCAGTGAAAGTGGGGCTGTGGAAAGGAATAGTGGAACTTAATTTAGTGAATTCTGGGTTGTTTCCTTGGAATTGCCAGAATGAACACGCTGTTAGCTCACAGCACCCTGATTTAACACACGATGACTAAGGGTCCTAGAGAGTAAGCAGTGTGAGCTCAGGAGTGTTAAGACTTTTAGTTTTGATGGTGGGTGTCTTCTCGGCCCAAGCACTGCTTAGGCTGCTTCACTACGTGATTATTCTTCACAAAAATGCCTTGCTTATGCGACACAGGCTACTTACCGAAAGCTGCTACCTCTGTACTTCCCAAGGACGTTAAAGGAGGAGAGTCGATCGTTGCCATATCTACCTGCAGATATTGGAAATGCTGAAGGGGAGCCTGTGGTACCTGAACGGCAGATTAGAATAAGCGAAAAACCTGGTGCTCCGGAGGGTGAGTCCTAGAGTTCTGCCTTTCCCCTTAGTGGAAGCTAAGGTACTGAGGAAACACCAGCCGTCACAGACATAGGAAGCTTAGCTTGACCTTCAGGAATTTCTCTATTACCATGACTCTAAAATCAAGAGCACTTTAGAAGTTTTCAGAATCCTAGTCTTAATGAGATTTATTTTTCAAATTTAAAAATAGGTGTATAGGGGCTGGGGATTTAGCTCAGCAGCAAAAGCGCCTGCCTGGCAAGCGCAAGGTCGTGAGTTCGGTTGCCGGTACCGGAGAAAACCAAAAACCAAAATAAATAAATAAATACATAAAAATAGGTGTATATAAGTAGGAAGGTGGATAGGTAGACAGCTGTTATATTAAGTCTGTGTTAGGCAGCGGGGATTTAGATGTGGATATAACATTTGAAGTATAACGAAGTTTTTATCAAGCAGGACACTGTTGAGACAGAAATCAAGCAAATTATCATCTAAAGTTTTAAATAGTTTTAACAGTACCCTCTAAAAGACTTGTAATATTATATATTCAACCAAGAATACTATAAACATTAATTTTATTTCTTTAGATTTTATACTGATGTAGGTTGAAATAGCAGCTGCAGCATGTTAAAATGTAAGCTGTTTTGAATTTGTTCTGTATCAAAGCTTCTACCAGTCTTCACACATACATACGTAAAATCATAAATACCTTCTATGTGGACATGCCTTGTTTGCTCATTTCAGGGACCTGAAGCATTCAGTAACTTAGGAATTACTGTGACATTCCTCCTGTAAATTCTTGTGTTAAAGATGTGCACCAGGTTAAAATCTACAGGTGACTCAACTCCTGTTATCACCAGTAGGCAGACTTAGGTCCAGTGGAGGAAATTCTAAATGGTCTCAGATGGAAATGTCTGTGACCAGGCTTTGCTGGACAGGTCACCATGCACTCTGGACGAGTGTCCAGTAGAATAGATCTTGGAAATAATGCAAGAGTCATTTACCAATCCTCATACATGTGACTACCACTGCAGCATCATTTTTCCTCCATGAAATGCACTTAGTGAGACATGGACTGGGGAAGAGCAGCACCAATTTGAAATGGCACATCTGAACGGTAGATAGCCACAGGTTTCCTTTTCTGTGAGGCTTGATTTGCCTTTCTATCTCAGAAAATAGCCTTAGTGTTCATAAATGGTTTAAATTAGAATGTTAAATCTGGATATATATATATCTTTTGTTAAAGAAGACAGACAATATTAAATGAGACCAGGTCCTTTTAAACTGTTGGCATGTCACAATTTGGGTATCAGTGAAATAGATTTAGAGAAATCCGAGCCAGTGGCCCACCAGGCTGGGATTCAAGTGATGGCATTACCTTGGGAAATGCCCCATAGTCCAAAGTTCATTTTTCTGTTTCTGTTTTTGTTGTTCACAGGCCTGGTAAGGGACACACTAAGAGATGGTCTCTGTTCCTGAGGGAGTAGTTTCAACTAGCCAAACTCATAAGGGTTACAGGGGTAGATAAGAAAGTTTGCTTCTGAGTTCATAATGAGAGCAACTTTTGTGGACCAAAATGATTGTTTAGTACAACTAGGGTAGAAAATCAGGGTGCTAAACTACACTTGATGTATTTCTTAATGAATGTGTGTCATAGCCTGTGATCCTGGCCTACCTGTGTTCATAAGCTCATGACAAGGGGCCAGGGCTTATGTGCCAACTAGCCAGATGCTCCCTCCTTAAATAATACTCTATAGATGGTCTCACATGCTTATACTTTTGTGTATTTTGCCATGAGCCATGTTTAAACCAAAAGACAGTCTAGTTATTTCAGTCTTTTTGTTGATCATTCCATTTTATTCTTTCTTTCTGAAGTTTACACCCAGGTGACAATGGTTTGATTTCACATATTCCTAAAAATTCTGTCACACATGGACAAGCAATTTCTTTCATTATTTCACGTCTACATAAATCATATTTCAATTTCGTTCCCTAAAAATAACCACGATCCCAGTTTTTTAGTTAGCTCACAGCCGTTGTTCCTGCAGCACTCACCAGCTGTTTCATTACTGCCTCGTTCTGTCATAAGCTCTCTGTTAATAGCAGTGTTTTTGTTACAGACAACCAAGAAGACGAGGATGAAGGCTTGGGAGTTGATCTGTCTTTCATTGGCTCTCATGCATTTGCACGAATGGAAGGAGATATTGATAAGCAGAGAAGACTCATCCTTCAGGGGCAGTTATCCGAGGCAGCTCTGCAGAAGCAGCATCAAAGAAAGTAAGGCGACTGTTAGGACCACCAGAACATAAAGATAGATGAAACAGTGGGGCTGGGGATTTAGCTCAGCGGCAAAGCGCCTGCCTGGCAAGCGCAAGGTCGTGAGTTCGGTTCCCGGTACTGGAGAAAAACCAAAAAAAAAAAAAAAAAAAAGATAGATGAAACAGGGAAGGGCGCTGACACCCACTGCCGAGTTTACATACATACATGTGTTCTCATGTTTCTTCATAACAGTCCAGGTAGGGAGATACTGTCCCAATTTTGTGTAGGCAAAGCTTAAAGTTAAACAGTATGTCAGTGGTCACAGTTAATATGTGGTGAAGCCAGTTTTCAAATGCATGTCTGATTTCAGGCGTCTACTCTGCCTACTTTGTTACGCCTCCATGTGAGGTTATATTCCAAAAGTAGAAATTAGGAAAATGGATAAGCAATTACAAAGTTTTTAATATGCTTATAATTAAAATTTAGTTCAATTTAAAAGAGTTGTATTTCTTCCCAGCTTATCCAAAGGACCTTAAAAACATCTAACCCATTCCACTTTTTAATAAGTTCTTTATCTCTCTTCTTTTTTTTTTTGTTTTTTTGAGACAAGGTATTCTTATGTAGTCCAGGGTGGCCTGGACTCACTGTAGCCCAGGCTGGCCTTGAACTCCCAGCAATCCTCCTACTCAGCTTCCCAAGTGCTAGGACTGCAGGTGTGCACCAGCAAGTTTTGTAGTTCTGAATTCTTCCAGCAAGTAATAATCTTAGGCAAGGCTAGCTGTTTTTCAAAAGAGTTTAGAGAAAAAAAATGACAAAGTTTAAATGGCTTCTATCCATTACATTCTGCATTTGGTAGAGAGGTCACATCTCTGCGGTTGAGAGCATTGAGTGAAATAATGTAACGAGCCTAGCATGTCATCCACTGCTTCTCAAGCTCCTAAAATTGGTTTCTGCTCTTCCCTTCCATCTTGAGCAAGTAACGGTGTTTTACTTTTCAGGTTCTTTTTGAGCTTTCTCATTTCTTTAACTGGAATACTCTAGTCCCCTTTAGTCCTGTCTTTTATCTTTCTGGAATAGGTACCTTCTTCTGTGTACTTTTTTCATCCCCTGAGCCTATCCAAAGCATAGCATAGCCTTTATTATACTGTTTTATAATGGTGTCTTGGTGATGTCAGGCTCCATTCATAAAATGGAAGTTGGACTAGATGATTTCTGGAGTCCCTTACAGAATTAAAATTTTGTGTCTGCTCAATTCCAGCCTTTCATTTTATTTTGATTTTATTTTTTTAAAAAGCACATTTGCCACTAGGGGGCACCAATGAACAGGTTTTCCAAAGGGTGCGATCAGACTCAAGTGATAATTTCAGTGGTTTCTGAACTTCGCCATGTAAGAATCATCTGGAGCATATTTTTCTATAACTGAACTCTCCCTCATATGATTGCCTCCTGTCTATATATTGTAAAGCCTGTTTACATCATAGTTTACACGTTGCTAGTAAATCTTAAAGTTTTTGGTCCCAGATCCCCTTTGCGTTCTTAAAATTATTGAGGACCCCAAAGAGCTTTGTTTACATTTGTCAGTATTTACCATATCAGAAAACATTTATTAGTTTTTTAAAATTAATTCACCCTGTTGTCTCAAAACTTGTTTTCATTTAGTGAGAATAGCACTGTTTGTATATGCTAATATATAATTACAAAGTAGAAGAGTATTTTAAAATCCTTTTCAAATAACTGGGGATACCTGTCCTTAATATGGCACTAGAATTCGATGAATGTTAATTTCTGAAATTTACTTGTAATGTGGGCTCTCAAATCATAACCACACAGTTTTGTATTCTATACTAAAACGTATTGTCCTGTGCTGCACTTTGAAAAGATACTATAGCAGGAACTTGTAGCATTACCTTATAATATGATAAATCTGATAAATCTGATAGATCTTTTGGAAAATACTTTAGCTCTTCCAAATATTGACACATTTCATTGCACAATGCAAAAATAGTTATATTTATTAATACCGGTACCAATTTCATTAATCTTTAAATCTTAAGAATTAGCCAGCATCTGGTGATGATACAAACTTTCCAAAATTATGCACACGCGTATGTCACATAAATATATATAAGTGCATATATGTATGTATATATATAATAAATTTATATACTTGAGGCTCAAATTTTATCATTGGTAACAAATCCTGTTACTATTCTTGAAATGACAAGATCATTTATTAATTTTTGAGAAAACAAGTCATGCTAAATAAGCATAGTTTGTCTGCCAGTCCTTGGGGAAGTGGCCCTTCGCGAGGAGAGCGACTGGCTGGCTTCCAGCTGAGGTAACCGCAGAGTACTTTTCTCCCAGGCGTCCTCAGTGCCCAGAAGTGATTTACATGTTCTGATCTTTTTGTCACACACTAATATTAAAAAGATGTGTTCTCAAAAGTTGATTGAATAAAACTAACAATTCTACCTCTTCATCAAAGACATTTTTAACTGGTTTCTTCCCATAAGTATTCTGACAGTAAGAAATTCAATGGCTGTTACTGTGGTTTGCGCTCATCGCCTCGGTCTGCACACGCTAAGCCAGTCATTATCTACTTTTACCAGCCTTTGCTTTCAATGCCAACACAGCAGAAAAGGCAGATAATGCCTTAGTGTTGTTATGAAAATAATTTCCACTTTTCAAACCGCCGCACAGTGTCTTGAGACCTCTTCAGGGATCTGCACCCACACTTTGAGAACCATTGGCTTGTGATCTTTCAGCAGTACTTTATAGAGGGGAAGAATTTTGATTTCGATTATCACCTAGTACAGTTTTCCAAAGTGGAGTTCACAGTCCATCAACAACTGAATCAACAAGGGTGCTTGTTTAAACTCTGCGAGCCCTGTATCAGAATGGAATCAGAGCCCCTCTAGGAAGGACTCAGGAATCTTTCTTTGAAAGTGTCTTATTTGATTCCTGCGTTCCCTACGTCACTCATCTGGTGTGACTCCTTTACATTAGGTTAGCTTATACTAAACTGTACTAGGTGATAATCGAAATCAGTACATACATCACACAATAAGTGTGATATCTCCAGAAAACTTTATCTAACTGTGACAGAATGAAAATGAAAGGAGAAAATAGGTCTTAGCAAAATTATGAAACCAGTTTGACCTCACAGACCCCCTGAAGAGGAATTAGATTCTTTGGACAAGACTTGAGAAGCTCTGTTATCATTGGGAAGCAAAATAAGCAGGACTCCATCGGTCTGGGGCTGTTTCTGTACTAGGAACTGTTACATAGCCACGCCACATGTAAGTAGGAGGCTGTCCTCTACCCAATTAATTCTAGGAGGAAAGACAACAATAAGTAGAACTACAGCCAATCACAAGCAGCAAATACCCACTTGTAAGCCAATCAAGTAAATTACTTTGCTTGCACTTTCAGCCAAAGCCTGCTGAACACAGGGTAGGGCAGAGCTCTCGGAACCTCATCTGGTTTTGAGTGCTACCTGAATTATTCTCTGCTCAAATGAACTGTTAATTTACTTTGTCTGAATTTTTTCTTTTAACATCACTCCAAAGCATTCTGCACTACAGATATAAGATAAAATTTCATCCTAAATCATCACAGATCTGGGCACATAAATGGAAATTCAGAAAATCTCTTGATAATTACTCAAGGGAACTGAATGGCAGAGGTAATGAGCCTTTTTTCCTGATCTGGGCTTAGGGAGCCACAGGCTGTGCTGCATCTGTGTGTGAACTGGGTGTGTACAACACCCAGACCACCGTTCAGAAGAGGTGCCTCAAACTGACTCAGTACTCCTGATATGTGGAGGTAGTGCAGCTCACCCGGATTTCCAGAAGATAAGGACTACCTTCTTTATGTCTGCAGATTCATGTCCAGAATATTATCTTACAGAATAAATGTCTAATGTTTCCCAAATCAAATGGGAAACATCTTCCTATAACACATCTGACTCTCTTCATCAAGGTCCTCTACTGGTATATATGCTAGATTTATATTCTATCTTAGAAGGTACACATCTTCTAGGGACTCCTTTCCAGAAAGTATAGACTTTGACTTTCTGAATAATATAGACTACTCTCCAGAAAGTATAGACTCAGTATGGACACATATTCATTTTAATACTGGCTTGAACTAGTAAGTAAGTGAAACCGATCAACTCATTTTTAAAAAAAGGAAGAGGGACAAGCAACCAGCCCAAAGGTAAACTTGAAAATTCTAGATTATCTGTACTTTTCATGGAGAAATGAAAAAGGTATGTGGTATGTAACTGCATGTGTCTGCAAATGAGACAGACAGAATAGACATTCAGAGAGAGAGAGGCTGACTGATTTGAGATAGTGCTGTGTGGTTCTTTCTTTGTAAATGCAAAACATAAAATGAAAACCACTAGAATTTAAAAAAAAAATCTAGTCCTTCAGGAACTCCTCTGAAGTTGGTTTGTGTAAGCGATGGAAGGTGGTCAGAGAGAAAGGAGAAACACTGAGGACGGATACAGGGAAGGCTCTTCCTCAACAGCTGTGCCGACGGGCAAGCCCCTCTGGGGAACAAGCTAACCTAATGTAAAGGAGTCACACCAGATGAGTGACGTAGGGAACGCAGGAATCAAATAAGACACTTTCAAAGAAAGATTCCTGAGTCCTTCCTAGAGGGGCTCTGATTCCATTCTGATACAGGGCTCGCAGAGTTTAAACAAGCACCCTTGTTGATTCAGTTGTTGATGGACTGTGAACTCCACTTTGGAAAACTGTACTAGGTGATAATCGAAATCAATAAACAGATATCACACTTATTGTGTGATATTGCAGTGGCTTAAATATGGAACCAAGTATGAGAATCTAGCAGACACTAAGATTTGTAAAAAATTACGAATATCACTTCTCTCTAAACATAGCTTTTTTCTCATAAAAGTTATATTCATATAGTAGGCATTTTAATGTTTTTAAATAAGTGAAGTCTTTAATTTCTATTTTTATTTTAATATCATAAATATTGTAGATATAACTGATAAACAAAAGGTCCTTAGGGTCCTTAATAACTTATAAAAACATAAAAGTGTCCTAAGATCAAAAAGTTTTAGAATAATGACTGGTTATTTAGGAGTCTATGATAAAATTGAGCTGTAAATCATCTGTTTGCATACCCTGACATATTTGAGATTCCAGTGTGTAGTTTTTTTAGATATATTTTTCTTGCTGTTTCTAAACCAACCAGGCTTTTATTTTCACATACTGACTGTGACGTCCATTAATTCTATTAACTATTCAAGTTGAATAAATACTAAATTTTCTTACCTCTGATAAGTAAGCAGGTTTTTAGTACTGTCTTCTTGAAAGCCTTCTGTCAGTAGGCTTCTTCCACCAGTGACAACACTAATGGTCACTTGAATTGGCAGTGCATACTTCATCATTCCTTTCATAGCACTGCCATGCCACATCAGTGTCTCTTTGCAGCAAATCCTTTTAAAATTTGAAAAAATTAGAGTAGGCATGGTGGTGCATGCCGAAAATAATTTTTAGAAAAGATCTGAAAAAATTAGACAGTTGTCTAATTCTTATGTTAATATTTCCAAGTCTTTTCTCCAGTTGAAATTCACTTTTGATACTCTTAAAAGTATTGTACATTAACATTTTCTTTCTTTGTTAGTGTTCCTTGGTTGGCTTAAGATCCACTTGCCTCTCTTTTTTAAAAAAATTTTTAACAGTTTATTTATTTTTTGTTTTTTTGGTTTTTAAGACATGGTCTTAGTGTGTAGTCCAGACTGGCCTTGAGCTCACTGTGTAGCCCAGTCTGGCCTCAGACTCCTGCCTCAGCCTCCCGAGTGTTGGGATTCCAGGCATGTCACACTGCACCCTAAGTCTGTGACTCCTGAGTCATTTCTCACAGTAAAAACATCATCTCGTTAATTATTAAGTATTTGTTAAGCCATTACTAATGTGCCAAGTATTGTGTTAGAATACTACTAGTAATAAAGTTTCAAGCAAGCCCAATACAGTCTGTGCCCTTATAGAGCTTAGGGTCTTGCATAGGAGAAACACGTTAAACGTAAATTACAGGTACAGGGAGCAGTAAGAGGAAATAACAAGGGTCTCAACCAAATCTAAGTGAGGCAATTGCATGAGATCTGGAAAAACTTCTGTTAATGCCAAAGACAGAATTTTCCTGGGCCATTGGTTTTACACAAATGGGTTAGTTATTAGTCTTTAAAAAGTAATTTAGCTTAAATTATCTTCATCATTCAATCTTTGGCTGTGCTGGCGCGTGATAATTGATTAACTGGAAGAAATTGGCTTATGTTAGTTTTTTGAGGACAGCATCCAACCTGCATTGTTTCCAGCCCATTGAGGACTATCACCTAGTGTTTCTGCCTTCAGGGCACTCAAGTAGCTACTTTTGCTACCATTTTGATATATTTTATATGGTAGTTTACTCATGATTATTACATTTTTATCTAGCACATAAGAAAAATTTGCTTGTTGGGGTAGACTGTAGGAAATGCAGAATCTATTTTATTTAATATTTTCCTTTTTTAGCTTTGTTTTGGTTTTGACATTGGAACAAAGAATTACATGTTTTTATTGAAAAAAAAAACAGAAATTTCAGCAAAAAGGAACACATCTTTTTAAGAGATAATAGTTGAAAATATAAAATATTCCTTGAATAATGAAGTTTAGTGGAAAAAAAGTATTGTCTGTATTGAATGAGGAGATGAGAGTAAGATTTTGAAGTTTACTCCAGCTTCCCAACTACCGGTGTAAACAAAAAAACAGTATGACTAGATAATCCAGTTTACACAGTCCATAATGGAGTGGCAGATTCTTAACTGGAATAAAGAACAAACCTGGTAAACATTGCAGTAATGAATTGTTACACCAGAATTGATCCCAAGGCCCTTAGAAACTTGAACGGGACCAATGTCGACAGTGATTCTAATCTGTTTAAAGTCATGAGTCCTTTAAAAATTGGACGTATACTGTAAACTTTCTCTTCATAATTATGTCCATGCAGTTGTACCGACCTGAGTCCTACCCTTGGATATGAAATTATTACCAATGCAGGTTAAGAAAATATTTTAAAGATTATGCTATTTCAGGTTCACATTTTAGAAAGGGTAAGAACTTTATATTTTAAAAAAATAAACCCAGGAAGAAGTTGTATATCTTTCATACCTTAGAGAAAGTTTTCTTAAACATAAAAAAGCGGTACTATACAAAAAAAAATATTGACTACATATTAAGAATTTAAGAAAGTAGAACCAAGAAGCTTAAAGAAAGTGAAAATTGAGTCACAGAATGAGAGCAGATATTAATACACACAAACTTCGAAATGGCTAGTATCAAGAACTATAAATCAGGGACAGGAGATATAGCTGTGGTACAGCACCTTCCTGGCAAGCACCAGGCCCTGAGTTTGATTCCCAATACCAAATGTTAGGGGGAAAAAAATGAGAAATGAGAAAAAAAGCAAATAACCCAATAGAAAAATGGATGAGTGAAATGAATAGGCTTTTCACTAAAGAGGAAAATATGTCCAGTAAACATGAACAGAATCTGTCTCATTAATAACCAGAGAAATTAGATACTGTTTCAGTCCTAACTTGCAAGTGTTAAAACATCTTGTAATGCCAACTCTTGAAGAGGGTGTGGTTCTGCAGCATCTCGTTCACTGATTATAGCAATTTTTTAAATTGCTGAAATGTTTTAGTAAAGAAACTTGACCATATCTCCCAAAACTGAGCTTGTCCTATAACCTAGCATTCTATTTCTAAGAGTTTTCTCAACAGAAATTGTGCACCTGTGTACCAGAGTGCATGTAAAACAAGTTGGTTATAGCACTGTTCACAATAGCAGAAACCAAGGAACAGTCCAAGTACTCATCCATGGGGGAGCAAGTGCAAAGACTATAGCTAAAGTAATAGTTACAGCAGTTTATTACTCTACAATATGTGTGGATTAGCTAAAAACATAAAAAAAGCAGGGAGAATATAAACCTCAAATTCCAGGTAGTGGTTGGAGACACAGGGGATTATAATTGGAAGGGGTTAATCATGTAATTAACTGTACATTATTGTGAAAGTGCTGCTTTTTGTTTGGGCTGGTGGGTTTGGGGGAGGATTACTTCATTAAAAATTACTAATTATATCTGTATAGTCAGTGTTTTAAAATGGACTGTATGCATACCAGTGATAGAGTGTTTTGAAGCAAGAATGACTGATTCTGTTTTGTGCACCGGAGTTCCACTTTTTAAAAAATTGCTTTCAGAGTTCATTGAATGCACAGTTAATAGTGAACACCAGGAAGTACCGTAGTGATTGACTGGAAGCACAGAGATAAGTAAGACATAGTCCCTGTGTTATGGTATGATGGAATGGAAGCATACATTGCAATAGTGAATAAAGCCTTATACTGACAAGGTAGAAGTTTTTGAGGTAGTTGTTTCTACAAAATTATCTGGAACTTGCCTCCCATCCTTTTTACCCCCATGATTATCCCCCTTCTCAGTACTGTATATGTATTTGATTGACAGAACATCTGGACTGCTGTTGGGTTGTTTGTCTGACTGTATCTTCCTATCAGGATTCATTGTGTTTGTAGTAACGTGTCTCATATATTTCAGTTTTAAACTCTGAATCTTTTTATTTCAGGCCTCAGACATGCCTTGTATAACATCTCTTATTTATTGAATACTGAATCCCTTCCATGATGCAAGCCTTACCTTTATGCAGTGAATCTTTGACAAACGAACTAACGAGTATATTGAAGTATATGAGAGGAGGCATGTAGGTTATATGCACACATGATACTGTTTTATACGAGGCATCTCAAATGCAACTCTACCATGAATTGGCTACTAACTTTGGTATTAACCTGACCAATAATCTTTTCCAAGTCATCTCTCTGCCAAGATCGTTAGTGTCCCTTCCAGCTTTTCACATCCTCTTGGCCAAAAACAAAATGTGGTCCCTGTGATCAGGTATCTGGGATGTCAATACAACTAGGTTGGTGGATCAGTTCAACCAATCATTAAATATACCTGGACTTTCAAGTTGAAACTGCCAAGTTCGCTTGTGGTCCCACATGTCATGTACAGCTCTTACCTCTTTTCTCCTGAAAATAAACTTCCATAGGGCAGCTAGTCTGTTATCTATTCATCACAATGTTCTTAATGCCTGTTGTAGAGTAAGCACTCAATGAATCTTTGTGGAATGAGTGAACATTTATTTGGAAGACCTGACATTGTTTTAAGATTTCTCTTTGAATTTTTTGTAATAAAGGCATATATAGTGTTTTAAGATAATATTACTCCAAGTACTTGATATCTTAGCCATTTTTCTGTATAGACTTCATTTAATCATAAGAACATTTTTATTCACAGAGGTGCATACCTTTTTTAATCACTAACTCATTTGTATTTATCTTACCAAAACATAAGATTCTGCATGTTGTAATGGCCTCTTTAATTTCTTCCTCATTTTAATGAAACCACAGTTCTTTAGGGTCAGGGAAAGATAAAAAACTTTGCAAATTTAGTTCACAAGACTTTATTATAATGATTATATCCATTATCTGTCTAGTTATAATCGGTGGTTATGTCAAGCAAGATCTGAAGATCTGTCTGATATTGCATCTCTGAAAGCTTTATACCAAACAGGTGAGTTTAAGAATATAGCAACTTATTTTTTCACTAATTAAGGACCATACCAAGCATGCTATTTGAGACTTTTTTCCTCTGTTTTCATCCATTCCGTCAGTGAGTAAAATGTTTATGTACTGATGCCCATCATCCAGATCTTCAAATAGCACACCAGCCTATAAAATTTTCAATTTATGGTCCTACATTGCCAACTTCATTTTTCCTATTATCCTTTTTCTTTTAAATTGTTTTTCTGCTTTAACAGTATTATATACTCACTATTACAAAATTCAGATGTTACATAAATTTATGATGGAGACAGACAAATCTTTTTCAGACAGTATTGTTAATTTTCAGATTGACTCATACTTAGTTTATCTTGGATCATTATTGTTGAAAATTGTCTTAGGCTTAAACAAAAAGTTATTTATAAAAAGATCCTAACATAGGCTGTCGCTGATTCAAGATCTTTGAGGGGTCTTATTGTAAAAATCACAAAGCTGAAAAAGAAAAGAAAAAGTATTGTGTTCTGCATAGTTAAAGAAATCTGAAGGTGAAATTTGAGAAACTTACGTTGTTTGGTTTCCAGTCATAAATATGTGGAGAATATTTTTCCACTCTTTTGTTTCACTGGTTGTGCGGGTCAGTGGGTTTTGTTTTGGCAGATTTGCACAGGGACGTGACAAACTCTGATCGTTTTCACCCCCTCTCTCATCCCTCCTGCCCCACCTTCCCCCTCTGGTTTCACATGCTGGAAGAGGAGGTTGTGTGTGGAATATTTTTTATGGAGTCAGAGGCCGAGACAAGTAAGGCTCTTGGGGTAAAGTATGGGTGCTGATCACATTTTCTGCTTGTAGGTGTAGACAATTGTGGCCGCACCGTGATGGTGGTAGTGGGAAGGAACATTCCTGTCACACTGATAGATATGGACAAGGTAAGCCATACGGGGTTCTGTTTTACAAATAATGTTGTTCTTCACAGTAAGTAAAGTGTGAATTCAGGAATCAGAGCTTACAGCACGAGAGGAGGCTGAATTGTATGTCTTTGGGCAAGTAGCCTCCGTTCTGAGTCAGCATGTATTCAGGTAAGGACTTGGTTTTTCACTGTAGGAGAAAACAGAAATCCTGGGTTTCTGTAATATCATCTCCAAAAACATAGCTGCTTTGTTCTGGATATGATAGAACTAGCAAGTGTTTGATTGGGGTCATTCTGTATTATAATTGTACAGTCAAATTCAGACGTTTTTGAAAGAAAGAAAAATAAACACTTGAATATCAGAGGAGAAAAAAACTAGAGTTGTATTTCCCAAGGTAGCTTTTATTCTATTGTCCCACCATTTGGGGAGCAAAGAGCAGAAGTAGGTGATTCCTAGAAGAAAAACAGTTGAGAACTGGTAAATAAAAATAAGAAAACATTCAACTTGCATTTGATTTTGATGGCATCCTTGTATGGCATGCTGGATATTTTGCTGAATCATATCATATGCAACGATGAGATTTATGTGAGGTCCAAACCAGATGACAACTAAAAAGTTACTGCGTTTTCTTAATGCCCTCCTCTGTTTGCTGTGGTAGCAGTTGGACCCTAATCCGTGTTAGTGCCAAGGGCATACCTGAGGAGAAATTAGAAAACAGCCTGTTTTGTAGTAATCCTTTCAGGTGTTACCTCTTAGCTTCCGCTTTTTAATTTGTTTACAGCTAAGGTACTAGGTCATACTGGCCCTGCCCATATTATGTCTCTGTTTTGTTTTTGTTTTTCTCTTAAATTTCTTGTAATGGAATATTTCCCTAACCAACTTGAGTCACATTAAATTTGACTCTTTCCAAGCTTTATAAATGCTACCTAGCCTATGGCCATGTACTGACTAAACCTATTTCATCATACAGATTACCACTAAAAGTGCTAAGAAAATTGCCCCTTAAAGTGAGTTGTATAAAGCACTATTCATTACATCCTTTTATGTAACTCCTTACTTATATTAGAGCCATGAGTTTCTGAGCAGAGACCACAAAGTTTTTGATAGAATTCAAGCAAAAGTTTAAGAATTATTAAAAGTCTAGAAATTATAGTACTTCTAATGACTTTTATATTACCCTGGAAAGAAAAACCTGGTAGTTGACCCAAAAACTGTTTTAGAGGATAGAAACTGATTATTCTCTGTCACTTAGAACAGGACAGACAGGGATTATACTGTAAATTTGTGAGAACTAGGAAACATTGAGATGATTCACTGTCCTGAAGATCTTTTAAAGAGAACTGATACCCATCTGACATGTCCATCAGCAGTGAGTGGGGCATAGTTCAGATCAATCTTCCTGGTTTTCCCTGTCTCTCAGCCTCTGTGAAATCGATTACTGCGCAAAGTGATCATTGTTCTTCTTTCTTTTTTTAGGCTCTCTTATATTTTATCCATGTAATGGATCACATTGCTGTGAAGGAATATGTATTAGTGTATTTTCACACACTGACCAGCGAATATAATCATCTGGACTCCGACTTCCTGAAGAAACTCTATGATGTTGTTGATGTCAAGTTAGTTATTTTTCCAAATTATAAAGGGATCATCACTTTTTTCATTTTTAAATATTAAGCAGTAATGAACATTCTTACATATTGTGTGAAGGGGTATTTATAAAGATTTTTATCATACATAGGTAATTTAATCATCGGAGAACTTCCTTAACCCTAATTTATTTTGCATTAAAGTCATTTGTGATCTTTTCCCACTTTTAAACACCTTGGAAGAGGACTGGAATGATTACCAATTTTTGTTTTAAAATAACAAAAACAGAGCCGGGGATATAGCTCAGCAGCACAACGCCTGCCTGGCAAGCACATGATCCTGAGTTCGATTCCCGGTAACAAAAAATAAAATAACAAAAACACACTTAAAATACATTAATAAACAGTATTTAACTTGATCTGATAGCCTGTAATTTGTTAAGAGGACTACATCTTGAAAGGAATAACGACATCTTGAAAGGTAACATGTGCTGCCCTAGGTTTCAAAACAGTTGAAGAGTATGGACTTAATCAGCTGTAGAACCATAGCTAGAAAAGTATTTTCATTAAACTATTTCACTTCAGGTGATAATGGAAGTTTTAACTATAAAAAAATAGGATGCCCTACTCTAGCAAGATCAAACATAATGCTTTAAATTTTCTCTCATCCATACATTTCTTCAATAAAAATGGCATCTACTCTCAGCAGCTATTTTGTTATAGATTACTATAGATTACTTTGAAAAGTCCATTGTACAATTAACATACAAGGACGGTGATAAAATTCCCAGCTGTTTTCCTCTTCTCTGAAATTTCACTTTAATTAGAAATATTAATGCTTTCATTATCCAGTAGATACCTTGTAACTTTCTCTTGAGTGTGGCCTGTATGTGTCCAAGAAGTTTCACTCCATGTGTCCCTACTAATACCACAAAGCAGCTATGAACTTGGAATAGGCCTCGACTAGAAAAGAAAGAGTTTATATTATTCTCTGAAGTCTTTTCTGTTTACCTTCATGTGACCAAATGGTGGTTATCAAGCTGCTGAAAAAAATCAATCATACCTAAAAAGCTAGATGAGTAGTGGGTAAGATAATGACTCCATGTGGCCTGGGCTCAGTTTTCTTCTCTATCACTGGGTAGCTGGATGTCTTTGAGAGGCTCAAGATAGTGGCAATAGTGCTCTCAGAGAATTGTGATAAGAATTAAGTAGAAACTCTGTGCAGTTTCTGGGATCCACTAAACTCTATTTCTGATACATGACCATTAAAATTTTTCATTTCTAATTTTTGCTATTTTAAGTGGCTTGAATGTTGTTTAATTCATAAATCTGATCCCAGATATCTCATGAGCATATAAAAAATAACAGACAACAAATTGGTTCACTAAATATTAACTTACTTAACTTCCTCCCACCTTTAGGTGGCTCCATCACAGCCTACAGAAATACTTAATATCTCCTGTAAAACTGACAGTTGAAATAATGAAATGTTCCCTTATTTTTCACACTTCGCCTAAAATTTAGAACGTAAGCTAGAGCTGCTTTTAGAATATTTTTTCCTCTGTGAATGTATTTAGGTATTCAAGCAAAGAGTTAGTTGTCTATAATGATGACTGGTTTTAGACATGACTTAAGTTGACCCTTTTGCTTCTTTGTTTTGATTAGGTACAAAAGGAATTTGAAAGCTGTTTATTTTGTTCATCCAACATTTCGTTCAAAGGTACAGCATTTTTCTTTTATAGCTAACTATTGAATTTAAGTGTACTGCATGCTCAGGTTATTAAGTTCATCCTCTTGATTATTGCTGTCACATTGTGACTGCTAATATCCTTTTTTGCCCTTCTTTTTTAATTGATCCCCACCTTGTGCTCCTAATGTCTCTGTGTCTCTAGTGTATTTGTGGTATCTCATAGTACCTTACAAGGGAGGGAATTGATGCTCAGAGTAAGTAGCAAAGGCTGTATTTGAACCATTTTGATTCTAATGATGACACTTTTAACTATAGAGGGTATTTCCATTTCCTCAGGAACCTCTCTTTAGCAGATAGTGTCTTTCTCCTCTCCTACTTGGTTGGATCCAAATCACCAACTCTTAGACATGCCGTGGCATTTGCTTCTCTCTTTGTATCCAGAGTGTTCTAATGTAGTCTGTATCCTGTGTTCATTGTCTTTATCACTCATACACCTTAAATTACTCCAGTCTTGTTCTAACCCCACAATTCCAGCTGAAGTTCACACCAAAGTCACTAGTCATCTATGTTATAAATCCAAAGGACACTTTCCTATCTCTATTACCTGCTTTCCTTACAGCCTTTTTTGGTTGGTCACTTGTTTCTGAAAACAGTTTTGGCTTCTTTGCAACTTACCTTGCCTGGCTTTTCTCCGAACTACTCTTTCTCAAATGTGCTGTGTCTTTCTCTGCTTACTTTTTCAGTATTAGTGTTCCCAAGGCCTCTGCCCTTATCTCTTGTTCTGTGCAATTTTTCATTTTCGTATCTTTGTTTTAGAGACCGTCAAAATATATGCAGTCCCAAAATGTGTCTGTCTGCACTTTAATTTCATCATCTATAAAATGGGAATAACACCCACCTTGCAGGGGTTAATGGAAGAATAAAGTGAATTAGTGGATGTAAAGTGCTTTAAAAATTACTCAACATATAGTAAACATTCAGTAAATGTTAGCTGTCATTATTGAACTGCTCATTAGATTTCTTCATGTCAATATCATGTAGACTCCTGAAGTTCAGCATTTTAAAAACAGACCTACTCATGTCCTCTTCCCTCATCTAATCCAGTATGCTTTTTGTATTCCCCATCTTAGTAAATAGAAGCTCTGCCTACCCATGGGCCTGAAACCAAGGAAGCATCCTTGAATGCTTCCTCTTTTCAGAACTCTGAACATTGCACTCATTCTGTGTGTTTCTTTCTATTTAAATCTGTGTCTGTGTCTTTACTTTTCACTGCCTTTGCTTATTCCCATCGCCAGTAACAGTAGCTACTGATTTGTTGTAGCTCCAGTGGCAGAGTTGGTCAGTGCATGGTACTTACATAACTGTTTCATGTTATCCTACCTCCAGTATTGTACTGTTCCGATTGCCTTCTGTCACATCTCATGAAATTTTCTTTAATGTTATTATAAATAGCCTGCACTGTTTACTATAGTGGTCCTTTGCAAAGGTTTGCTGACTTTTGGCAAAAACAAAAAAGAATCTGAATATATGACTTGGTTTAGACAAAAGATAACTTTTGTGTATAAAAAGTCACCATCAAGTAAATAGGGATTTAATAGTTTAGGTGTGTTACTGAATAAAATAACAGAGGACCACTAAAGACAGCTCTGGGATCAGGGAAGGAGACCAAGAAGAAGTAATCTAAAAGGTAGCAGTAGAGCCATGTAGATTAACACTGAAAGACCCAATGAAGGGGAAATGGTTAGAGGTGGTAGGAATGGTCATGATTTTGAAAAACTGTGTAGAAATTAAGTAAGATTCTTCCCTCATATTTCATAATTAACAGATGAGTTCAGACTTAAGTGAGGGAATAGTTTCCACTGTAGGATTTGTCATTATTTATACCATTATTGCTTCTCATTCACATGCCAGGTTTAAAATTTGTGTGAAGTGTTTTAAGTAATCCTTTTAAAAGTTTCAGATTTTGCTTTGCTCTCTCAGTACTGGAACAACATAGTAAGTGTTAAATCTAAATAAATGCATACAGAATAAATGTATCCAGTGATGGATATGCTAACTATCCTAATTTGATCATTACATAATAGATACAGAAATTAAAATATCATCACATTATTGTAATTGTCTTGTCAACTAAATAGTCTTAAAAATATGAGAACACTGCTTGGCCAGGCTCTTTAAAAAATCTTGTAATGTACGAACAACATGCTAACTGAAAGCCTTTTTGTACTCTCAGTTCAGGTGAGTTCTGATTACATGGTCTTCTCACATAATGTTTATTATTAACTTTTCCAGTGTTTTCCACTGTTATTCTCAGTAGGTGACTAATTTTTTTCTCTAGCACTTAAGGAAGTACTGTTTAACTATTTCCCCAGATCTCATCAGCTATTTATTTTTTTGTTAACCCAGTAACTACTGAACATTTTCTTTAATGGTAACAAACAAAAAGGGTCAGGTTGGACTCAGCACTTCTATTCAGCATTAGATTCAAAGTTCCAGTCAGTGTAGTATAGCAAGAAAAAGAAATAAAAGGCATCTAGATTAAAAGGCGATTGCCTATGTAGAAAACTGTGTGTGTTAGCCACACAAAGGCTACTAGAGCTAGTGAGTGAGTCTGATCAAGATTTCAGGGTATAGGGGGCTGGGGATTTAGCTCAGCGGCAAAAGCGCCTGCCTGGCATGCGCAAGGTCGTGAGTTCGGTTCCCGGTACTGGAGAAAAACCAAAAAAAAAAAAAACAAAAAAAAACAAAGATTTCAGGGTATAAAAATCAATATTTAAAAGTTTATGTATCCATTACCAGCAGACAAATTGAAATTTAAAAAGCAATATCATCTATATAGACAGCAAATATTAAATATTTAGGGATATGTCTGACAAAAGTTGCAAAGTCTTGTACAGCGTACAGTTTCATATAATGAAAAACTTCAAGATAAATTTTAAAAGACCGAATAAATGGAGATATATACTGTATTTGTGGATTGGAAGATTTAGTATAGCTGTCATTACTTGATAAATCTATTCAAATCCCAACCAAAACCTTCAACAAGCATTTTTTTTTAGAAATTGACCAGTTGATTCTGAAATTAATATAGAAATGCATAGAATTTAAAGTAATCAACCAACTTTAGAAAAAAAAGAGTTGGATAACTAACACTATATGTTTTGAACTCAGACTACCATGTTATAAAGTCAAAAGAGCAAAGGTGGCCCGGGGCCTATAAGTGATTCATTTTCATTGACTTCAAGAAATACCACAACCATGTGCTAGCTGAAAATATCTTAGTCCAAAAATGTTGGCAAAAATTTTCGTTTCAACCTCATTTGAAAATCTAAAAAGAGTTTGTAAAATTTGCAGATAGTAATCATTTTCTGAGTACCAGTTATTGCATGAAATAAGGCAGTGATTTTGACTACAGTTATAGTAAGAAGCGTATGTTGCAGTACCACACATTACACACATAGGGGCATACATGTATATAATGAAACAACTTCTTCAAACAGAATTCACCCTTATTACAGCTTCTAGTAATTGTTACTCTATCTTCTTCTTTTTTTAATGTTGTTCATAAACTGCACAACTGACTCACAAACTGGAGTTTGAAAACACTATTATAAGATTTTTAAATATAGTTTTCATCTGTATAAATTTTTGAAAGCATATTTGAATTTGTTTTTTGCATGACCACTAGTTTAATTTTTTTTTTTCTCTTCTGTTAATCAGGTATCAACGTGGTTTTTCACCACCTTTTCTGTCTCAGGACTGAAGAACAAAATCCACCATGTGGACAGTCTGCACCAGCTGTTTTCTGCCATATCACCAGAGCAGATTGACTTTCCTCCTTTTGTCCTTGAATATGATGCCAGGGTGAGTGTTAGGGGTTCTCCCTTACCCTGTGTAGTGCATTGAGTGTAGCGTACTATTCGGCAGTTCCTGTGAGCACAACATCCTATTGTTTGAAGATCTTACTGATGCAGATTAATGTGTTTAAGCTTGATGATATCATTTAACATTCTTTTCCTACAGTAACCGTAGGTAAAATCTTTGTTCCAAGTGAGTTTTTTTCCCCAGATAAACATTTCAATTGGTGATTTTTCTGTTGTGAATTTTAGGCAGTTCTTGGTCATAGTGTCAGCTTTCTACCACATTTGAAACAGATACCTCTCCTAATATTCTTAATATTGAATGGTTATTTAGCTACATAAACAGATCCAGAGGATTGTTTGGTATCTACTTTCAGCACTACTATAACCAAGTAGCCTACCTTAGTAATCTTCACCTTGCTGAAGTTTTCTTTTTCTGAAAGCATATGTAATGTTTTTAAGAACATCAAATAACAATATTAGTGTTGTTATTTATAGATGCTGCATATATAGATCTGTTATTTAAGCACTAGTCAAAGGACTAGTCCTGAATTTCATCAAAGTTCTGTTTGTGTTCATTTACAGTATCACCTCTGCAATTTTTTAAAGAGTATAGTTAGTCAAAAACTTATCAAGCTCATTGCTTAACTGTTGCAGACTACGTATCTTATATCATAGAAGAGAATATATTAAAAAATATATTATTCTCACCTAAGTATTATGCAACACATATAAAGTTAAACAAAAACCTGCAACACATTTTCTAACATTTCTCTAATTTCAGCCATAATTTCTATTCCCCTTGTATGAAAAAGAAAGTGTTTAGTGTGTCTAATGGCTAATACGGTTTCATGTTTTATTGTTGCCCTGAGAGGATTTGTAATTGGAGCAGCTGGAGCATAGATACAAAGATTATTGAATCTATGGGAAGGGAAAAGTTATATCCATTTGTACTTACTGCAGATTGCCACAATAAAGCGTGGCCTTATTATTTGTTATGCTTTGAACTACCCTTACTCTTCTTGATGCTTTAAACAAACAGTAGGAAATGTGAAAGATCCTTAAGAATGTTTTTATGCCACAAATCTGGAATGACAGAAGGCTGGGGGTTTTTTGTTCTTTTTTTTTTTAAAGAGAGTAGTAAATGAGAAACAAACAAACAAAAATAAACTAGAACAGTAGCAGCATACCAGTATCAGGAACATAAACAAATCAAAGCAAGAACATTGAAAGCGATACAAGGTCTCAAGGCAAAATAATATGAATCAACAGTGGTTGTTACATTACATATCGCTATCCTGAGCTACATTGCTCAGATTACCAGGTGTAAAAATCAAAGATTGCTCAAACCATTAAAGAGAATAAGAAAATTCTTCGATAAAACATTAGAGATAATGCAGAGTTTCACTAGACAAGATGGTAGTTCACCATTGTAATTCCATTGCATATTGTTACCTTCAGATCAGTTGCTCAGACCACCAGACATAAGCATGCAAAGTCAATCAGAACTAAAAATTGTAAGCATTAACTGTTCATTTCAATACCATGAGACATCAACAATACAGTCATTACAGCTATTCATATATGTATTTATATTTTGCCTTCCTTCTTTCTTTTTCCTTCTTTCCCTCATCCCAGTTGTTCCTTCCTTTGAGCAATTTTTTTTCCCTTTCCTATCATCTATTGTACATTTTGAGTTTTACCTAGTCTTTCAGTTTCCTACACCAAGGAGACAATATGATGTTTACACATGTGGGTCCAATTTATTTCACTTATGAGTATGGTCTCTAGCTGCATCCATTTACCTACAAAAGCCTTGAGTTTATCTTTTTTAATAGCTGAATAATACTCCATTGTATAAAAATATCAAAACTATTTTTATCCATTCCTTAGTGGATGGGCATCTGGGTTGTTTCCAAGATTTTGCTATAACAAATTGTGCTGCTCTAAACATGGGTGCACATATATCACTGTGTGGTGTGATCTCTTTAATTCTTCTGGGAAAATACCCAGAAGGGGAACAGCTGGGTTAATGGGACTTCTAATCCTAGTTTTATGAGTACTCTCCAACTTGACTTCCACAATGGTTTCATGATTCTATACTCCCACCAGCAGTGGAGTAGGGTTCATTTCTCCTCACAGCCTCTCCCACATTTGTTATTGGTTGATTTCTTGATGATAGCCATTCTTTCTGGGGTTAGATGGAATCTCAGTGTGGTTATAATTTGCATTTCTCAAATGACTAATGACATTGGACATTTTCTCATGTATTTATTCGCCAGTAGTATCTCTTCATTAGAGATGTGTGTATTCATCTCAGATGCCCATTTTTGGATTGAGTCTTTGAATTTGGGGGGCCTCATTTTTTTTAATTCTTTATATGTCCTAGATAGAAGTCCTTTGCCTGAGGGGCAGTTGGCTAAAGTTTTTTCCAATTCATGGGTTTTCTTTTTACTTTATTGGTGATTTCTTTAGATGTGCAAAAACGTTTCAATAAGATGAGATACCAGTTGTTGATTCTTTGAAGTATTTCCCATGCATTTTGGGTTTTGTTCATAAAGTCTCTGCTTAGCCCAATGTCATCAAGAGTTTTACCTACTTTCTCTTCCAATAAATTTAGTGTTTCTGTTTTAATATTTAGACCTTTGATCCATTTTGATGTTAATTTAGTAAATGGTGAAAGACATAGGTCTAGTTTTAGTCTTCGGCATGTTGAAAGCCAGTTTTTCCAGCACCATTTATTAAAGAGGCTATCTTCCTTTCATTGAACATGTTTGACCCCTTTGTTGAAGATAAGGTGACTGAGTGTGTTTGTGGTTGTATTTGTGTCTTCTAATCTGTTCCATTGATCTTCAGGTCTGTTTTTGTGCCAGTACCATGCTGATTTTATCACAGTAGCTTTGTAATATAATTTTAAGTCAGGAATTGTGACGCTTCATGTCTTTCCTTTGTTTCCCAAGAATGCTTTTGCTATTCTAGGCTTCTTCTAGTTCCAGATGAACTTTAGGAATATTTTCTCTAGATTTGTGAGGTATACGAATGGTATTTTAATTGGGATGGTATTGAATCTGTACAATTTTGGGAGTGTGACCATTTTTCACAATGTTGGTTCTTCCTATCCATGAGCAAGAAATATCTTTCCATTTTCTGATATCCTCTTTGGTCTCTTTTTTCAGAGTACTATAATTTTCACTGTATAGATATTTTACTTCTTTTGTTAGGTTGATTCCTAAGTATTTCATCTCTTTAGATGCTATTGTGAAAGGTATGGTTTCCCTAATTCCTCTCTCAGTCTGTTTGTTACTTGTGTACAGGAATGCTATTGACTTTTGACTGTTAACTTTGTATACAGCTACGCTACTGAATTTGGTTATTAAATCCATGAGCCTTTTGGTGGAGTTTTTGGGGTCTTCTATGTAGAGTATCATGTCATCTGCAAATAATGACAGTTTCATTTCTTCCTTTCCTATCCTTATTCCTTTTATTTCTATCTCTTGTCTAATTGCTCTAGCTAATATTTCCCAAATTATATTGAATAGGAGTGGTGACAGTGGACATCCTTGTCTTGTTCCTGATTTTAAAGTGAAAGCTTTCAGGGCTGGGGATTTAGCTCAGCGGCAAAGCGCCTGCCTGGCAAGCGCAAGGTCGTGAGTTCGGTTCCCAGTACCGGAAAAAAAAAAAAGAAAAGAAAAAGATAATAAAGTGAAAGCTTTCAATTTTTGACCATTTAGTATGCTGTTAGCTGTTGGTTTATCACAGATGGCTTTGATCAGCTTGAGATAGAGGCCATCTATTCCTATTTTCTATAGGGTTTTCATCATGAATGAGTGTTGGACTTTATTGAACACTTTTTCTGCATCAATGGCGATGATCATGTGATTTTTGTCCTTGACTCTATTGACATTTTGTATTACATTATTGATTTGTGTATATTGAACCATCCCTGCATTCCTGGTATGAATCCCACTTGGTCATGGTATATAATCTTCTTGAGATTTTTGTTGTATTCTGTTTGCTAGTATTTTATTGAGAATTTTTGTATCTTTATTCATTAGGGAGATTGGCCTGTAGTTCTCTTTCTTGGTTGAATCTTTCTCTAGTTTAGGTATCAGGATAATACTTACCTACAGGAATGAGTTGGGGAGAATTCCTTCCCTTTCAATTTCATTAAAGAGTTTGAGAAGAATTGGTGTTAAATCTTCCCTACGTTGTTTGTAGAATTCAGCTGTGAATCCATCAGAACCTGGGCTTTTATTCATTGGCAAGTTTTTAATCACATTCTCAATTTCACTGGCTGATACTGTTATTCAGAATTTTTATATCTTCTTCATTCAGCTTTGGTAATTCATATGTATCTAGAAATCTGTCCATTTCCTCTGTGTTTTCCATCCTATGAGAGTAAAGATTTTCAAAGTAGATATTGATGATCTGAATTTCTTCAGGATCTGTAGTGATTTCACCCCTTTCATTCCATACTGCATGTATTTTATTTTTTTCTCTCCTTTTTTTGATAAAGTTGGCTAGGGGTTTATTTTATTTATTCTTTCAGAGAACCAACTCTCTGATTCATTAATTCTTTGTATTTTTTTTTTAGTCTCCATTGCGTTAATTTCTGCTCTGAGCTTTATAATTTCCTGGCTTCTTTGGGCTCGGAGTTTGACTTGCTCTTCTTTTTCTAGGAACTTGAGGTACAGCATAAGCTTGTTTATTTGTGCTTGTTCTGTTTTCCTGAGGTGGGAGTTCACCGCTATACATTTCTCTCTGAGGACCGCTTTCATTGCATCCCACAGGTTCCTGTAGGTTTTATGTACATTTTCGTTTGATTGTAAATAGTGTTTAATATCTACTTTGATTTCATCTGTGACCCATTGGTTGTTCAGGAGTTTGTTATTTAATTTCCAACTGTTTATGGAGTTTCTGTGTTTTCTTTTGTCATTAATTTCCAATTTCATTGCACTTTGGTCTGATAGTACATGGGATAATTTCAATTCCTTTGTGTTTCCTTAAACATGTTCTATGTACTAGTATATGGTCTATTTTAGAGAATGTCCCATGTGAATCTGAGAAGAATGTGTATTCTGATGCTGTTGGGTGGAACACTCTTTAAAGGTCTACTAAGTCCATATGTTCACATGTTTGGTTAAGTTCTGTTACATCTTTCCCAATTTTTTGTCTAGTTGATCTGTCTTTTTGTTATAATGGTGTGTTAAAGTCCGCTGTTATGATTGTGTTGCTACTTATTTCATTTTTCATGTCTGTTAGAGTTTGTCTTATATAGGTGGGTGCTCCTATATTTGGTGCATAGATGTTTACAATTGTTATCTGTTCCTCTTGAAGCTTCCCCTTCACAAGTATGTAGTGACCTTCTTTATCTTTTTTGATTGTTCTTGGTTTGAGGTTCACCTTGTCTGCAAACAGAATAGCTACACCTGCTTTTTTCTGGGTTCCTTTCATGTGGAGTATTGTTTTCCATCCTTTAATTTTCAGTCTTTAAATTTCCTTTTGAGTTAGATGTGTTTCTTATATACAGCATATAGTTAGATTTTATTTCCTGATCCAATCTGCTAGTCTGCTTCTTTTGGTTGGTGCATTGAGACCATTTACATTGATAGTTATAACTGATATGTACTGGCTTATCTTTGTCATGCTATTTTCCTGCTGTTGGATCCTCCTTTTTCCCTCTGTTTAATTGCTTGCTCTGCTTGTTAGTTCCTCTCTGTTGTTGTTCTTGAAGTTGCAGTCTGTTTTATCTCTTTCTAGAATATCTTTTAGTACTTTGTAGGATTGGTTTGATGCTCATGAATTTCTTCAGTTGTTTTTTATCATGAAAATATTTTATTTCTCCATTTAATTTGAAGGATAATTTTGCAGGGTACATCAATCTGGGTTGGAAGTTGTTTTCTTTCAGTACCCGAAATACTTCACTCCAAGCTCTTCATGCCTTGATGGTTTGTTTTGAGAAGTTTGTTGTGATTCTGATAAGCTTTCCTTTATAGATGATCTGTTTGTTTTCCCTAACAGCTTTTAATATTCTGAGCTTTTGTTGAGTTTCTGGGATCTTGATCACTGTCTGTCTCATGTAGATTTATTTTGGTTATGATTAGCTGGAGTTCTGTATGCTTCACTTATCTGGGTGTCAAATTCTTTTACCATGCCTGGGAAATTTTCTCCTATTATTTCTGCAAGTAGTCTTTTCATGTCATTTGTGTTGACACCTGCTGTTTCATTAATACCTATTAATCTGATATTGTTCTTCTTTGTTTCATCTTGTAGTTGTTGAATTGTTATTTCCTGGTTCCTTGTTTTTAAGAGATCTCTCCTTTCACATTCATTAGGCAATGTAGTCTTCAAGGTCTGAAAGTCTATCTTCAGTGTCATTCATTCAGTTTTGCAAGCTTTCAGTGGGATTTTTAATTTCCTGGATATCTGTTTGCATCTGTTTCATGCCTTCTAGTTCTTTTCTATGTTATTCCCTGAAGGTTTCCATGAGTTGTCTATGCTCTTCTATTTTCTTGTCAGTGTCAACTTTGGATATACTGAACATTTCTTTCATTATTGTTATCATTTCTTTTTTCACTTGAGACATTATTTCTGATCTGATGTCTTCTGTGACCTGATGAAGTTGTTTCTTTACTTCAGTTGCTATCATTTCTGAAATTTCAGGTATATGACCTTCAGGGTCTTCTGTGTTAATGTCTCCTGGACTTGTTTTGGGTGGTGTGGAGGTCTAGGATTGCATTTTGCTCCTTTGTTTTGTCAGTTTTGAAGATTCAGAGGCTCCTTGGTGTGTGGCAGGTAACCACCACAGCCCCAGAGGGTTCCCAGGGTTTCACCTGCCTGGCATGCTCGTCAGGGAGGTGCTGCTGCTACTCACCAGACTTTCTAAAGATGTCCAGGGTTCAGCCCAGCCCAGACAGACACGCTATGGGTGTGGCGGGTTGCCACCAAAAAGGGCGTTTCTTAAACCAAAACACTTTCTGTATACTTAAGGGTCCATAAAGCAGACTTTCATTAAATATCAGTTATAACTTTACCCTAATTAAACCTGGTTTGGTTTTGTTTAGGTGTTTGTTTTAATTTTCTGTCATATTTTTGTATATTGAATGCAGGAATAATAATGTGATTGATAAAATTAAATAATGTCTAGGCTAACAATTGGCTTATTCACCCATCATTTTTTACGTATACTAAAGTTCTGTAAAGTTGCAATGTTAGACCACTTGTATACGAAGATGAAGGAGAGGCATACAAATGGGAAAGAAACCAAAGAGAGCATGGTGTGGGAGGAACCAGCAGATGGTGGCCCATAGATAATGGAACTTCACATTCTGTGTTGCAGGACTTTGACTTTCTAGTCAGTGGAGAGGGTCTGCAGGGAGAACTGCCATTATTATGCTCCTGTTTAGAAAGATGAATGACTGGAGAAAGATGTGTTTATAGCATGGACAAATGAGTCTAGTGGTAAGGCTAGAGGAAAAATGGAGCTAGAACGCAGGCAGTGGTAGTGATAGTAGCAAGGATTTGAGGATTTTAGATACTTAAAATTGACATTTTAAGAAATAAATCTGCAGCATTTGGTGACTAAGTAGCCATTAGGGATGAAGCACAAAGTAAGTACTTTGGGAACATTGGTAGGTAGCGTTGCTGTTTCCTCAGAGAAGTAATAGGAAGGAAAAGCATAGGGGGGGAGCAGGTGAAAGGGGCTGTGTTATGTCCGCTTTGTAACAGAGGTGTTCCATGGGACACTGCAGTGAGATACCAGATGGCTGCATGCTACCTTGTAAGGAAATATGTTCCTTTCATGGAAAAAACTACAGCTGCAATTGGAGAAAAGAAATGAGTACAGTTGGTTTATTTTATCATCATGTTCATTTGCCCCTTGTGCATAATAGGATATTTATTTGTGGAGGAAGTGTAGTGGTACTGTTTGGTAGCAAGTTTCAGTGAGCTTAGAAAAATTCCATTTGTGGGATTTATGTGACATAGAAAAGCAGTGTAAGTGTCCTAAGGTTTAAAAGGGACCTTTATATGTAACTAAAGGTAAATTTTATTTATCTCAGTTAAAGTGATTCTGAGGCCATGTCAGAAAAAAAAAATGTCAGCAATTTTTTTTTTTTTTTTTTTTTTTTTTGGTTTTTGCTTGTTTGTTTATTTTATCTTTTTGAGACAGGGTCTTACTATGCAGTTCAGGCTGGTCTTGAACTTTGTAGCCCAGGCTGCCCCAGAACCCAGGCTGACCTCAAACTCCTGCCTTAGGCATGTGCTACCACGCCAGGCTAGCAATCTTATAAATATGGTTGGAGAGTATACCATTTTACCTGATAATAGTTCCTTAAATTTCTATGATTGTTTTCAGAAATATATAAAATATTTGATTGCTCTGCAGTCTCCAACACAGTGTGAGATTAACCAAGAATCTATTTCATGGCATGACATGTTAGACTTGCTCTTCTTAGTTTAACACAGTTCAGCACAGATGTGAGAAACATTAGAAAAATATGGTAGTAAAAAGGAATAAAAATCTTCTACAGATAGTGAACTATAAACTTAGAATAGATTTTTTCCTTCAGGAAATTTTCTTTAAATGTAGATTCCATGCATACTGAAGAGAAAGAATTAGTGACATAGATCTTGATAGGTACTACTGAGATTTTTTTTTTTTTAAATCATTATGTTCTTCCAAGTTTCCAGAAGTATAGCCAATTATAAAGTCTGTTTTAGTTTTGTTTTTTGAGGTGTGTTTTTTGTTTGTTTGTTTGTTTGTTTGTTTTGATTCCTGGACAGATTTGTAATCAGAAAGTAAGTTTAGGTTTTCCTGCACATCCTCTTGTTTTCTTGGTTATGGTGCCAGGACCCAGTCCTGCTCTAGAGCATGTTCTCTGAAGAGTGCCTGAACTCTGACTCTCTCAGATGCTCAGATAACATTTAACTGCCTGCTGTGTTCCAGACCGGGCAGAGTTAATGTTCTGTGACACTGTAATGTGACTATAACATAGCATCTATTTTAATTTGTATTCTTCCTTCCTGTTGTCATACATTAATGCTAAACATTGTTTTTATGCTCTACTAAAAACCAAGTTCCTTGTCAAAGAAATACTTCCCTTAAAAATGAAAAACCAGTCTTATGTGTATTAAATCTTATCTAGCATCCTTTTACCCTAAAGTTAACTGGCTTGGTTTTTATTAAGATAAAACTAGCCAAAGTGGGAAGCCAAAAAATTTCTCTGTACACCAGTTTGTTGCTTTGTGAAATTTGCCATTTAAGTTCTGGCATTTAATTTTTCATCTTGATCTCTAAACTAAATTCCTTAAAAACAGTAATTGTTATGAGCCATGTCACTCAGGCATGCCACAAAGATTAATGTCTGCCCAAACAGTTACTGTTAGTCAATTCCTCAAGGATCACTTTTGTTGTTGCTTCATAACTATATTAAAATTCAACACGTATACAACACAGTCTAACAAAAAAGATTCAGAGTGTTATATGCAAATTGATTTGCATTTTAATTCAAGCTGTGCTGTTTACTGGCTAAGTGACTTTTGAATAATTACGGTGTCTGTATGTTGTATCTTCAGTTTCCTCTTCTGTAAAATAAGGGTGTTACCTTCTTCATAGTATTGTGTGAGCATTTAAAGGGATAATAAGAAACTGAAAAACAGCACCTGTAAGTTGTCTGGCATATAGAATATTTAATAAGTGTTACTGTTCCTAAAACACATTATCATCTTTATTGCCCCAACTTACTTTACACCAACCCTGACCCGTTCCAGTGGAAGTACTTCAGTGGCCAAGGGCCTGCTCAGCACCAGACGTCTCAGTGTTTCACATACACTGTCTTGTTGACTGTAAGTTCCTGTTGTTAACATTCCCAGTTACTGGCTCTGTTACTTAATGTTCTTCTTTTTTATTTCCTTAGGAAAATGGGCCTTACTACACGTCTTATCCTCCATCGCCAGATTTGTGACCTACCATCTTCCATCCTTGGTTTCAAGGATGCCACTTCAGCCATGAATCGCTGCCTATTGAAGTGATTTTCATTTTTGTTGTACAGACCCAGAGAGCCTTTTGTCCCCACCTCTCTGGTATTTTTTTATTGACTGTATATTTTCTGGCACATAAGCAATCTAAAACTGATAGACCGTGTGAACTGCACATTTTAAATTTGTATATTTGTATCAAATGGAACGTTCATTTGTAGAATGTTGTTAATAGAAACTGGGGGGCAACTTCTGAGTATCTTCAGTTTCCTGAAGGACACTGGCTTCTCCATTATACAGACCAACAACATTGTTCATTTCTTAAACATTGCACGCTTCCTTTGTATATTTAAATGTTTCTTGAAATATATAGAACCAATGGATGCCAACCAAATGCATTTACTTCTGATCCCAATGTCAGTACCATTTACATCTGATATACGTAATCTGGTTATAATACAAGAGAATTGTCCAGGGCCAAGAATATGGAAATCTGCCTGAACAAAATCATTAGCAAAACATACGGTGTGCAGTTTTACTGTACAAGTTAAGACTATGGTTGAAGTACTAAGTTTCCTTGGATTATACAGTTCATTAAGATCACCACTGTTCTGATCTCAACAATGTAGGGAAACAGAATGACTGTGTTTTCAACCTTTTCCAATAACCCTGGGTGAGTTGGTCTTTTATTCAAAAGGCTTGCACATGCTAGTGAAGAGAATTTCCGAAGACTCCATCTCTGAGCCCTGGAAAAGTATACTGCCTTCCTGGTTCCGTGAGTGACTTTGTTCAGCTCAGCGTCTCTTGAGCCGCCTACATCAGTACAGAGGAAGTATGTTAGGTGAACAAATCATAATTGGCTTTTTTCCAGGCTACTTTTGCCACTTGGGCTTGATTTGTCCCTTAGTTTGTTTATGAGTAAAAATTAGAACTATGCTTCCGACGTCTCAGATGTATTATGAAGATAGCATTTAGAATGAAGATGGCATTTAAAGAGAACTTGCCTCTCTGTGGATGAAAATTACTGAGGGAGTTTGTGTGGTGGAGTGTCTTTAGTTTTTAAATGGAAACAAATATATGCGAGGGAATGCTGCAAGGCATTCCTTTTGTCCTTGGCGCCTTCTGAGTAACTTTTCCCCAGAAACTTTCAAGAGGAACAAGAGCTGTTAGTGCAGAATCCCAACCCTACAGACCTACGTTCTACTTTGTTAAGAATTTCCTCTAGCCTGTTTCTCTCTCAGTGCTGCGCTTTACCAAGAGAGACATCTGTTATCCATTGTAAGGATTTCTTCTTGAATTAAGGTTGAAACATTATCATTTCCATCTGGGTGTCCTCATGTTCTTGATTCCTACTCACACCCGTTCTGTCTTCCTCATCCCATTATGTACATTTGAGTTAAGAGAAGAAAAAGTAGAACCCTTACATTCTAATGTGATCAGTATTGATGCTTCCAAGGATTCTGTTCCCCTTCGCCCAAACTAGTTCTTTAATGGAGATAAAGGAAACAGACTGTCTTCATTTATAGGGAAATCCACTATAGCAGTGTCAACCCACCCCATGTATGACTAAGAAGGGACTTCACATTTCTCGGATAAGCATTCTTACCACTTGCATGGACACAGTTAGTTTGTGTCACACAGCAACACTACTTTTCTTCATGTATACTAATATGCTAAGGACCTCAGTGGGTCCAGGCAGCCAGTCAGAGGTCAGGTGTTAAGCTGCTTTTCAAAGAGGACTCCTTTCGTCCTTTGAGCCTTAAAAACCTGAAACTTTAGCTTCACCCTGTACAGTCAACTGTTGGAGCATATCTGAGGTATCTTTTTCACTAGGAGCAGCTATAAAAATATGCTGACTTTTCTCTTTTGAAGCTATACTTGCTACCTCAAATTGACATCTGGTCTGAACCATTGCTGCTATAAATAATAGAGATTGCACATTACTTTGCCATTTGGAAAGAATATTTACTTTGCGCTATTCAAACCAGGATAGTACTGTTGGGTAACACAGCAAGATTTCTACATATACTGAGATTCCAGTACACTTGATGTGCTGGGGTGTAAAGGTGGTATGGAACTGTATACTTATCACCTGTATATATCATAATTTAATGATGACTAAGGAAACACAAGGATCACTCTTCTCAGTGGAACTAAATATGGAATAGGGACAAAGTTCATGTTTTTATAGTTGTCCAAAGTGTTGTTACACAATGAAGTTATCTTCTAGAGAGAAAACGTAATGACCTTGCTATTGAAATGATTAAGTATATTTAGTAAGTATATGCCTTTGTCAGAAAGTGTGCTAGCCTGCGTCACACTCACCGTTTTCAAGCATATATGAAGGGGCAACTGGGTGGAGATTGCTGTCAACATCTGATGTTAAACCACCAGAGTCCTTACTTCAGTTAAACTTCAATCATGCCAAATGTTAGCTGGCTTGCTGAAAATACAGCTTATACAATATTACTTTGTTAACTCATGTAAGGCATAATAGGATTTGCCCAACAGATACATTTCTTCCTTCAGCATATATTTGGGTTCCCCTTAATTCACCCATATTTAAGGTTCTGGACAGTGAAAAATGACCTCTTTAAAAAGCTGTCTGTATTTATTAGACTTTTAGGGGCAAATGGTTCAGACTATTTTTTTAAGGAAAAGAAGTAAAAATTTCGTACCAAATAATAAGAGAATAACAATCGTTAATACGTTGCATAGCTATCTTCAAAGTACTTACTCAGAGTACAAGACATGGGCATAAAAAAATTCTCCAAACAATGTTAGCACAAACCTTTCTTTTTAATGAACTAAGAGAAAGTAGTAGTATAATTATATTTTTTTTCTTTCCTTTCGTATCTTTCCCTCACCTAGTTCCTCTTTCCTTTTGAACAATTTCTTCCCCTTTCACAATACCTTATTTACTCTTTCAGTTTCTCACAGCAAGGAGACAATATGATGTTTACACATGTGAGTCTGATTTATTTCACTTATGAGTATGGTCTTGAGTTGCATCCATTTACCTATAAAAGTCTCAAGTTTATCCTACTTTATGGCTCAGTAGTACTCCATTGTATAAAAAGACCACTTCTTTTTTATCCATTCCTTGGAAAAAAGATTTTCTTTCCTTTACTATATATGTGATTTCATTGGTTTATATTTTATTATATTTCCTTTTTCAAAGGAATACATTGACAATATTTTGAGATTATGTGGTATTTTTGGTAGGAACAGTGGACATAGTTTTTTTTTTAATCATTTTTGAATATTAGAAGACCTAAAAGATCTTCCCTTGCAAGAGAAAGATATGTATAATCAAACGAGTAGAAAAAACGGCTTTTCTGTTTCTTGTTTATTTTCTTGGGTATTGTTTAATGAATTCAAACTAAGGGTAATGGTTTAGTCTTTGTAACAGTTGATAAAATATACTATTCGGTATAAGTGGCAAAAGACTCTTTCCCATGATACATTGTGTGTGTGTGTATATATATCATATGTATGATATATATATATCATATATACCATATGTATGATATATATATCATATATACATGTATACCTGATATATTGTCTGTGTATATATGTATATAGAGTTTAAATTGTTCAATATATGAATAAAAATAAGACTTGAAGTACTAGATAGACAAGAGCTGTATGGCTGTAAGAAAAGCAGATTGATTTATTAAGGAACAAAAACATAAAAGAAGATAACGCATAAAATCCTGTGAAGTTGAAGTTAGTCAGGTAAGTTTCCCCTTAGAGCTGTGTTAATTTTTTTCAGTCTGTGTTTGCAGTATGTAATGATCACATTCCCTGCAGGGAGTGGGTGCGAGTGCAGAACGCATCTTCATTCTTCTTCACCTCCGTCCTCTCCCCGCCCCTTCCTTCATTTTTAGTCATCACAATCAACATGTAGTACATGTTTTATTTGTGCTAGCACTGATGACCGCTTCATGGCATGTGATTAACCCTTGATTTGTGATTTCCTGAGACCATATTCTAATTTGCCTTAGTCCTTTTGTGTGAATACCATAAACTCAGTGGCTTAAGCAACATTTATTTCTCACAGTTTTAGAGGCTAGGAAACCCCAGGATCAAAGTGCCGATCAGTTGGCTTCCCGGTGAAGGATCTCTTCTTGGTTTGGAGATGACTTCCTCCGTGGTATATCTGCATATGGCAGAGACAGCATCACTCTCTGGCCTTTATATAAAGACACTAATCCCGTTTGTGAGGGCTTTATGCTCATGACATAATTACCTTCCAAAGGCCCCACCTCCAAGTACCATTACATTGGTAATTAGAGCTTTCTCATGTGAACTAGAGTGGCGTCACAAATATTGAGTCTATAGTCCACCCATTGTCTAGGTCATATAAACTCGGAGAGAGTAAGGATTACTTAGTAGACCTAAACAGATATATACATATACATACAACACACACACAGTTTCCTTTACATTCTTTGAGTGTAACTTCTGTAATCCATATGTAAAAGTCAGCAGTAAATATAGTCCAAGTGTTTGTTCTTACTAAACTTAGTAAATACCATCTTAGATATTAGTGGCTCTCTTGAATTTTAGTTGTTAACATTATTTTCTACATTTCCCAGAACACATCTTTGAATCTTTTAAGTATATCATGCCTTAAATATATAGGGGCACTGAGTTCAAGACAAAAAGTATATTATCTAGGTGAATTGCACAAACAAAATCATAACTGATGAATGTGACCTGATATTTTTATCAAGCAGTAAAACTAATATTTAGTACCCATAATTACATATTTTATAATGTATGTTCTTATAAGCATACAGTTATAAACAGGCAATGTTAGACTAGACCACATGTGCTAAAATACTTAAGAACTTAATGTAATTAAATGATTTTAATTACTGTTGTGCAAAGGAGACCTAAAAACGTTAGATTCTTAAAATTTATTTTTTCAAAATTCAGAAAGTTATGCATACTTCTAAAATACTTTTGGTTTTTCTGAATTAGAAATTAGATATCTTTAAAAGAGGCTCCTGTATGTTATGCACATAGAGTCTATGACATATTAGTAGCAAAAGTGATTATTACACTGAACACCACAGTAGAACATCCATTTTCGATCATTAATACCAGGCCTTCTCTAATCATCAAAGTTAAAGAGTAGAACAAAGCACGGTGAATTTAGCTGTCAGCATTCTCCATCTAGCTGTGTCATTTTAATCTGTCTTGTGGGCCAGGAGCTTTCACATTCTTAATTTCTTTTAATCCTTCAAGTCCTGTGATACAAGTACTAATAGAGGTTAAGTAACCTGCTGACAACCACATGCACAAACAGTCCTGAGCAGAATAGTGTTTCTCAAACTGCAGTAATGATAACCTCTCTTAGTGAGAAAAAAATGTGTTTGCGTCTCATTTTCACTTGATATATATATTATAATGTTATCTACATTATATGGACAAACGTAAAACTAAGTATAAATGCTTTGTGCTGTTAGCTCTTGCACAACTATCAAAACAAAACAAGTTTACTGATGAGGCACGAGGAAAACTATAAAAGCTAGTAAATTTTAAAATGTTAATTAAATGTTGGGTGGTGTTTTACCAAAATGAAACCATTGCTTGTAATGCGATCGTGGTACTGAATGTTTTGTGAGGTTCTTTAGCGTTCAGCACATATGTAGTGCTGCTCCATTCCGTCCTCCACATTACTGTCATTTGTTCACCACATAGTGATGTTGTTTGCTCTTCATCTAGCGCGAATACATCATTTCTCTGTTAAGTTGGTCTCTGCTCTTCATGCAAGCCTTCCACGGCAAAAGTAGGACAGGGCTTTCTCATCAGGTAAATACAAAATTGAAGCATTGACGTGTTCTAACAATATTTGGTTTTAAGACATTACAAATGATTTGAGGGCTGGGGATTTAGGTCAGCGGCATAGCGCCTGCCTGCAA